ATTAACAAGGAATGTATTGCATAAAGTAAATCATTTTCAAACTTGCTTGTGACTGTCTGGCAAAAACCGTTGTTAAAATAGCCTTTGCATCCTTAAGGAATCTGATAAATTTATAGCGTGCTAACGGGAGAGGAAACTTAATCTACAATTGTGCCGGAATACAGAGTATCTGCCAGTGTAACTCCGTAAAACGATCTCCTTTCTTGGTCTTCGCATGTCAGATCAGACAAGCCGACCACTGGTGGAATTAAAACAGAATCGGATATATTTCTGCTTCCCTGGAAACCCCATGGTTACGTGTGATATATTATATGTCTTAATTCAGGAGGGCAGCACTTCCTGAAACCCTGCTAGACAACAATATTCCCCTCAACACATTACGTATTTTCTAGCAAAGCATATATCTTTTGCGGAAACCGCAAGCAAAGAAGTTGAGGGTATCGTTACACGCAAGCAAAGAGGAAATGTTATGGTGCAGTTGCGTTCGCTGATGTCGCTTGCTTGAAGTTTTCTTTTCATATTTTCAGTTGAGCAAACATTTTTTGAGGTATGATAAAACTTTGTCCATTATTTCAGTTATGCCGGATTCGAGCAGATGCCATCGTTAACTCATTCCTCAGTCAAGATCAAAGGTTATTAGATATTTGCTGGCACACATCGCAGATAAATGTTGATTTGCTAATCATCCAAAAATAGGTTTCTTATGCGTCCTTTCCGGTCCAAATATCACCACAGCGGATGCAAATGAAACGCGTGCCTCTGTTTACATTACCAAAAGAAAACACGAGACCTCGCACTGTCGCTAAGGTCGTGAGAATGTGTGCTGGTTCTGTTTGAATAAATTGATTCCTTCATCTCGAACAAGGCTCGCTAATAAATCGCGCGAGGGGCGAAACCGCTTACGCTTGGCTTAACGAAGAAGGGGAAAAGTGTTGAAATACAGTGATTTTTTCCGTATCACTTAAGTCCTTACTTTTACCAGTGGCAACGTTTCATCAGTTGTCAAGTGATTTTACCTGCATCAAACATAAGGTAAGTTCCCTTATTCAAGCAAGGTGTTTCAATTTTCTGCTCATTAAATTGTGAACTTCAGTTTCTTTAAACCAAGAGTTCATATTCCGGTTTACAAGGAAATGTTGTGACGTCATTTGAGGTTACTGCGGTTAAAGGCAATCATTCGCGCCCTTTTTTATCACAACCATGATACACAGAAAACAATTGTTCAAAGATTACTTTAGAAGCTATAGAGAAATCTCAACGCTTTTATTTTGTTTATCCTCTTGGCTGTTGTTATCTGTTAGTTTACCTTCTTGTTTTGGAACCGATATAGCGCTCTGTAAATGGAAAAGTATGTCATTACATTATCAGATATTTTAAGTACCACGTGACCTAAGCGATTTGAAACACGTCGATCAAAAACAAACACGTTGACCCGCCAGGTGCTGGGGTTTAGCACACGTTTTGGCGATTGCGTCAAAATTTCACTATTCTACGTGAAAACTGTTATTCCGCGCTCACCGCTGTGTTCTTCGTCGGTTAAATCGCTTATTCTAGCAGTTAGCACCTCCAAGGATAGATCAGTGTTTCATTCAGCAATCCTGGTGGTCTTTTAGCGAGGTAAGGCGATTTTTTCACAATTGATTACACGTTCCTTCCTACGTGAAATGTGATGTCAAGTTACCGTACCAGCGGTTGTTTCCCTTGATTTCTTCCGCTTGCTTCCCCCAAGCGTTTTCAACGAGTTTACTCCTTTCGAAAGAGAATTATCACCGCAGCTAAGACATTCCTTGTATACTGGGTAATTTTTGGTCTTTTCGGGAGTTTGAAAAGTTACTCGGCAACAAGAATGCCTCAACAATACGGTACGTGAATAATTCTTCGTCAAAACGTGAACGATCGACGACCATATTTAGTAATCACATGCCACGTTCCTCGCAAACTCGTTTATTTCGTTTTTCTCGCTGTTAACCAATGTCAGTGAGTCATTTTCTTGTTTTTTTCTCTCATTGAAAAGAGTTTTCGCTTTCCCACGAGTGGTAAATCTTGTGTTAAATGGATAGCATGCAATGGTTCACGTTTAGTGCCTTTCCGCCATTCTTGGCGTTCTTGTGATTTTTCGCCTGTCTGTATCACCAGTGTGGAACAGATATGCCTTACCAGATTACAATATGCGTAATTCCTGGCTTTCATACGTTAATTTGACTGAAAAAGGAGAAGAGAGCATTTTACTGCCTAAACTCCTTGTAGCCTTTAAAAGAAATTGCACGTGCCAGAACTGTACATTGAACATTAATTTAGGTCATCGAAGTCGCTTTGTCGATTCGTTGATAGAAGATTCTGACTGATGAAAGTACTTCGTGGCTGAGTCATTCTCTTAAGGGTATGGTCGGTGCTAACTTGCGTGTAAATATCATTTTTTAGGACAATAATCATCAAGGTTTGTTTTTTTTCCTCCGTTAAAGTAAGTTAAACACGTGTTATTTCGCTAGTTGATGTGCACATGCACGCGTAGCAATCTCCTCTGAAAGCTCATTAACATTTTCGGAAAAAGAAAATAACAGCTCTATCTACTTTTCCATCGTAAGTACGCTCGCGAGAATTCAGTTTAAATTGAGGTCCAAGTTTCAGGTGATGATTGTGAAGTTAAATTCCGCTTTCGACTTAACAAGAAAAAGTGCGCGATTTCAGTCGTTGGCTCGTACTCGTAACTGTTGCTAAGGGAAATTTGGATCGTCCGAAATTTTTGATCGATAGAATTTTAGCAACGGAAACATTTGGAATTTCTGGTCCGATGTGCGTTAATGGTTGACCTTTACGTCCGGTTCTAGAAAACGTTTTATAAATTAAGTATTTTGACGATATCTTCCATATCGAACGCCTATCATACCCGGAAAAAGATGATTGCTGATTTAATCCAAACGCTGTGCTCCACACTCCCCACGAACGGTTAGAAATCAAATTTTTTTTGGTCGTTAAACGCGAAATCTTTGAAAAGTTTCTAGAAAAATTAATTATGCATAGTCTAAGCAAGTATTTGTTCGATCAAATCTTCCTTCTGCTTAATTAATTTTGGGGTAGATTAATACCAATCTTGGCGCACAGTTTTGTGTTATTTAGCCAGGGATCTTGGTTTTAAGTCGGTTTTGTAAAAGCAAGGTGGAGCATAAGGTTATTATAGCAAAGATGTGGTATTTTAATTTAATGACTTGCTTTATCTGACATGTTTCTAAGACTAAGGTCAAACGTTGTACTTCACATGAGGCGAACATCATTCAGCCAATTAACATGTTGCAAAATGTGGTATTAACCCCTTTAAGGAATTTGGATCATTTGAATCAAGTTACATAGCTGGTATAGCCACAGACAAAGCTGAAGACCGGCTCATTATTAAAGCTGATTATTACGTTAGCAAAGACAAATGCGTAGATGGCATTATGTTAGAGTGTGCACAATGTTTTTGCAAATTCTTGGCATTTGGGTGAGTTCATGGAGATTTGATTCAACATTTGACTCAGCAAAACAACCATGTACATTTGGGTTGGCTTTGAGGTATAAATTCAGTGGAATATAATCTTGGATTTAACCAGTGATTCAAGTGAGGTTATCAAGTTTTTCAATCTGGGATAACAAAATAAATCAATGTCTGTACATTTGGATTTAATTAGAACAAGATGCATTTAATAGACACCTTCGAAGTTACATTTCTTGAATGCAATGGTACAGTGATAGGTGATTTTGTGTTGTTTGATGTATATCAATTCTGGAAACAGTTAGTATTTGCCAAAAGCTAAGTATACGCCTGAAATTAAAGATTTGTGTTCTTCCATAATGATAAAGTTTTTTGAAAGTTCTTGTTGTAAATTAATTTTTTTTTTTTTTCAGTTCAACTGTGATGTTGTGAATCATTGTTAAAATCAAGAAGGACTTTGCTGCTAAGAAATATCATTCCAGATATGATACAAAGGTATGTTCTGATGAAAACCTTGATGACTATAGAAGTGTGAAGATGTGCTATGTGTCTAGATATGAATAAATTTTTGATTATTAATGTTGCGCAACATAGCAGCTCTTGTGTAAGGAAAGGTCTCTATAATAATTTATAAAGGCGTTGATAGCCTTCTGGGCTACATGACAATTTCTTCCACTAGCACATTATGTTGCTAGTTGGTCTTCATACAAGGCAACAAAGTTTATAAAATATTTGCAATTATTTGATTTAAAGATGCACCATCATTGACATTTAGATGATGCCATTGCACCACAGGATGTTCTATTCTGTCTGGTTCACGTAATTTCGCAATAGTTGTGTATACAGATTTCCTTGCGAGACAATCAACTCTTCCCATTTATCTTTCCATAAAGGAAAACAGCAGGAAAAAAAGCAACTTTAAAATCTAATTCCCAAAGGGCAATCTACATGTCATTTTCTTCTTAGTCTTGTGATACTGATCTCCCTTTGCCCCATTTTCTACAGCTTAGTGGTCATTTTGAACAGTCACGTACACTGCTTATGAATAATTAAGTAAAAAAAATTTAGTCTCAGTAATTCTGGAAAGTTTGAACTGTTAAATCAGAAAAATATAATAGCTGACCACACGCACTAAGTTAGAGACTTCAGTTGAGACAGTCACATTCTGTGGCTTTGTTGTGAGTGCCAAGGGGTTTAGTGGTTTGTCGAAAAAAAACACGAACATTCACATGTACATTTGTAAATATGTTAAACAGACAACAATGAAGACTGCATCAATCAGCAAGTGCTATGGACATGCAATCAAAGTTGAATGTTTTGTCTGAAGTGTTTCTTTCAATTCTTCCTTGTTTTGTACTTGGACGTGACCTACTGAATAGTTGCCACTTTTGTGGTGGAGGTAATTGTCAACCAGAGTTGCTTTATCAATCGATGTACTGTTTTGTGTTAATCTAGAAAATTAAGTCTTCAAAGAGTCCATGCAGAGATTGAGATTGAAGGGGATCAAATAACAGAGAATGATGATCATGGCATGCCAGTAAAAACAAACAGGCAGATCTTAAAAGGTGGGAATGAAGAGAGTCATGAAGAGGGTAAAGCTGTGAATGAGGATGAAGCTAGAAATGTGGCCAAGGATAATGAAATGGCAGATGGAGATGTTATTGGTGTTGAAGAAGTCCAGAGTTCTCAAGAAATAGCTGAACAAGGTATGATATATACAGGCATGCTTTCACAAGGTGTGTTTATCCCACACACGCTAACATAAGTATCCATATTTTTCATGCTCTTCTCTATTTCTTTTTTTATTGTCACAGTGAAATAATTAAAGGTTACTTCCTGCCTTCATGGGTGTCTTGGGAAAAAATCTGTATGCGCACTAGTTTCACTAAAATCCTAACAAACTATGCATAAGAAGAAAGCTTAATAACTGCAGTTTAAGATAACAATACAATTCAAGCAACTTTTTTTTATGGAAGTGTCAGGAGCTGGTACATGTAAGGCGTCAAATGACCAAAGGTTCTTCTATTGAATTTATTGGGTATCAGATGCCACAGCACAAGCAGAATGGCTGCTCAGTCTTATTCACAAGGCATCAATCAACAAAAGCCTGTTAGGCTTTTTCGTTATTCTGATTGGTTGTCTAGATATCGGCATCTTAAGTTAGAATAGCCCAGAATATGTGAAGCATGTTGCGTAAATGGACGTCACAGAACACATATTTCAAATATCGAAATTTCTCGACACTTTTCTTTGTCATTTTTCTTGGAATGTTTTGGCGAAATATGACAATAATGGGTAGAATCTATATACTCTATAAATTTGCTCAAAGGGGTTGTATTCCTCCCAAAATCAAATGCATGAGTTAAGCTCGCAAAGATTTGTAAACAACTCATACGATGCCAGGAGATTTTCTTGCCTCCAGAAACCACAAACCAATGGGACAACAGGACTTTCTGACGTCAATGATGATGGATCAAGATTTCCCGTAAAAAGTAACCCATTGCGAACATATTTCTTTTTATCTTGATCACTGAGTAGAGTGTTGAGGAGTACAACACAATAGTAAGCAAAGTTGCCAAAGGCAAAGGAAAAACTGGCGGAAAAAGGGGAAATGCGCTGAGGAGCAAGACAATGAATTGACAGACAGCTTTCAAAATTTACAATTCAAGGCGATCATTAATGTTTTTATGTCAACTGAGGCTTACATTAAGAGAGGGAAACCTTGTTTTTAATATTATGCATGGCAAATCTTGGTTTGACGGTGAGTTCTTTGTTCGAAATCTGGACGCCAGCGTGGAGCTCCACTAGTACCAGTTGCTTTTGCAAGGAATGTTTTTGTTTCTTGATAGAATGGTACTCATTCTGTCTTATTTGGGCCTGTTTTGTTTTGTTTTTTTTTCCTCTTTTTTTTTTACTAAGGACTTTCTTCTGCTTTTGGTTTTTCCAAGAGCGTAGATTTTTCCATAAGCAAAGAGCTTCCATGTGTGAGTTTTGTAAAGTGTGCAGTGCAAGAAAATATGGAAATAACATGAAAATCTAACCACAGCATGAATTTGCCGCAAAAATTTCCCTTGAGGATTCACCAAGGTCAGAGATTATGACACCTTCCTGATTAACTTTTATTTGAAAATACGTTTTCCAAAATAACTCAGGTGCCTTTAAAGATTTTAGAAATTTTTTTCTATGGAAATGTTTGGTTGAATGTTTGAATTCATTTTAGTTAAATAAAAGAAAAGTTGATTTTTTTTGGGACTCTGAAGGTTGGAAGTAACCTTAACAATAAAATCTTCTTTGGCTAGCAATCAATCAATCAATCGATCAATAAACTTTATTTACCCTCGAATTTACAGTGTAGCACTCGGGTGCTAATATCTTTGTGCAAACTACATTAATAAATAATTATAATAAAAAGATTAATTCTATAACAAATAGGATAACGAACTACCTAGACAACTAACTAACAAATCATCTTGATGTAGAAAGGTTTGCAGTTCCTGCCCTTTTAAGTAAATTATTGCACCCAGTAGATAACAGTCGTCGAAAAGAAGTAAAATCAGAAATAGTGCAATGATGGTCAGGAAGAGAATTCCAAGATATTGCTGCCAAGTAACTAAAGGAATTGATACCATAAGAAGTGGTCAATGGTTTAGGCAAACAAAGTATATTATGTCGTCTTATAAAATAGGTGTTAGAGGGCAAGTGAAACATATCTTTTAAATATCTTCGATAATCAGAAAAATGTAGACATTTAAAAATAGTAAGAATCATGTTTTGTAAATGCTTGTCCTTAAGGTTTACAGTTCCTGCCCTTTTAAGTAAATTAGTTAAAATCAGAGTTAAAATCCTTGAAAATAAATCGAAGAATACGTTTGTTTAAAAGATCCAATTTATCAGAATCTTGTTTACTAGAGAAATGCCACACCATAGAACAATAATAAAAGTGAGTAAGTATAAATGCCTTATAAAGATGTAGCATGGTTTCAGTAGACATCAGTTTGCCGAACCTTGTCATAACGCTAAACTGATTGTTTACCTTTTTACACATAGAGGACACATGTTGCTTAAACATAAGATCTTTGTCAATTGTAATGCCAAAAAGTTCCTCTGAGTCATTTACTGAGAAATTAAACTGATGATCAGTTTTTCCTAGTATCATCCCTTGGTGTCTGCTGGGATTTGCTATCATTCCATTGATCTCATACTAGGCATTTGCTGAGCTTACCTCACATGAGATACGCCTTTCAAAGATACTGGATCCGTATCTGCAGTGTAGAATTGATCATCATCTGCATACATATTTAATTGTACAGCAATCATTTCCTCTATACTAATGATCTTAATGAATGATTCAACAGTATCATTGTACAGAGAAATTAGATGCTGGTTACTCTTAGGATTTATAGGGATAAGTTGTATCTTACCAATTCTTTACCCATAAGGACTTACTCGGCAAGCAGTGAACTTTAGACTCTCTTACAATGGTGGTGAGTCTTGTGGTCAGGTGATAAGTTTTCTTCTAAATCTCACAACTAGTTAAAAAATCTTTGATTTGCTAAAAAATATTCCTATTCTTATGCTAGAGTCACCTTCCAACACAGCTGGTGGTGTAGACTCACCTCAAGAGGCCAATGGTGGGTCAAAACGACTTCGCATGTATAAGTGTGAACGGTGCAATTCACAGTACATGGGTCTGGCCATGTTACGGCAGCATTGCCGAGATGTCCATGGTGATCAGAAATACTACAAGTGTCATGTTTGTGGTAAGCTGTTTAGCCACCCAAGCAGCCGTAACATCCATTTAAGGTTGCACTCTGGAGAGAAGCCTTACAAATGTAGCACTTGCGGCAAGCAGTTCAGGGTGTCTTCCCATCTGAAAGACCATGTTAGGGTGCATACGGGTAAGTTAATTGGATAAATAGATGGTTAGTGGGACTTGTGAGTCAAAATGTTCAGGTTTAAGACATGACTGGGTCATTGTGTTGTGATCTATAGCAAGATGATGGACAAAACACTGACCCCCAGTCCATGGACTACTCTGATAGACTACTACTAATCTTGAAATGGATGAACCGTACAAAATCTTATTTTGAATGAGTTCTATTGAAAGCACAGCTATGTATATACTTACACTGCACATGCCTTTGTTATTTGCATGAAGTACTTTTTAGTCAGAGTCAGAGTGGGCAATGGAAATGAATGAATCATATCAGCAGTCTACTGAGTTTCATTACCTTATGTCACGTCTTTAATGATGAGCCATGTTGCTTCTGCTTCAAGCTTCTACTCACACTCGTAAACATGTTAACTCTTGTTTAGAGCGATAGCAACTTGTTGGGTTTTACAACATGCCATGGTGTTGTGTTTCACTTTCAATTATCTTGCTGCTGTAAATTACATGAATCATTGAATCTAGAGATGGTAGAGTGTGAAGAATGGCTGATGTGCACGGCAAATATCTGCATTTAGTCTATATACTGAAGTACAAGACAGTGAATATTATTATTGATTTCTCACCTTACTTCATGACTTATACTGCAGGAAGGAACATGACTTCCAGCTATTTTATATATATGTTTTTTATTTTATAGGGGAGCGTCCATATATTTGTGATATTTGCCACAAGGGGTTCAAGCAGTCAAGTGACTTGAAGAAGCATCGGCGTACCCATACCTTGGATAAACCATACAAGTGTCCTATCTGCCCATCAGCCTTTACCCGTTCACACCACTGTCGAGGCCACATCAATTCTGTGCACAAGTTCTTCAAGTGTGTTGTTTGCAGTGCCTTGTTTACCTCTGAGGAAGCATTTGAACGTCATAAAGAACTCCATCCCTCTGTATTATTAGACCAAGGAGAGCCAGAGCAAAAAATTCCATCTAACAGGGAGGCAATGAGTCAAGTAGCTGTTATGTCTGAGAGGTCTGAATCTGGAGATAACATGAACCAACAAGACAGGGAATCGATTGAAAAAAACCTTAAATTGGATGCAGCCAACCAGTTACTTGAACTGCACAAGACAATGCAGCTAAGGCCTTTGCCGAGCAGTACCCCAGGTAGTGGATCAGAGACAATGTCAGATTCAGGGGATGAGGCAAGTCTCAAGCAGTTGTCACCACCAAGCCAAAGCTTACCTGTCGGACCACAACCTCCAGCTGCAGTAAGTCCTAGTTTGATCCGTCAAGAAGTTGCAAACATGTCACTGTCAAGCGCAAGTCACATGGAGCAGGCACATGTCATTCCGCCTGAAATGGCTCGTGAGGGTGCAAAGTTTGAAGTGCCTCCAAGTTTGCACATGATGTATAACCATAATGTACAGCCTAAGCTCCAGCAGGAAAAGGATTATCTTCGACTGCCTTTTCAATATTCCAGTTATCAAGGGAATAAAAATTTATCTTTATCTGATGCAGAAATGTATAGACATGCAGCCAGCTTTTCTTCACTGAAAGTGCAAACAAGCCATTTGGTCAATGGCAACCACTTTGTTAATGACAGTGCTTCCCAGCATATTTTGCTTTCCCCTGAAAAGTTTGATTCACAAAGCCAGAGAAGGGATCACAGCAATTTTAGTGAAAACATCTCAAAGAGAGAGGAACTTCCACAGGATGACAGTGCAGTGAGAAAGTCTCCAGAGAGAACAAACAATGTGGCTTGTCATCGGGTGTCCGTCATTCAGTATCACTCTAGTGCACAAACATCCTCAAATGATGGAAGAAATGAAGAAAATTTGATCAAAGATAATTCACAAGAGACATCAAAAGCTTTGAAAAGTAAAATAAATGATCATCTACAGAGTAATGAAGAGCAGCAAAGGAACTACAACTTCATGAACAGTATGAAATATTTTTCCAGGATTCCGAGGGAAGGAATTCCATACATACCACTTACCACTGAAAGTGCTCTGGCACTACAGATGTGGAACAAAGAGATGAATGGCCATGCCATAGATTACTCTTGGGCTTTGAAGGAAGCCACAAGGTTGAAAATGCATAGAGAACAAAGTGGGCAGTTACCCCCTCCAAAGCATATGCCAGAAAATGGCCAACATAATTTCTTCTCCCACAAAGATGTGCAGCCATCAGCAGATATGTACAATTCTACTTCACCAGCAGTGCAAGAGAGATCAGTTGAGAGGTTGAAGTACTTAGCAAGAGAACATATCAAGGTGAAAGACATGGAAGGAGACACAAGAAGGGAGACAAAATCACCTGTTGGTGGAAATGATTCTGAGACATCTGATATGTCAGACTCTGGCGATGTTCTTCAACCTGGGAAAGTGTTGGCAAATTCTGAACAACAGTCTTTATCTTCTGAGCCCTTAGGTGAGCAGAGTTTTGTGTAATTTTTTACCAGAATTAGCCACTTGTGAGAGTTACTGACCCGACAGAGTGTATTTCACATGTATTTAATTTTAATTTAAGCTTTAGGTCCAGGTTTGCATGTTTGGGATCAAATCTGGGGTGATTGTGGTTATTTTTTTGTAAGGCAAGACACTGTACCCTTAGGATTTGGTCTCAAGTTAGGGATGTCCAGCTTTTTAAGGTTTCAAGAAATGCAACTTTTTAAGTCACTGCTAACAAAGTTAGTTGTGTTAGGCATTCAGGCTCTTTTGGAGCAAACTTTCTTATATCTTTCTTCTTTTTTGGTCTTCACAGACCAGAGATCCTCTCCAGAGAGTGCTATTCACCACTGTCAAGTCTGCAAGAAGACATTCTCCCGCTCTAGCCTACTTAAGCAGCATTCGGTCATCCACATGGGAAACAAGCGCTTTAAATTCCGCTGTGAAGTTTGTGGCAAGATGTTTCGGACACGCAGTCATTTGCGGGATCATACTAGAATACACACAGGTTTGTCTGTCATCTTTTGTAGTTGTAAAATACTTTTCACTAATTACAAACTTCAGTGTGTTCACTTAATCACCAGTTGCCAAATAAAATCATGCCCTTCTTCAGCAAAGCCTAGAACGTTCTAAAAAATATATGCTGTTATTTTATTAAAGGTGAGAGACCTTTCAAGTGTCACATTTGTGAAAAAGCCTTCAAACAGTCCAGTGACTTAAAGAAACACATCAACCTTCACACAGGAGCAAATCAGTTTAAGTGTGAAGAGTGCAACATGGAGTTCCGTAGAGCTGATGCACTTCGCAAACATAAGCTGGGACACAAAGTGGGGAACATGCCTTGTGGACATTGTGGGAAAAACTTCTTGCACATTAATGCCTTAAGAGCACACAGAGCCATGCATAATGGTAAGTTTTCATTTTACTTCTAACCATATGCTGCTGACTTAGTGCAGTTTGAACTTTGTTGGTGGCTTTTAACCCTTTGACTCTTAAGAGTGAACAGCATCTAATTTCTCTTAATAAGGTCAGGAGAATAAAGGAAATGATCACAACTAAAGAAGCTCTCGATTGGTAATTAAATTCTTTTTGTTAGCACCTTAGGAAATGTGTAGAGAACAGTATGGAGAATATGCATACTGATGTTAATGCATAAAGAGTTAAGTGTTGCTCAGGCTTTTGATCACTCCAAAGTTTGTTTTACTGACAAGAACATTCTTTTCTTTATATGAACAGTGCAACCTGTAAAAGCAAGCAGATCCTTTCACCGATGTAACTACTGCTTTAAAACATTTACGAAAGCAGAAAGCTACAAGATACACATTGAAGCACACTCTCGTGAGCAGAATGGAACAGTGGTGCCTTTTGATTGCAAGATCTGTTCCACGAAGTTCCTCTCAGAAGCAGCATTCCAAGATCACATGAACATTCACAATGGAAAGCGGCCTTACAAGTGTTTTGTTTGTGATAAGGAATTTTGCATTGCTGAGCATCTGCAAGATCATGTCCGCCTGCACTCTGATGTGTCATCACGTCATAGGTGTGAGGACGATGGTAATAAATTTAAAAGACCAGATGACCTTTTAAGGCATTCAGCAATTCATGCTTAATGGCAAAGGGGTTGAAAAGTCAGCCATAGAAAGAAAAATATATTTAAAAAAATATTGACTAAAAAAGTTTCTCAGACTAATTACTCCATACATGTGATATCAGTTATCTGAGTACTGATATTTGACCTTTCTGTACAAAACTTTAAAGTTTGGGAGTACGACAATTCTGCTATCTGGATGTTGGAGGCAGTGTAGTATTATGAAGGTTTCATAAGAGCAAAGGACAAAATGAGTTACATCCAAGGATAGCAGTGCGAAAAAGTTATGGTATGAAATATTAGCTATAACAAATAATTATTAATAATAATTATTAATATATTTTGAACTTAAGATTATCATAATTATTATTATTGGCTGGCTCACTGTCAATGATATTTTAGGAAAAAGTTATTGATGCTGATTAAAGGCAAGACTTCATTTACTTTTTAAACTAAGTTCATCATTTGTACAGTGTAAATATCAGGAGAGCACTTTGACATCAAGGAGTGCTGGTATAGAATCTAGGCCCCTTTTGGCATCCCATTTCTGGACACCTTTTTTAAGGGTCCAGAACTAAAAATTGGACACCTGAAAGGAGGGAATTTTGCCCACCTCCAGAAAAAGGACTGTTGTCAAGATGACTCTTGGTGAAAAGAGCAAGGGTGTGCCTTGTGATGAATTACCAATACTTTGATCACAAATTTTATCAATCACTGTTTATTTATAAAGTTATTACACTGAAGGAAGATTATTTAGTCTAGTTTCTTTGACCAAAAACCTGCACATGCCACAAAATTTGGTTGGTTGGGTTTAGTTATTGCCATGTGTCACAAATCAGACATACTCAATCAAACATGCACCTTTGTAATTAAGCTACTGATAAGTAAAACTAAAGTTTTCATGCTTCAATTTTCTTTATGTGGTTGGCACAAAATTACAGGTGACTTGGTTGTTTCTAAATAACATTGATTGATCAACCAGGAACTTGGAGCCAAGCTCAGAGATTTTCACTTCTTTGAAATGATCATTACTAACAACTCTTCAGCAAAAGATAGATGAAAAATGCATACTATTATCTGCCACAGTTTTCTTTAATTGTGTGCTTAACTATATATTACATTTTCCAGGAAATATGTAGTCTTTTAAAACTTAATAGCTTTATGAGATGTTCTATTCCTGTCTGCAAAATAATATTTTCTCAGTTTGGTCAATTAATTTTCCAACTGAACAGTTCACATTATTGAAAGTTTATTGTCAACCACATAGATTGTGGTCACAGTTTGCATTAATTTATTGAGTTAAATAGTGTTATTTAGTCGGCAGGCCGACTTTTAGTATTATTAATTGTAACTTCTTACAGTAATTTTAATTTATAATCGTGTCCAGTCATGTGATGCTCAATTTGAAAATGGATAAAACTGTGGAACAGAGATCTGATTGTGCATTCTCCCCTCTAGCTGCTTCACATTTCTTTGTAAATTATTTACGAGAATTTGGTGTTAAATCAAGTTAAAAACTTGAATCAGATAAATTTGTGTATTCTTGATACTGGTTCACTGGATAATGTATTGATATTGCAGGAAGAGGTTACATGTAAAACAGTTATGGAAGTTAAAGGGTTAAATGCAAGTATTGAAAGTAATTTTTTTAAATCAGGTCTAAATTCTTTAACAGATTTCTTTAGTCTTTCCAATCTGTGTTCTGTTTCACAGCTCAGAAAACCATGATCACCTGATAAATTTGTGAAATGTTTTTTTTAGTTTCAAGATAAAGCAAATCAGACAACAAAAACCCGAATGACAAACTGCAAGTGTATTTAGGAAAAGTTTTGAGGTCTGCTTGTGTGTCCTGAACTTTATGGTCATGTGATTGTTCAGGATACAATTGACTTATTCAAGTCAAATAAAAGTGTTTGTGGTTTACTTAGTATCACTGTAACTGTGATTATGATACATGATGTTTGGTGTTTATCAAGCTTCCCTGCTGGTGAAATTTCATCTCTCTTTGAGCAGGTAAACCTCACAGTCTAAATTTTTAACCAAAAACACCTTGTCTGGTCTTGAAACACTTTAAGGCATTAATTAGAAATGATTAATGATCTGGTAAATATATGCAAGACTCTAATTTGTTTCTCCTAGCTGGCCGAAACTGGCCGTAATGGAAATTATCTTGGATTAGTTCACACTAAGAGGTTTTAAATATACTGTAAGACTCTCTAATTGTACTAACTTTGGATGGTAGACTTTGTTGTCTGCATGTTGAGAATGAGTGCAATAAATCAGTGACACTTGATATTTACTGCCTTTTGATATTTTATTTTCTCATCAACCCTCATGATTTACCTTTTTTTTTTTTTCAAGAATCTGTGTGGGCATGAAGTTGTCATCAGTTTGTTTTACATTTCAAGAACTCTAACAGATAGCTTCTTTCTCTCCATCCCTTCTCCCCCCCCCCCCCAACTCTATACCTCCCTTCCCAACCCTTCTAAGTACTCTCTGCATTACTCACTTTCTCTTATTGTATTTTTTACACTGCTATTCAGCTGTATGGAGTATACAGTCTCCATTTTGGTAGGGGAGGGGAGGGCTTGGTCTTAGTAGTTGAGCATTTTGAGTACTCCATTGATCATTACCAAACCTATCAGCTAAATTTATACAATGTCATGAGGGAGCAGAGATGGTACAGAGGAAAGAGTGCCTGACTCCCATTGCTGTGGCTGAGTTATTCTCAAACCCGGTATCATGTGGGTTGAGTTTGCTATTGGTTCTTGTCCTTGTTCTGAGGGTTTTCCTCTAAGTTCTTCAGTTTTCCTCCCCCCACAGAAACCAACATTCCAAATTCTATTTCAACCTGGAGAAAGTGGACAAGAAGAGCCACCTTATGGAATGTTCACTGCTAAAATTCCATTCCCTATTAAGCCACACATGAAATTGCAGATATCAAAGAATCAGACATTGCTCCCTTAGTGTTCTTTTATTGAGGGTGGGTACATGTACACATAAATAACTGCAACGTAACAAACTTTGAGTAAAACATGACACTCTCTCTACTAGAGAACCACAATCTAAGATAATAATAACTTACACTTGCACTCTGTACCCTGTAAATATCGTACCCTAAAAATCACTCTTAACATGTGGTTTTGAAAAATATCTCCAAACTGCAGTGTTATATGGAACCATTTCACGTCTATGCAAATGTAGCCCACCTGAGGGGCAAATGAAACTTACCTGAGTAAACATCAAAGAAACAAAAAAATCACTTTCTACTTTTTTTTCTAATGGTTCGGCTTCATTTGCATGGACCTGAAATGGGTCTGTTTACTGATAAATATTCTATTGACATATACAGCAATGGTAAAATGTTACAGTATTAATTATAACTTGTTATTATTTGTACATTTAAACAAAATATTTGGGCTGGCTGCATGCCTAACCCTTACACATGAAAGCGTGCTATGAAAGGAGAGGTGCCCTAGCTAGGTACCTCTGATTCATTTGTCAATCAACTGTCATGGCATGCAGACCTCTATATTCAAAACAGCTTGAGCTGCTGCAGCCAATCTAAAGGAGTGAACAGCAGACAGAATTAATTTGTTGAGATTTACATCTCCTTCATCCAATCAATGTTTATTTGTTACAGTGAATTTGATATTCAAATGATCTGCTTTGCCATGGTGTAACATCAGCACAGCATAATTTGCATTTGAGCTGAAACCAAGGGGCAGAGTCAACCTATTTAAAGTGTGCCTTTTTTTTTTTTACATGTATCTTCTCCCCGTAATATCAATACATTATCTAGCAAATAGGTAGAGAGAACACTACTTGTGGGTGTTAAAGGGCTGACCAGTATGGTAGTGAAGGTAAAGAATGTGGAATTTAAAGCATGAAGGAGGCACTGACTTTTCCCTTGGGTGCTAATACTTCCAGCATAGCTGATGTCATTGCTGGAAGATCATACACATGCTGCCAGTTCCAATCCTTCCTTGCATTACTGTCTTCTAGAACCTGAGGCCAACTATCAGCTGCAAAAGAACAAAGTTCCATTTTAAAAATCTTTCTACTGATTATTAGGGATAATTGTTTTTAAAGTCAGTATCTATATTCTTTATATTTGTCTCTACACATTTCCATTGATACTGACATAGAGAATTCATTTATCGATCAAAGTTCCATGGGTTGGTGATCATTGTCTCTATTCTCAAGATCTTACTGAATGATTCAGCAGAATTTCTGTGGAGAGAAATTAGATGCTGGTCACTCCTGGGTTTTAAAGGATTAATTTCTTCTCCACTTACACCCAACCCCCTCCCCCCATGCAAAGTCTTTAAACCTTTAACTCCTATAAGTGACCAAGACAGAATTTCTCCTAACAATGTTGATACAATATCAACCAGACAAGTGATGACAGTCAATATATCAACCAGAAAAGAAAACTATCAATTTGGGGATAATTAGTCAATCTAATACTTAATTCTCTTAACTAACATTATAAGAGTTGTATGGTTGACAGTAAGGAAAACTACAAATTTGGTCTGGGAGTTAGAGGGTTAAACCTACCTATAGCCTGTCTTTCATCAGGTTCGTATTCCATTTTCAAAGTTGGAATGAATTTTCGTATTGCACCAGCCAGCTCTTCAGGTGTGAAGCTTATGGCACTGATATTATATGTGCGCAAATTCAACTTATCTGAGGGTGCCTCTAACAACTCAACAGTTGCTCGTAAGCAATCTGGGAGATATATCATTGGCATTCTTGTATCAGGGAGCAGATAACATTTGTATTTGCCAGTTCTTAAGGCCTCATGGAAAATGTGGACAGCATAGTCTGTAGTACCACCCCCTGGGGCAGTCTCAGCTGAGATGACCCCTGGAAATCTGGCTGAGCGGAAATCCAAACCAAACTTGTGATGGTAGTACTGTTAAAGAGAGCACAAAGAAAAAAAATGGTAACTGAATGATGTGGAAAATAACAATGATGACAAGAATTATTGCAGGTAACTGATAAAACAAACAAAAAACAAGAACAAAATTTTTGACTGATCAGTAGAAAAGATTTAAAACTTCATGGGTACCTCTCCAAGAAGTTCCATATGAACTTTAGAGACCCCATAGATGGTCTTTGGCCTCTGAACTGTCACATCAGGGGTGGGGTTTGAAGGAGTTTCAGGACCAAATGCTCCGATTGTGCTTGGGCAGAACAGCCTCAAGTTATTTCTGCGGCACAGTTCAAAGATATTGTGAACACCTTCAACATTTACTTGTAGCGCTTGTGACACATTCTGTTCACCCACAGCACTAAGAATAGCACTGAAATGAACCAGCCAATCAATGCGTTCATTGACGACAATGGACTGAAGGTTTTTTAAGTCCAGGATGTCAGCATAAATGTATGGACCTGTCAGCATGGCATAAAAAAAATTATCATTTAATGTATATATAAAAGCTACTAAACTGAGGCAGAGCTACTGAACAAAGAGAAAGTGTACTTTAGGCCCAAATTTGTAATTTTCTTGTCACTGCATTTGGTAGAAGATATTCACAGTGCCCTCTTTGATCTTGAATACATCAATGTATTAATTCATAATTCTTACTGAAAAAAAAACATTCAGTAAAGGAAATGATCACCAACTAATGAAGCTCTTGATTGTTAAACAAGTTCTCCTTGTCAGCAACTTAGAAAGTGTACAGAGAACGGAATGGAGAATATGCAAATTGATGTGTGGGATGATAGGGTTAATATATTCAAGTTCAACCAAAAACAATTAATGAAAAATTCAGGGAAGACCGTTCAACACAAAGTATGTGAATTAATTGACAACAGGAGAAAGAGCAATTGCCAAACTTACCACTCTCCAAAACATCCCACGATGCTTTTGCAATGTCTGACATGATGACATTATCTCTTCCATACTTCTCTCTGAAGCAATAGAGGAAATAATCACAGACAAAATTAGCTAATAAGTTACAACCACTTAGTATATTTAATCAGTGTAAAAATAATTCATTCAAAAATTTCTGTCGGATGAAAAAGTATCCTTGGTAACAGATGAGAAATTATTTTTCCTCTTTGTTATCAAAAGTATCCTTAATCCCGATAAATGAACCGACTTCAATTGTTTATGTCTGCCAGACTAAGAACCTTGGAAACTTTCCAATCTTTATGTAGACGTCTGAATAACTAACAATTTCTACAGGTACTACTCTGTAAACAATATATATTCTTACCTTTTTCTAAATAAAGTTTTCCATTACTCATTACAATTGAAAAAAAGGAGGGCCGATAAATGTCAAACTCCTCTTGGAAGAGAAACTCTAATAAAATCATTCACATTGTGTAAAGATATTGAGCAGTGGCTACGGTATTGACTCAGCTGTGCCAAAGGGGAATTAGTACCTTGCTTCAAATCAAACTGATCTCATGCGTTATTAAGCTAGCTCAGTCCAATTGATCTAGCTTGTTGTTGTTCTCAACAAGTGACCAACAATTAAAATTTTGACTGAATATTTGTTAACCTCGTCGATATAAATTCCTCGACATTTCTTGCTTACTTCAGCGAGTCATTGTTCCGTGTCTAACCACGTTAGTTAACGCGTCACTTTGACGATGCACTTGCTAGTAGAAATAAAGTAAAGTAAGTCAAAGGGAAGATGCATGGAGCGAATGGAATATCGAACCGTAAATAAACTGTATCACGTTGCAACCGCGTGGCATAAAAAAATGTAATTATAAGTTGACTTGTAAGTCGGAACCGAAGACAGGCACTTTTTCGGTTTTCCTTACCTTAAGATTTTAGCAAGACCACGTCCAAGTTGTCCCAAACTACCTGCATACACAAAAATAATTATTTGATTATAAAGAATTTGTTATCAAGAAACAAGGACTGATATAAATTTGTGTCCATCTTTAATTTCAAAGTATTGACCCGTGAGGCGATAGCATCAAAGTACGTCTTCACAAAAATGTGTTCGTGGTAGGACGAATGCATTAATAAAGCCACGTTTCTCGTCATTTCCGGGAGTATCTCTCACGTTTCTTTGCTTTAAACGCTTCAAAACAGTTCTTTAATGCTGGATGAACAAAACTTATGATGAAAATTATCCTAAATACAGGGCAACTACGGGGCAGAAGTTAATATTAACTGAAGACTAACACATCGTGAATGACGTACCAGTGATCAAAATTCGCGGGAAATCTTTCTTCGCCGCTGAGTAAAACGTACGCGTCTTTCCAATAACATTCTCGGTCATACAAACAAAGTGGCCCAATCTCAAGTTCTTCGCAAACATTTCTGTCCAAAATCAAAAAGTCAAAACGATATGATATGGTACACCTTAAACGTTGAACTACGATGGTTACGCGACTGCTTTCCGTGGACTCATGAATTATGTGCGTTTGTTGTGCCTTGGGGCGTTAAGAGGGAGTGCAGGGGGTGTGTTAATTCAATTGACCAATCACGAGTGAGAAGAGGTTATTGAAATGATAGTGCTCACGTGCTCTTTACTATGAATTCATGATAACATGCGTGATCTGTGCGTGAAAACTATATAAGCCACAAGCTTGATTTAGAAACCATAATTAAAAAGTCAAAGTAATTTTCTTTATAATAAAGTTCGGATATAACGCGCGCCGTCATTGGGTGCTCTATGAGAGTATAGAACATGGAGCTTAGCTAAAGCTGTTAATCCATCTGCTAAATTGAACTATGTCCGACCTTTTCTGGGACTTTTCTCTAGTTTTTTTTTTCTTTCATTGAAAGTGAAATTTCGGAACGGGCGAGTCGGTAAATAGCAACAGAAGAACCAAACAAAGGTGTGTAAACGTGCTAGGCGCCGTAATTGACGTTATTATAACGTGAGCTCAGACGAAAATCCTCAAAGAGAAAACGAAATGGACAGTCCGAGTTTTGAAGGTTTTCACACTTCCACACTCAGTTAGATTGCAAGCTTACGTACGATAATGATAATCAAACACAGCGAACACTTGTGTAGTATATATAGTTTCGTGTTCAAAAACAAAACAACAGAACAGGAATGATGATAAATATAGACAAACTGGCATAACTGTTAAAATTCACACTAATTATGACGGTGTCAGAGCGACCGTGATCAAGCTGAGTTTCATTCATAAAACACACCCTTGAACAGTTTGTTTTCTAATTGTCATGCGAAAAAACTGGCGTTTTTTCATGAGCCACAATTCGCCCGGATTTCACTGAACATTTCACTTTCAGGTTCTGTATTAGAGACTAAAAAACTTCAGGCAAAAGCGTCAAATTCGACCCGCCGAACTATTAAGTTTGTAAACTATTGCAAAATGTGAACATTCATGGTTTGACATTTTTGACAGCTTTATTCTCGTACAGCCAATCAGAATATTTGAACCATTCTAACAGGGTTCTGAGTGGCTTATTGTAGCGTGCTTTATGAGGGTATAAAGCTTGCTAACGACACTGTTGTTCGCTTTGGAAATTAAGTTTGTTTTGAAAATTGAAAGTAATGCATGGGGAATTTAACGGATTCTTCATCATAAAACAAATAGAGAAGCCTTGACTGTGCTCTGTTCTGTTGTGAAGCACTTAGGAAGCGGCTAGAGCTCTCAAGAAGTGGGGAGAAACATTCGAATAAGTCTCGTGTTTCTCTCTACACTTCTTTCGTGTTCTAGCCGCTCACAGAGCACATTCAAGGCTTCTTTATTTGTTAAATCAAGATGTCCATGAGTTTCCTTATTGGTTAAAGTAGCTATGTAAAGATCTTTTTATGCAGGTTTGTGCATATTATGCGTAAATTTGACGACAGGGTTCTTTTTCCTGTAACTCTGCGTGCCTTTTTACACAAATGAACAGAGGTATCGCTTTTGGAGAATGCTAGGCGATCACAGGATTCATTTTTCCAAACTTCTTTGAAAGCTGGTGTCCAGGGTCTGAGGATAGATCGCCCAACAGGGGCATGGAACCAAATCACGCGACTTGTCTCCTACAGTTTTCTACTTCTTCCTTCCCGAAGCAAATTTCCCTGCTTAGATAAAGATGGATCGTAGCACTACCTATTTTTCCGTAGTTCTCGCTTCATTTTTGGCTTTCTGCAGTGCTGATGGCAATGGAACAATACCTGCAATAATCTGGCATGGAATGGGTTAGTTTACAAGGCTGCATATAATGAAATGATCCTTAGCAGAAAAATATTTTTAAGTGGCAATTTGCAGGCCTGTGGTGACGTGAATTTCGCTTTCGGCATGATAGCCAGTTGCCTCGACCGACTGTTCGATTGTTTTAATTGAAAGGAAAAGGATAGAAGTTAATTTTTACTTCGTAAAAGGAAGGTGATTATGTTTGTTTTTGCGAAATGCTCATTGTCGTTCCGTGGCAGGGAAGGTCAAAGGAATTTAATTTCGTTCTTCTTGCTCGTTGCGTTGTTGAAAATATTCAGTCGTCACCCGTGAATAGCTAAAGATTTGGTTTATTCAATGTGCTCAACACACTCTAAGAGCCAGTGTTTTGCATTTAGTGACATGTGTAGCAGTGACATAACACTTCAAACAAATTATTTCTGAGGAATCTTTGTCTTTGTTCTTATTTGCTATCTCGAGCATGCGCATGGAAATCAATTGTTGGCCTTAAGTGTGCAATATTTAACAAATAGATTCCAAGTTGCTGTGCGTCTGTTCAGTAATAGGTCACAGATGACGTCAAAATGTGGCAGGAACAAAAAAGTGGCACACGAGGCGCAGCCGAGTGTGTCACTGATGTTCTTACCACATTTTGACATCCTCTGTGATCTATTACTGAACAGACGCACGGCAACTTGGAATCTATTTGTTTTATATAATAAAGAATTAAAAAAAAGTTTTAATGATGATGTCATCTATACGCCTGTCCTCCAATAGATCATAAGTGAGAACCAATCAAGACGCGTGCATAACTGAGCTTATTATATAAAATGCAACACTCAAATAGAGGGAATTTACCTTCATGTAACAAATCTGAATCTGAGACTGAATCTTTCACTACAGGTCAATATTTTAAACTTCCTCACCCCTCCCCTTTCAAAGTCATAGGCAGAAATTTAAGTGAAAGGAAGCACTGCTTACAGCATTTAAAAATCCATTGATGGAGTTCTCTTGTTCATCAAAAGGGGTGAATTCTGTCATAGATTCATATAGTTTTGTATGATCTCATTGAAGATGCAATGCAATATACAATAGGCAGTAATTTTGAAAATCCAGACTTGACACTTCACTGTACAATACAAGTAAATTTGCCAACTTATGCTGATTTTTTTGCACGCAGGTGATTCATGCTGTAACCCCCTGAGCATGGGATCAATCAAGACAATGCTGGAAAATAAAATTCCTGGTATTTATGTACGGTCGTTGATGATTGGAGATTCAGTCATACAGGTAAGGTCATGTTTAAAAAAAAAATCAGTTTTCTTTCACCATCTTCCTTGGCATGCAAACCTTAAATGGAAACTAGATAAAGTTAACAGGACCACAGTACAGTGTTGAACAAATGAACACAGCAGAGAGAAACTCAAGGCAATCAACAGTCATTCAATACAGCTTAACTAAATGTTTTTATCACTGAAAATACAATACTCATTGAATTAAGCAATGGCCATGGCACAGTAGAAGAAACAATCAGCTTGCTGATACATACTATACACACAAACAGGTTCAAGAATAGGCGCGTGTGCTCTCTTGTCAACACCAGCATGCATGTGATTTTATATGTGTACTTAATGCATTTTACAGGCATATTTAGTCTCTTTATCATTGACCTGCACAGTATTTCTCAAAGAAATCTTTTTTATCAATAACTTGGCTGTGACAACAACTGCACTTAAAAGTGATGTTTCTCTTGTTTCAGGACACTGAGAATGGCTTCTTCATGAATGTTAATGACCAGGTACTTTGTAATTTTTACAGTTCATTTTTAGTTCCAGCTCATTCAGTTGCAACATTTATTGAATGATGCATAAATTGCCAAAATTTCTTGAACAAACTTTTTATACAATGTTTTACTCAGAAACTGGTTCTACTTAGCTTCTATTTAAAATGACTGTTTGCCTCATTTTGTATTTATGGTGCAATCAGGATTTGCATTTTGTTAAAATATTGTAGTAGGATTGACTGTTTTCTTAGCTAGAGTTTTTTCACTGTTTATAGTTGTGTTTCCTCTCACTTCCTTTTTTTCTGTGTGAATGTAATCGCCAATCATAGATTTGGTGCAAAATATTTTCTCAAGGAGAAGAGACTAGGGGCACTAGTCAACAGAGGGAGAGAGAAACAATGATGATAATGAGCAATAATATTATTCCTTTACATCCTAGCATCAGTATCCATATTCTCCCCACTGTTCTCTATACACTTTCTTTGGTACTGACAAGGAGAATTTGTTTAACAATCAATGCTTTAATGAACGATTAATGTAAGGAGAACGGAGATGCTGATAACTTTTAGAGCCAGTTTAAAGGGTTACTGGATAGAAGGCAGTAAGGAACCAAAAGGATTGGTAGACCTAATTTTTGGTTTATTATTTAACTACAACACTGCCTGAAATTGAAGTTTTCCTCACAGGTCAAACAGGTTTGCAACAAAGTTGCTAATGATCCAAAGCTGAAAAATGGATACAATGCACTGGGGTTTTCACAAGGAGGACAGTTCTTGTAAGTACAAGTGCTCATAAACTATTTTCTTTTATTGCACCCTACAGTGGATATTTAATTAATGTCATATCTTTGCTGCCTAGAGTCTATGGTTGTAATTTTGTCCAAGTGATTCCTTAAACAAAATCATTTTCTATTGTAAAGGTTGCAGAAGGTGGAGTTGTAAATTTACATCAGTCACATGAATCAAAGATTTTGTCAGCATCAAACATGCATGTCTGTTCTTAAAAATTGGCAGATTAATGCCCATAATTTCTTTAGTTTCATCACTTTTCTGCTTGTTTTTGTTTCTTTTTGTTTTGTTTTTCTAAGGCGTGCTGTTGCTCAGAGATGCCCTAACCCTCCCATGCTGAATTTGATAAGCTTTGGTGGACAGCACCAAGGTGAGAAACTCGCGTTTAACAAATGTTGTTTAACTCTTCATTAATTTTAGAAACAAGTGAAATTCATTTCTTGACCTTTCACTCTTTGTGTGTAGGTGTTTTTGGATTTCCTCATTGCCCTGGGGAAAATTCCACCATTTGCTCTGTGCTCAGAAAGTTACTTAACTATGGGGCATATAATCCGTGAGTTAACCTTTATACTTGATTGTTCTTGTGCTCATTTTGTTCTGTCAGTTTTATTTAGCATCACTTGGGAACACTGACTCCAGAGAAAGAACTTGCAAGAAATGTTCATGTATTCAAGTAGAAGGTTTAAATTTGTCTTTTTCAAACTGTTTCTCTGAATTGTCACTGAATGATTATCCCTTTCACTGTCAACATCAAAACTTCGGATCAATATCAGTATCCGGGCAACTGCCCACCTACCCCTCCCCTAACTCAGCAACAGTCAATTGACAACAAGTTAAGGTTGATGTTGGGTTAGGGGAGGGGTAGGTGGGCAGTTGCTCAGATGCTAATATTGATTCAAAAATTCAATTCTCTCCACTTCCTTCTTCCTTAAATTTCATAACATTTCAGCTCTGAGAAAATGTTATTCAATCAAATGATATCCCTAGGTTGTTGTTTTTGTTTCTTTTATCACCTATCTGCCTGAAAATGAAGTTATGTTTTATAAGAAAAATTACTTTCTATTGCCACCTGGATGTGGAAGGGGTTTGAACCATACCATAGAAAATGCAACCGGCTAGAATACATGAAAGCCTCTATATTTTGTGCTGAAGAAGGTGATTATGTATATTTGATAAGTTACAGATCTTATTTGTATTATTTATTGTCCATTTCCTTATTTTTTCCCTTTTCTCCATTCCTTTACAGATGGATTCAAAAGAAGTAAGTATTTTCTCTAAGTCATTAATATTATTATCAAGATTTCAGTGAGAGTTCACAGCTGAAAGAACACTAAGAACTTCAAGATTTTTTATTTGTGTCTGATTTGCTGGGAAGAAGTGCATTTTGACAAAGGACTGATGCTCAAAACATCAGCTTTGAAACTCTTTATGGTGGCCAATTTATGTGATCAACTCAGTTGAAAATACATAATTATCCTGTTATACTCTCTCACTAAGGCAGCACTACAGTTTTTTTCAGAAACGTACCCCCTTTATTTATTTGTGTCATTTTTTAGCCTTGTTCAAGCAGAGTACTGGCATGACCCTCTGAACGAGGAAGAGTACAGAGAGAAAAGTGTGTTCCTGGCTGATATAAACCAAGAAAAGGTGAATAGATTCAATCATGGTTTTTAAAATCAAAACTACAGCCTCTACCTGATAAGTTTGAGTACTGTCTTAACCTCATTGCTGGGTAATACATGGATATTATAGGGAAAGGTTAATACACGTTAATTACTTCTGAGAGTTAAACCCTTTAACTACCAAGATCTCATCAGTAATTCTCCTTACTGTCTCCCATACATTTCTTGTGATGTTAGTTTGGAGAATTTGGTATTGGATCAACTTATAATCTCCTGACTGATATTTTTCTTTATTCTCATCACTTGTCTGCTTGATATTGTATTGATATTGTAAGGAGAAATTCTGTCTTGGTCACTCATGGGAGTTAAAGGTTTAAGAGTTATATCATCCATAGTGAAAAGGATTTCAGTTGAATATTGTATGTTTGGTATGGTATGCTGTTTCAGAGGAAATTACCTTTTATTGATTTCATCTGAGAAATGGGTCCTATTATTAAAATTAACAGGAGAAGATTCCTCAGTATAAAGAGAACCTGATGAAATTAAAGAACTTTGTGATGGTCATGTTTGGCAAAGACACCATGGTTGATCCCAAGGAATCTGAGGTATGAGCTACTTCCATGAAGATAGGGATTCTAAGGGGGATGAAGTGATCTCTCTTGAAACCCATAGGCTAACTGATTTTAATTTTTACATACCTTTCTTCTGTAATTGGAATGTGATGGTGTTTCTTATTTTTCAAAGTTTTGTATCAACCTTAGAAAAGATCAGTAAAACTAGTAAAGACAACAGTTCAAAATAACAGTTCTTTGAGTCAAATTACTCTCATCAGTTATGTTTACAATCAATTGCAGAACAGGTTCTTAAAGAGCTATTTATATCTTCTTTTTCCTTATTGCCCTGACAATGTTGCTTTTTTTTAACTCTCTAGTGGTTTGGTTTCTATAAGCCTGGTCAGGGTGTGGAGAAATATACTCTGCAAGAGAGTCCATTGTACCAAGAGGTGGGCAACTCTGCTCTTTTTTAAAATAATCATATTGAGGGTCTACAGGTAGATACGAGTCATGTTAGCATCTTCCAAGTTTGGAAAAGTACCTACTTCAAAGGGTGGGGGGGAAGAGGTGGGTCTAGAGTGAAGAAAGCAACTTAAATGTGCAAAATTTTTCTTATTCACAATTAACTGTCGAATTGTATTGAGAAAAATAGAGACAAGTCTGTTTGAATGGAAGTTTTCACCAATTAAAACTGTCTCATCAAGGTTGCAAGAATGGAACAAGACAACTTTTTCATCCTGACCACTTTTTGAATGTCAAATAAAACAGAAAATACATTTGACCATTTTCAATTCTACTCAGACTGTGACTGTGATTGTGAAATATTTTCTATAAATTATGTTTCCTTTCTTATTGTAGGATTGGCTTGGACTAAAGCAAATGGACAAAGACAACAAACTCCATTTCCTAACTGCAGATGGGGATCACCTGCAATTTACTGAAGAGTTTTTTAATAAACAGATCATACCATTTTTGAAGTAAATTCACAAGATGGTTAAAGAAGCTCTACACTCTGTTGTTTGAACAGTTAATGATTTTTCATCAGACAATCATATGACTGTTGACTGTTTAGCCCTTATTGTTTGAAAAAGTATTGATTAATGATGGTTAGATGACAGAGTGTTTGTAAATGCGTGACTGAGTATTTTACATTTTTGTAGAATGATTTTTTGATACTTTGATAGCACTGGAGATCACATACAGACTAGTGTAAGTTAAATGAATAAAGGGGTAAGTTTCTAAAGAAACTGTGGTGCTGCGTCGGTGGGAGAGTATAGCAGGTAATTTAGTGTTAACAACTGGGTTGAAAACATAAATTAGCCACTGTAAAGGGTAAAAAAGCTGACGTTTCGAGCGTTAGCCCTTTGTCAGAGCGACTGGACGAAGGGCTAACGACTCTGACGAAGGGCTAACGCTCGAAACGTCAGCTTTTTTACCCTTTACGGTGGCTAATTTACGTTTTCAACCTATTTGTTAACACTAAATTACCTGCTTGTGTATGTTACTTGTGAAATTTAAAGTAGAAAGGAACAATAGTGTCAAAAATCAAAACTAAGATACATCAAAATTTTATTTCTATATTAACTAAATACTTCAACTTTAAATAATACAATAGCAAATTAAGGAACAATTTTGCCAAATCTTGTTCAAAATAAATACCTTTGCTTTGGTTTGTTTTAATGTAATTTATTCAATGCAGTTTTATCTTATAATATTACTATTTCTAGAGCCTTATTGCCTGTAATTAAAACCTGTTTTTAAAGTGTTTTACAATGTTAAAACTTGAGTATTTCACAAATTTTGTTTCCACTTTTAATTGACAATTTCTTAGCTTGAGTGCAAATAACCTAAACAACCTCCCTCTCTCTTGGGCTCTTTGATCCCCCCTTTCTCTACCCCCCCTTACATTTTAATTTTCTAGCAACAATCTTATCAGACTTGCATATTGGACCCCTCTACATACATAATATAGTTTCTGAAGCATAATTCTTTATTTGCTATCCCTTCCAAGGCTCTTGTATTTTAGGTCTTCCAGTCCTAAATCCTTCTTCTAACCCATCTAAAACATTCATGTCCTCAGTAGACAGTTGAAAGTCAAATATACTGGCATTTTCTACAATACGAGATGATTGACTAGACTTTGGAATACAAATATAGTTTTTCTGTATACACCATCTCAATAATATCTGTGCTGGAGTTTTTACATGCTTATCAGCAACAGCTTTAATTGTTGGGTGGTCAAGTTTCTCGCCTCTTGTCAATGGTGAGTAAGCCTGGATGGCAATGCCTTCCTCTTTACAATAGTTGACCACATCACTTTCTTGTAAAAAGGGATGAACTTCAATCTGGTTGACAGAGGGCATAACAGTTGAGTGCTTCTTTAGTTCTTCAAGGTGGTGAATACCAAAGTTAGACACACCTATTGACCTGTGGAGAAAAATTTCAAAATATTTATTACCAATAATTAGCATGACTTAGACACTTCTTGATCTCTTTTTCTTTTACAGTGGCAATAGACTCATTCTAAGCCAAGTCTGAACTCTTCATAGTAAATAATTCCATTGTGCTGAAGTGGGAATCCTTCAAAATTTTTGACAAGCAATCTGGTCCCTTCTTATTATGGGAGTTCCCCAAGCATACCACTATTAATAGCATTTTTCAGAAGTGCAAATCACATTCCTGAGATAGTATTTTTTAACGTCACTATTTGAATGATGGCATGTTATGTGTGCCTGAGGCAATGCACGAAAGTGTACGTTAAGACAGGCAGAGGGGGAGGAGGAGGTAATGTGGACATGCTCGAAGTCAAAGCCTTCTCAGTTCTCTTCTAAACAAGACTTACCCTGCTTGTATGAACAGTGAAACTTCAAATAAATTCTGACAAATTGAGACAAAAAAAAAACCCATTATCATTCGTCGCACACCGGTTACATGAAGATTTCTACAAACCTAACTAGTCCTTGCTGTCGTAGCTTGACCATAGCACTCCATGAGGATATTACATTATCAGGAACCGGAGAATGCATCAAATACAAGTCCACGTATTCCATTCCTAATTTTCCTAAGCTCTTATTGAACGCTGCTAGCGTTTTGTCGAAGCCGTGATCATCGTCATATAACTTTGTGACCACAAATATATCTTCTCGTGGAATTTTGCTTTCCTTGATGGCTTCACCAACACTGTCCTCGTTTTTGTATCTAGCAGCAGTGTCGATTTGTCTGTACCCATTTTCCAAAGCGCATCGTACGGCATTTTTAGTTTCCACGCCAGATCCTGCTTGGTAGACACCCAATCCAAAGATGGGGATTTTTACGCCGTCGTTAAGAGTCAAAGCTGAAGAAATATTGACATCAGGCTCACTTCTAGAAGGAGCTATGGAGTACAACTTCGCGTGTTTTACTTTGAAAGCTTTGTCTTCACACTTATCAGCGTCCCTGTTACACGTTTCATCGGCCAAAGAGAGGGGCACAATCAATAAAATAACAATTAGGTTAGTCATCTCTCGTTAGACGCTAACAAACTTAAGGAGTAAGAGGAATTCCAAATAATTCTTTTTCGACATGGCTGCTAGCGTGTACAATAGGAATTTCTCGGACTCACCTTCGCTTCCAAGCCTGCTGGATTGCAAACCGCGCTCTTTTGACAGATACCATACAAAATGTTCGAGTGGTTACCTTCGGAGAGGAAAATGGTTTTCTCCACCGAATCATTTCTTGTTAATATTTTACGTGACCTCTTATATGTCTTCCGATATCGCCGCCGCTGAGAAAATCAGTGTTTTAAGTTATTTTCATTCGCCTTAGTTACCAGTCTTCTGAGGAATCTTGCCCAAAAATCAAAAGGTAGGAAGCTGGAAGTAGCATGTTTCAATAATTTTGTGCTGGTTGTTTTTCTTTTTCTTTTTCCAGAAAAAGTTTGGAGGAGAACCGAATTATCAGTTCTACATAGTTTAAATTCAAAGGATTTGTGGAATATCCACTTCCCACCATGTGCAGGGAATTGGCAGGGAATCCCCACCGTCATATAACTCAATTCACTATTTGGCTCAAACTCAATAAAAGATCCTACTCTATAGTCATCCACCATTAAACCCTTTACCTCCCAAGATCTGATTGTTAATTCTCCCCTCTGGCTGCTACACATATCCTTATAAATTAGTTATGAGAATTTGGTATTAGATGAAGATAACTTCTAGCTGATAAGTTTGAATATTCTCATTAGAAGTCTACTGGATAATTTAAGGATATCATTGGCAGAAGTTTCATGTTCATCACTTCTGGGAGTTAAAGGATTAAGTAACAGATCAAAGAAGGCATGAAAATATAGCCAAAACAATTTAGGGGCACCCCAAATGGCATGAGACCTCCACTTGCCATAGTTTTACCACATTTGATGTCATCTGCATACTGTCCCAGACCAGACACATGTCAACATCTTATTTATTTATCTCTAGGGCTTTGCAGATCTTATTAGTTTGTAAAACAGTAACATGACATCTTGCACTTTCATGCGAAGTACCATTAATTTTTTAATTCAACTTGTATGCATATTTACATTTCATATGGTTTTACAACATTCAATCAAAATTGGCTCTAAACTACAAGCCAATCTCAATAAAGCTAAAAATGAATTATTACATCACTGCACAGCTCCTTTTAGTTAATAACTCACATAATCAGCTTCAAAATCCTTCCTTTTCACTTCTACACCTGTTATCATACATTATTAACTTAGAGAATTTGGTGTTTAATCAAGCCTGTAAGAAGCTAAAAACACCAATGCTCTGAAGGGTGGAGGTAGTTAAAACCAGAAGATTCCCTAATTGAGGCAAAATTTCCTACTGAAAAAAAGTTGTCTAAAGGACTGTCCTTCAATTAATCTGGCTGGCATCTCTACAGACCACTTTAATAAATAAGTTTATGACAACTCTTTTCCACAAAGGCTTTTATATTAATCAAGATCTGAATGTGACTATTTCACATGACGTCTGCAAAGTCAGGCTCATTTGAAGGATCATCTGGGGGTTCCTGCACCAAATAGGAATCAAAGAAGTCCATAGTAAGGTACTATAGTTATGGTAAAAAAATGTGATCTGTAGCACAGGCTTCTACCATTAGATTGTTCCCAGAATTTGTCACAGAAGGGATCCAGCTTTTTAAGTCCACTTAGACAGCCAAGTACTCCATTCTGTACCTGTTTTAGTCCATATGGTGACTAGGAAAACTTTTAGTGACTGACTTTAAAGAAAAATTTGCCTTATTGTTCCCAACTGCTAATCATATGACAAATGAAAAAACAGCAGTCCCACTTATTTCAAAGACAAGTAGAGTGGTCAGTGATATGATAGCTCACGCAATTTTCCTTCCCTATCTTTTTCCTCTAACAACCTTTAATTTATTTCTGGTGATCACAAAATGATTTTGCCTCCTTAAATGGTGGCCTTAGACAAAAAAAAGTTAAGCTTAGATCCCTGTAGCTATGTGAAGTGTAAATTCAAGCAATGAAAGTCAAATACTGACCTGATTCAATTTTTTAAACTCCACAACTTGATGGAAAATGTAATCCAGTATATGTCTAGCATCTCTGGAGGAAGCTGGCAGCTTGCTGGAAACTCCCAGGATATCACCACACTCACGGACATAATACTCAAGATCATCTTCAGTACCTAAAAAAAGGACAAATTAACTCTAAAATATTTTTTCTACCCTTTGAGAGGACAGACACAACCTGGCAGTCCTTGCAACTCCACCAAATATGGGAGTAGTTTTTCACTCAAATAACCAACAATAATATTTTGGCATATTGGTGCACTCACATTTGTTTGTTATCTGAGCCAGCCTTGTCTTCTCTGATGAGAAACACTCATCCAAATCAAACAAATCCAATGCTGGAGCAGGTAGCTCACGAAATGTTGGTGGAAACACCTACAAGAAAAAAAAATTTAATTATCAAGTGAGTCACTTTAGATTCTCTCATTAATTTTCATGTATGTCTCAAGAGAAAGTAATAACTCTCCTAATTAAAACAAGAATGAACACTTCAAGAAATTTTCACAGAGTTCAATCAGAGAGAAGGAGAATACCAAATGGAGCTGATGAGAACTCAGTGGAAAAACTGCGAATATTTGAGGGTGTAAAAATAAACCATTTTACATTAAGTTGGTTGAGAGAATGACTTGAGTTTTCTTGAAAAATCAAGGAGCAAAGCAAGGGGAAAAAGATCCAACATAACTCTCTATACAGTCACTCATTTTAAAACTATTTTTAAAAATTACAGGAAAACTAATCCTGAGCACATAGCCAGGAAGAGCATGGTTCTTGTAGTACTGATCAGAAGATTTCAATACCCCTAACTTTGTAAGAGATGTCATAAGAAATCCTTTAGATTTCACAAAGTGCTGATCCTTGAATGGCTTGTGGTATGGTATGCCCATTATGCCATGCACATGTCTGTAGTTTTTTTTAAATTAATTTTTCATAATAATCTTACTCTTTTAATGAAGACAATGTCTTAACTGACTAAAACTTATTAAGATTTGCAGACCAGTGCTTATTTTTCATGCTATAGAGCTTTTATTTTCAGAATAACTTTTCAATTTGAAGGAGACTGATTAATTTACCGCAGGCTGAAGTGGTGGAAGAGGAGTCTCAAACTGTGGAGTTATTAGTAAAAGTGGTTCATGCTTCACTCTTAGGTCTTCATATGCTCTGTGATATAAGAACAACATTCAGAAATATCAGCCTTTATTAAATAACTTAACAGTATGCAATTTTATTCGAAAGTGATCAATGACTGCTATTCAATACTGTGATTGTGCTGTTTGAGGAATGTGTTCCTGAAGTTTTAGTTTACACAACATTTGTCTCAAACCCTTACTACCCTATGTTTTGTATCATCATTCTTTGTTTATCTTGCCATCGGTTTAATCAATATCAAGTTACTAAAGGTGCCAAGGAAACCAATGGCTCCCACTAGCAAATATCATAATCACATTGTACTGTTACATTGGTTTTTCCTGTTCTTGCTACTCTGGTGTTACTTTCTAATTAAAATTCAACACACAAAGTCCAAACCTTGAAAGGAAGGCTTTGAGGTGAGAGCAATTGTTATGATTGAAATATATAAAAGGGTTGTTGGTGAGCTGATCATGATCTCCCTTTTTTTTAGATCTTCACTTCCAGAGTGAACACAAACTTGCAAAATGTAATCAGTAAAAAGGCAGCAGAGATAAATTTTAAGGTTTTTTTTAATATCTTACCTTATGGCAGCTGGAACTACACTTGTGTCAAGTTTGAACAGATTTTCGTCAAACATTTTTGTGATATCTGATCCAACACTCTGTAGAGGACAAGTGTCACACTGTAAGATTACCAATTTAAAAACTTTCAACTATAAAATCTACCCTAGTTGACTCACAAATTTAAGACTGATGCACACCCCATAGAGAACACCCACTATGAGGTCAGATTCACATGTGATGTCTCTGACAAAAACTTCCTCTTGGCTTATAAAATCGCTCATCCCTATCACCAACGCAGTTCTTTTTAGCTCCACCCTTGCATGGACAATCAGACTTCCCAATCAACTGTAGCTCATGGGTTTTTAGTGTTTGGCTTCAGTGACACATGATTGTCAATAGAAAATGTAATAGATGTATAATCTGAACTGAGTTGGTGGCTTAATTGAATTATGCTTGCATAGCAAACATGGTGTGTAGCTTTGCATTACGCCCTTCTAAAGGGGCCTTGGGCATGCTCTCCCCCCAAAAAAATTTAAATTTGAAACACTCTGAGATGTGATTCTTAGCATTCTGGGACAATGAGTAACTTTCTTTAGCCAGACATTCATGCTAGAGTCAGTTCATTAATACTTAATTTCCATCTTTGATCACAATTCAGAAAATAGCCAGTGCAAAACAGTCTGACAGCCAGTGGGTTTCTACCACCTACCAACTTCCAATGACAACTGTATTGTCTTAAATATGATTACAGCTACCTAACACAAATAAATAATTATTAACAAGTAGCCATTGTCTCCAGGACTTAAAGCAGACAATGATATATTCCTCTGCCTGTTATAATGTAAGACAACATTGTGATGACAATCATCCATCATTATCACACATTGACATATACTGTACCTCATCTCCTTCTTGAAGACAAACTCTCAGCCTCTCTGACATTCTTGGAATGTCAGGGATGTAATGGTAGTCTGAAATCTAAAATAGACAAATCATTAATTTTCCCCTCTAGCCACTACAATTTTCCTTGAGTTAGTTATGAGAATTTGGTGTTAAATCAAGATCACAACTACTATCTGATAAGTGCGAGTGTTCTAATTACCACTTTGTTAGATAGTATATGGAAATTATCAGGAGAATTTACTTGTTAATCAATTCTAGGAGTTTAAAGGGTAAACTTCTCTCTCTGGCTACAAACTATGGAAAACTGATAAAATATAATATAACCTTTAATGCATGTCAAATAACCAAAGACAAAAATCAAAATACCTCAGGGTCCTCTGCATCAATATTATCGAGTTGTATGTCATTTGATGTGAGCCACTGGAATACCACATCCTGGAAAGAGAGATGTGTCCATATAATAAATTTACCAGACAGTACTACAATAACTATATTTAAAAGTATCATGAAAATTGTTTGTTAGTAAGTAATATGCAAACCCTCTCACTCTAACTTACAATCTAATACTCTGTATTGTTTCCATACATTTCTAACAAATTTAACTCCCCCTCCCCTCCAAAAAAAAAAAAAAAAAAAAAAAATTAAACAAATTAATAATTATTCACCATACTGGAGGTGAATAGGGGTGGATATTTACCAAGCTACCAAGCAGTGAGGTATTATCCACCATTTTCACTGACACTGAGGTGAATAATTGTTTTAGTATTTACCAACACAAAGGTGAATAGTACTCACTATTCACTTCCAAACTAGCCAATCAGTGCACAAAAAGCACCATTCACTTATGTGGTATATAGTTCTACGATAAACTAGAATAAATTGAAAATAAACACAGTTTTCAAGGATGATAACAAAATTGTTGTCCTGAAAAATTTGTTTATTTACCAACCTGAACCTTTGCATTTTCTTCTTTGTCCAGATATTGATCACTGAACATGTGCACAGAGCCCAGGATGACCAATTTACCTTTTGAATACTAAGGAAAATATTTTATGTCAAAATAAAATTAAGGGGGGGTGAGCAATGAAATAGGCAATGTAATGTAATGTAGAGATCCTAAAAAGTGACTGATGGCTCAACTATATATGCTCAATTTGATTCTGAAGTTAAAAGAAAAATGCCCTTGAGAGATCATCATTTACTACTCATAATAGCAGGCAATAGTAAAAGGGGGTGGGGGAAGGGGAGGGGAAACAATACCAGTAACTAATTTCAGGTTAAGCCTAAACCCTATTAAGATTTAGATATGCAAGACAACATAACAGCTAATTTATTGGCCAACTTGTCCATAATAAAGAGAGCAAGACAATAAAATTTTCCTTGGGAAAAAAAAGTGTCTGAAGTACTCTAAAAGCAAAGGTCATTTCCTAGAAATAATTCTTTGCAGTTTTGGCCTGAGATTAAGAGTGTCTGTAGTCATAAAGTGTCCACGGGGTAACAGTTGACTGTCTCTAAATTTGAAAGATGATCAGAGATTCACATGCCATAGACATTGCAGCTGTGCAAAAGTTAGGAAATTTTTAAAGAATGAAATTGGCACATCAAACTTACTCTTGATGAGTGGAAGGCACAAACTGGTCTGTTCAGTGGGAAGGACACACTACCAGTTGATAAAACAGAAATGGCTGGTTTCACTACATTCAGTGTTGCACCAAAAGGATAAACAAATGTCAGGGATCTGTCAAAAGAAAGGGAAAATTGACCAAAATAAGTTAAGAAAATCATGATTGCTCCGACCTTTATATACAGCATATCTGTGTGTTTATTGCCTCTAAAGGACAGGAAATTATAGCATAGCTAATAAATTTATAATTATAATTCAATTGTAAGGCCTGCTTTGTACTCCTCTTGCACAGAGTAACAACTGATACATGTGCATGTATCAATACATTGATCAGAAGCACAGCAGATAGGATTTCATTTTAAGCAACATTTCAATTAATCAGTTAAAATTGTCATCAACCAATACTTCATGCTTCAGTGTGGCTTCACTGAGATATGAAGCATTTGAAAAGTTCGAGGGGCACTAAACAAGCTGTTTATTCAGCAAGTCCATATCATCCCTTTTCCTTTCCATTTGCTTTGTATCTTACTGGAGACACACTTTCATACTGACCAACTTTTACATGAAACTTACTGTCCAAGATCTGTCTTGTCTAGATCTGATGATCCTGGAACATACTTCCCAGCTGCTCGATTGATCTCTCTATTAACATTAGAACAGAAAAAGACAGTGTCAACATCTGTAATTCTTTAGGTAATTATATAAAATTTCAGATAAAAAGGCAATCAAAATATTTTTAATGGTCTATTTACATTGAAGAAATGTAAAATGGTTTCTGCTTTTCCGCTTCGCGTCGTGGTTTCCTACGCTTATCTTGTGTTCTCCCAACCTCCCACGTGTTTACATCAGGCTATGTAAACACAGAAACCATTTTACATTTCTTTTATAAACTAACTTATGAAAGAGGAACGAAAACCGTGTTTACATACGCTCATGTAAAATGGTTTTATGGCCAATCAGAGCATGCGTACTGTTTGAATTATTTTATAATTTAAGTTGTATAATATATTAAGTATTTACGATTATCATGTGGCAAGACAGTCCTGAGGTAAATCCCAACATTCTGATGTGGTCTTACTTGGTTAGTATTTTGCCATACAGAACATTTCCACAGAAACTGTCATTAGCTATGTATTTATGTTCACAAAAGCTCACAAATTCAAAATAAACAAGTTTCTGTGAGTGCTATATAATAGAATATTTCTGAACCTTGATCGCTCAAGCCGCACTGAGTAATATTGGCCAGTCCTAGTTGCACTCAGTTCATACTGCCACAACCTTGGGCCAATACTCTTCAATACAGCCCTCATCCTTGGTTAGTAAGAAGTTATCTTAGTCATGACTTACCTGTTGAGGACTCCATTCGAAATCAAAACTTCCTTGGGATGGAAATACTTGTAATACACAGTTCTCACAACTGAGTCTGTGGATCAAGATAATTTTGCAGTTGAAAAACAATGACAACAACAAGCAACACCTATGCTGTGGCAAATTTTGTGTGTACACAATAGGTGTCACAGGGATCATTGTGTAGTTATCATGGGCTATATACTTTACTCTCACAGTGATTCCTTTACCTTAGGAATGTAAAAGGATACTACAGATCAACTTCTAGGGACACCTGACAAATTGGCAAAAGGTTACATAAGAGGGACTAGGTAAAATTTTAAAAAACGTCTGTAAGAAGTGTTTGAATGGTGTACAGCTGTTACATACTGACCATTATTCACCATGATTCCATAATCTTCTATCAGGAAGTTGATGTTAGTGTCAAAACGACTCTCTCCTCCTTCTCCCAGTAGGATCAGAAGGCTTCCTCCTTTTTCGATGTACTGCTTTAGTGCTTCAAACTGAAACAGAAAAAAAAAGTGTCATTTCATCATTTCTTCTTTCACTGTTGAGCCACATAAACAGGACTTCCAAGTAGGGAGGGGGAGAAATATATGACTAGCATCTTACTTGCATTTGGCAAGGTAGGTTGCTTTATTATATAATTATATATACTCACCATTGACTTAATATTCTCTTCAAAACCAAAATAATCAAATGGAACAGGTCGGAATAAGGTGCAATTATTAGAGGAGTTGAGTGAGAGGGCTAAAATTAACACCCTCAGGGGGAGAGGCTGGGATATATTTCAAGAAAAATAATTTGACTATTCTTAAAGAAATTTCTATAAGTCATGTACTCAGTGATAGCTCATATATTACCTCAGAAGCAGTAAACTTTCTTCTTGGTCCTCCAAATATGATTAGTTTGGCTGTTAAAATTCTCTCCAAGGTAATTTCATCTTTGTTACTATTGAAGTTGTAAATAAAAATAGTGAGCAAAAGTGTTATAAAGACAAGCCTTATTAGAAACCACTTATAATATTCACACAAGTTGAACACAATATTGTGAAAGTTAGAAACATATAATTATTATATATCCTTACTATAGGGGATACATATTTAACCGTTTCCATTCCACTGATTTTAAAATTGCCTGTCAACTTGTATTTGATAAAAAAAAATACATGATAGCTGTAGGGACCTTCTGTTCACTTCAACCTTTGAACCCTCAGGGTGACTATCATGTAATTTCTCCTAACAGCATTGTCACTGAATCAAATAGTAATGATTGCCAGCATAGGAAGTTCTTGATTGATAAACATATTCTCCTCCTCATTATCAGAGAAGATGTACAGAGAACAGTGTGGAGAATATGTACTTTGATGTTAGAGTGTTAGGGGTTAAGTGTCTTCTTGAATGTTAGTTAATGGCAAGAGTAGTATATATGTACATACGTAATAACTTTCCAATTGGATCTCAGTTTTCTGACCAGTGATTTAAAACCATTATTTGGCGTGAACAGTTCTCCCTTGGATGCATTAAAGATAATTGTATTGCTCTGCTGCCCTTCAGTATTCTCATTGTTGGCATCCTAGAGTAGAACGATGAACAGAGCAAAATGTATGTTACAAGTCCCTTGAATGAAACAATTTTTATTGAAGATAAGACTTACAACTTACAATAATTTAAAATTGAGAGTTGTTTGCAGTTTGGCTTTTTTATTGTATGAGAATTTTCAAAACTGATCTCTAAATATCACAGACAATTAAGACAGAAAGACTTAACCCTAAAACCAAATGAGTGACTTGCATCTAATTTCTCCTAACGATCCCTCATTAGGGTTATGAGAATAAGGGAAATGATCACCACCTAAAGAAGCTCTTGATTGCTGAACAAATTTTTAAGAAATGTATAAGGAACCTCATATAGAAAATGCATACTGATGGTTGATTGAAAAGCGTATTTGCAGTTGGTCAGTCGATGGTTTTACAAGTGAGGAATGTCCGAGTTGGGCTGCAAATTAAATATAAAACTTAAGAAATTCAGCACTGTTTCTTATTTCCCCTAAACTAAAACAGTTTTGTTTTCCTCGAAATATTATTAATTTTACAGATCATTTCTGTTTGAAATGCAAGACCTACAAAAGAAATGAATTTTCCCATTACTTTCCAGACGGTAATATTATATTTGTTCTTCAGCTGCGGTTGAACCAGCTGAAATGAACTCAATTCACATTCCTTAAGCACCGAAGAAGGTAAAATTATCGAGGGAAAAACAAATCACTGCGTTTTAGTAATTATTTGCAGCTCAAGGTGGGCTTCTCGAATTCCTTAGCAACACAATCCGCTTCAAAATAAATAGACGCTCGATTTTCCTAATGATTTTTCAAGCGAGAAAATCAGCGTATAAAGAAGCGAAACATACTTTCCGACAGGATTTCAATAAAATACGATTATTTTATGCAAATTCTAGAAGATTATCTCTGACTGATTTAAGTATTTAGGAACCTTTTTCGGGTAAACTTTGCCAACTTCCTACCTGTGTTGTTGTTCCAGGCGCCATTTTGATCATTGGCGATCACAGGGAGCAAAAATTTGGACTAGTTCCCAGGGAGGCCGTTAGGTGGGCCGGGCCTAGTACTCCTGCTAGATATGTTGAAAGGGATGACCCTGGATGTTTTTTTTGTTTTAATCGCTTTTGCTTTATATTACTTCAAGTGACATGTGCACAGCTCTCGAATCTTCCACTTGGCTAAAAGGAAGTGATAGAGATTACAACGCGGGTTAAATCTTAAGGTTTAGCAACAGACGACTAACTCTTTAAAGCCCTCAGCAGGCCGGATTGCGTTCAAGATCGTAATGACGCACTCTAATCATTACAGAGGATGGACAGAAAATCTCCCCTGGCTGCTAAACTGAGAAGGCAGCGTTTGGCGGAAAGACGTTTCCGACAACTTTTAAAGGAGGTTTTGCCTCTTGTGGCCGCGGCCTTTTTAAATGTAGTTGGGCTCGGTGTAACCGAGCTAAGCCCATTAACCTCTGCTCAAATTTCCAACACTTCCTTTCCGTGGATCTTTGGAAAAAGCAAACCTTCTTGCTCCCCCAACAGAGTCCAATTTGTTAATGATCGACTTGCGACAAAACATAATTAAGCGGTTGTCCGAAAATATCGCCAAGAGCTTTACTGATGAAAACATTTGTGAAAAAAAAAAAAAAAAAAAAAAAACCTCGAGACCAAATATTATGCAAGGCCAGTTTCACAGTATGCTTGGATGAATTCGCTAACGAGATTTAAGCGGGGGGAGGAAAGAAGCTGTTTCCTATCACGCCTACCACTTACCTTTACTGATTACATAGTTCTACGTAACCAAATCTCTGCTTTCTAACGATTATTGTGAAGCAGTGTTGATGCTATCTTAATTTTCAAGTAAACAAATAAGTAAATTATTTAACACTGAGATTTGACTCCTTAATCAATTTATTCCGATAAAAATATTTACCATATTCAATTGATGGTGAAACGTAGAAAAATGTAAGGTATTCCTTTCATGCAGTAAAATGAATCTTATGGATTATGTACGCAACAAGCCACAGGTTATGTTTTTATAAGTACCATGCTGTCGGAGTTGGAGAAACTGAAAGGGTGAATAGATTTATCTTCTTTGGTTACAGTTTTACGAAATGATGACCTTGATTCGGTTTAATTATAGCAGAGGTAATGTCTTTAACGGATGTGTACAGTATTTATAGAGCCATTCTATGACCCTTTCTTCCGACGATAATTGGCGATACCGAACAAAAATTCTCGGTCTTGGATTTCTGCCTTGAAAAACTCCCGGAACAAGCGAGATGCTGCCACTTTCCGTAGTTTGACTTCGTAGTGTTGACATACTTGACCCGGCGTCTAGAGCTCTCTTTGTATTTCTCATAGAACTTGTATCTGGGGTCAGTCTCGAAGGAGTTTGAGAAGTTGTATACAAGGAAGTCCTGGACAGCGATCTTGACGGGGAAATAGTCGTCCTTATATTTGACACAGTAAGCTTTTCTTGCGGCATCCTCGTGAAGATGTAGCCTCTCTTATCTTGCGTGTACTCCAGGGCCTTGGAAACTCGAGCTGAAGTTGTATAAACATCTGTCTTCAACGGATGCATCGGTAATATGCACACGGATTTAGGGCGCTGCAAGTTTGATACTCTGGTCTTGAGGGGCCAGTTAGAATGATCAATACGTGTTACCATGTTGTTTCAAGGACTTGGAACTGCTTTTAAGTCAATTGTTGTATATATCCTGAGTGTCCTTCCCGACAGTTGATTTCGATTAGATCCGCTTTACAATCGTGCAATACCTTCATTATCACATTATCGTATTGCCCGCATCAAATCGATCGCAATTCGCTACATGCCTCAGTTCGAAATAAGCCAGAGAATTGAAGTTTCGACAACGTCAAGCAACAGAGATATTCTGTTTCTGTTTACATAAGCAAATTGTCGTTGAATGGAATGATAACCCGACCGAATTTATGACACGGTCTATTGTTACAGGAATTGTTTTGCAATTTTTCACATGACTGGTTGCCAAGGGAGACAACAATGGAATATCATTGAACGGCAAACTCGATATGAAATGCGTTTGAGAACAAACTGACAAGTTATTTTTATATTGGAAGCCAAGGACCATCGCAAAATATTCATGACATGTAACTAAAGGACGGCAGGTATTACTTTTTGACCCTCTTAGCTTTAATCTTTTTTTTTTGACAGAAAGTTAGTTACCGATAACTTTCAAGCCTGCACAAGAAGTTTTCACTGTCAAAGTAATAATAGCTCACTAATCCTCTTAACCGTTGCGCCTGCACAAAACCTCACTCCCTAATTAGCCCACGTATATATAATTTGCCAAAGAAAGGCTCGTCTGCGTTATCGGCTAATTGATTTCTAATTGCCACGGTGCGATCCCGTTTGCGCAACAGGTGATCAAAGGAAGAATCACAACGTAGAAAGAAGATGCTTGCGTGTAGATGCACGCGTTAAGCTCGGAAGAGGGAGCGCGCCTCGTCTCGTGCACACTTTCTAAACTTCTGAGGGCCTTCCTGACCGCTCTAGCGCAAGTGGCGGTCCGCAACTGTCTAGCATTCTCAACGGCAACGCTTTTTTTTAAATTTTTACCTAAGAAAGTTTTAAGCTAGTTTTGCTTCTTTTCTTCATGATCAGCATTTAAAAGAACTCTATTTTAGAAAGCGTATTGTCAGCCGACCAAAATTTGGACACATTCAAGGAGAAAAGTTACTACATGAATAAAAACAGATTTTCGTCCAAAACGAAAAGTTTCTGCATTTTTTTGGACAACATTGCAAGCCTTTTGAATGGGCGCTTATACCTAACAACATTGAAATACACCCCAACTTCAGCATTCACATTCTCCACACTGGTCTCTGTACATATCTTAAGGTAATAACAAAGAGAATTTAATTAAAATCAAGAACTTTGTTTTTCAAAACAAGTTTGCGATCATTTCGTTAATCCTCACGAGACTAACGTCTCAATGAATCAACAGCTCTCAGGGAGAGACTAGTTTCTAGTCACCCTGAGGGGTTGAAGGGTTACGCATGTCATGATACTTAAAAGAGGTTCTAAATAAGCCATGGAGAGGAAGGAAATGATGTTACAATGATTCCCTTAATTTTGAAACTTTTTTTCATAAAGGAAGTGAATTTTTGTCACTTTCCAGTGTCGGCACTCAACGCCTTTGGGAGATGGGTTAGTGTACAGTCTGACATAGTCGTTTTCTGACGACCTCTGCAACGCAATCAACATCTACTTCCCGGCGAAGAGTGTCAAACTACATCCGACTGACAAACCCTGGATGTCTGCCGAAATTAAATCATTAATCCTGGAGCGGCAGCGCGCATATCATTCTGGGTCTAACGATAGATGGCGACTCCTCAGGAATAAAGTGTGCAAAGCAATCTGTAAGCGCAAGAAGGAATTCTTCGCCCGCAAGGTGATGAGTCTCAAAACCTCAGACCCTAGAAGCAGGTGGAGCCTGGTGAGCAAGCTTGCTGGCAAATCTTTTACCGATTCCGAGTTATGCTATCCTGACGGACATGGCAACATTATCTCAGGTAAAACCTTGCCACTCGTCTGAACAGCTATTTCATATCTGTTACATCTGACATCCAATTACTTGACACCGCCGCCCTTCCTGCTTTCTTGCCATCGCTGAACCAACCACCAACTATTATCATCTCAGCTGTATGTCATAAGCTACTTGGTCTTACTACAAAGCCTTAGGGCCGGATGGCATTCCTGCGCGCCGCCTCAAAAAATTTGCACCTGAGCTTGCTGAACCAGTAACTGTGATCTTCAATCGTTCAGTGTCATCTGGCGTTTTTCCAGAACGGTGGAAAGACTCTCACCTAACACCCGTCCCAAAGGTCAAACCAGTTACGGGTGACGGGGACTTGCGACCTATCGCCTTGACTCCAGTGCTCTCTAAGGTGCTCAAAGATTTCTTTGTCGAGTGGCTGATAGATGAAGTTAAACATCATATTGATCCTCAACAGTTTGGCATCCTTAAAGGTACTTCTACAACCCACTGCCTATTGGACATGCTGCACAATTGGCTGTCGTCCCTTGACTGCCCTGGCAAGTTCCTCCGTGTGTGCTTTCTGGACTTTAGCAAAGCATTTGATCACATTGACCATACCATCTTGGTGACCAAGCTTATCCATCTAGGTGTTAGAGGCTGGTTGATTAGTTGGATTTGTAGCTTCCTCAGTGGCCGCCGCCAGGCTGTTAAGCTGTTGGACTTCATCTCAGAGTGGATGCCCGAACATGCCGGTGTCCCCCAGGGCACCAAATTGGGTCCAATCGTTTTTCTGATAATGATCAACGACCTGGCTACTCACTCCCCCCTCCGCTCGAGCCACTGGAAGTACGTCGATGACGTAACAATATCCGAGGTCTCCAGTTTGGGGGAGGTGTCATCTCTGCAGAACGACATCGACTGCATTTCGCAATGGGCCCTGTAGAACAACATGAATCTCAACCCTAAAAAATGTAAGATCATGACCATCTGTCCACTCAAAAACAAACCCGTTTCCCCAATGCTCTCTATCAATAATTTACCTCTAGAGGCAGTTTCATCTTACAAAGTTCTTGGTCTGACCCTGTGTGACACCCTGAAGTGGAACGATAATACCAACGACATCGTCTCCAAAGCGTCCAAGCGACTGCACATTCTTAGGGTCTTAAAGCGCGCTGGGGTCCCTCCGGCGGACTTTGTCACCATCTATAGCGCCTTGGTTCGCTCTGTCCTAGAATAATCTTCCGTTGTCTGGGCTACCTGCCTTCCTCGCTTCCTCATTGACCAGCTAGAAGCTATCCAGAAGAGGGCTCTGCGAATCGTATATCCTGACCTCCTCTATCAACAGGCTCTCGCGCAAGCCAACATTACCAGTTTAGAGGATAGACGCGCCCACCTGTGTCTCAAATTGTGGCACAATATCAAAAATAACCCGGCCTGCCAGCTGCACCGTCTCCTCCCTTCCGTGCGATCCGAATGCCACTCTCACCATATTAGGAACAGTAGCAGTTCTAGCCGTTTCCAGTATAGAAAAAGACGCTTTGGTTCTAATTTTTTCCCGGCAATGGCGAAAATCAACTAATCAATAGGAGTCTGGTTATTTTTATTATAGTATTTTATCCATATCCGAATTGTAAATTACTTATAAATAGCCTGTAATCCCAGTCCCTTCGAAACAAATGTAATGTAGGCACACTGTAATTCATAGTTTTTATACCACCGTGTGTATTTTAATAAACCATCATCATTATTATTATTATAACCTGAAAGTGCTCGGGGCCCCTTCATCGAAAGTAATGATGTATCCCCCCCCCCCCCCTTCTTGTGACAGTTCTGTTTCGGACTAAAATCCTCACTTGGTTTACAGTGTGTAAAGAAAGAAATGGAACACTTCCGAAACTGCGTCGTAGGATTAGAATAGGGCATCAGTAGAGTACAGTCGGTGACAGGGGCGAGGATGTGGTCCGGGGAGCACGTGACCACCCCCCTTTGTATGATAATTTTGTTTTTTCATACTTAATACGAAAGGTTTGTGAAAAGACGCGAATCCAAAGGACTCACCTTGTATGAATCTTTTCCAGTGTGTCAAACGTACATAATCTATTTTCTTGAACGAGCGTCTGTGGACGTTACCCCACCCCTAGGCTACCTTTTGGGCGAGAAAACAATTTTCCAAAAGAAAGTTTTATTCAACCAGACAGGAGCTCATAGAATTTATTATTATCAAAAAATTGGCAATTTTGAGATTATCGAGAAAACCTGCTGGAGCTCAAACCGTCAATCTGTTTCGCGAACTGGAAAAGATTGAGAGCTCTTGTTCCCTAAGAGAGGACATCTGAGTTTGTACCAGTTTTTCCTGTACACTTCAGAGTATGAAAGGAGAGAAGAGAAACTTATTTTGTTTCTAGATCTCTCTCTGACTTCTGTGGTCAAAATGATTGTTACATCATTGTGGTTCGCAGATCGGAAGATTATGGAAGATTTCGCATAAAAGGTGGCTTTGATGTGCTATTTCTAAACCGGAAAGAACACAAAAAACAATTGACGGATATTTTGCCCATTTCATGTCCCCCTTTGACTTGCGTCTTTTATCATTAGGAATTAAAAACTCTCAATTTGCGTGTGGGGGAGAACAGCACTTGGTTTGTAAAGCTACCCTCCCGAGGCACAATTTTGCTTTAAAAAAGTATCAAATTTGAACTGCGAAGGGCCATCAAATACCCAAATACTCTCTCCCAATCGATGGTTATATTTTCTTCTGTCGATGTCCAGCCTCTGTTTTGAGTACTGCCTCAAAGTGGCGATTTAGTTGCGATCCGACGAGTTTTTCTTTTTAAAGTGGTTACAGATATGGATCGGCGGGGTATATGGACGAACTCATTGCTGAAAATTTAAACTTTGGCTTTCTTTCCCGTGTGGTTGATGGTGATACAATCAGAGTTATAAGACTGCGTAGATGAACAATGATTAATTTTATCATAAAATTAGAATTAGCTTTTAATGGCTCTGTGTGATACTGCAGGAAAAAAGAAATATCATGGGTATTTGTAAACAAAACATTTTTCTTTCCCTTTTCATCATGCCCCCCTTTTTTTTTAAAGCTATCCTTCCTCGGTTGGCGCTGAGGGTGTCTGTGGTTCGAATGGAATTGTCTTAGAGATAATTCGGAGGTTGGTCGGTTAGTTCTATAAAGGATAAATCAAAACTGAATTTAAATCCCACTCGCCCATTCCGCGCTGATATTTTGTACGTCATGGGATTAAAAATAGCATTTCGAATGTTTCATCTTACCACCTGTCCCAAACCATTTCTTGTTCTTCAAGCAAATCACTTTTCTATTTCGTTTGACGCAAATTCTCACTATGGTTACAGATCAGGGTAAGCCAGTGAAATCACGGACTTTATTATCTTCATCGAATAAACACCTCTTTCGGGTTGTCGAAACCATCCAAAGAAAATTGACAATGTACGCATTAAAATTTAAATAACAAATTCTGCCCCCACATCCTATGTAAATGTTCAGTGTTCTTGCGTTGTCAGGAATTCACACAGGCAAAGAAAAAGAAAAATCTTCAGCCGCTTTATTGTGATTCAATTATCTTCGTCCTGATTTTCTCGTGTTTTGATTCACACATATACACTTTCTCTGTATGTTGTGAGAAATTTCTTTGAAGAGATTATTCTTTAACAAGGCGAGAATTTTTTTTTGAAGAAATATTTGTATGGTTGATTTTTCTTTTGGGATTTTTTTTTGGAGAAGAAATATGAATTATTCAAAATCAGACGAATGCGCAAATTGAAGATCAATTATTCTTTGCTAAACCAACTGCTCCTAAAGCTGCTTCCTGATTGGTCTGTTCATCACTAACAGAAGAGTTCTCCCTCGCATTTTCTATCGCCATGTTGCGGAGTTGACAGACTTACGAAAATGTCTCTTCTTCTACTTCTAAAAACTTGCTCCAATCTTCGAGGGAAATCTGACCGAATAGCGAGGGTCACTTTTAGAGGTATGTTTTTTAAAATTCTTCAAGAATTAACAGCTGTCAGCAGCTTGAAGTTTCTAAGGAAGCCTTTCTGGCAATCGCAAACGATTCGCGGTAAATTTTGTTAGTGGGCTTCGAAAGTCGCTCTCAGTCGTTCTTTTACCGTAATTTTTATATGTTTTATCTGGTTTAATTTGGAATTTTTTATTTTAAGTTTTATAATCATTTTCAAAGGCACGATCCATTCTCTAGACTGGTTTATGTTGTAGCTGGTGAATTTTTCTTAATTATTCAAGTTGTGTAGTTCGGCTTAATTGCGCGCTAAGCGTTTTACATGGTTTTCTTCGTTGGGAATTCTCATCGTTTTATTGCTTTTGTGATCCCCAAACTTCGTCAAGCTCATAAAACACCGCTTCAGTTGCATAGCTTTTATTCAAGAGTCCATTTCACCGAGAATATATATCTGTTTGTTAGTTGGCAGTGATATTTCGAGTTGTCTTGGTTTTCAGTGTGGCAAATTTTCGAAAATTAATTATTGTAAAGTTCTTTTAAGGTAAATGAGAAATCCTTCGATTGTCTTTCGCTCAAAAATTGTCAAAACACCGTTTTCTTCGAAAATCCTACCGAGTAATTCTATATTGCGTTAGAAGTTACAAGCGTTTGATGTTAACCTTCCTTCCGTAAACCGATCGCGGTGGTCGAGAAAATCATTCAACCATGCAAACTTCAGCATAGTTTGAATTTCTTTTAAATGTTGAAGTTGTCATTTCTTCGTTAAAAAAAACTCTGTCTCAGTAGGATGGCTAAATTAGAACCTGTGTCATTTATTTTGGGTTTAGAAGGCAATATTTTATCGTTTCTGCGTGGAAGATTTACAATGTTGGTCCGCCAACTTAAATGTCTTCGAATGCTTCCGGCAGAAACATGGCGGTGGGCTATGTAGATTTCATATTTATCTATGTCGCAATTTTTTCGTAGGACTGTAAAATTTTATTTTTGCAGCATTCTTTATAATTTTACTCTGTGTAAGGGTGAATGTTACTTAAAAATATCTGTCAATATAGATCAATCACAAGAATTACTTTCAATGTGTGTCATAATTTTTATTGTGTAAACAAACGAGAAATTTAACGACAATGTTTTCATGCCAAACTTTTCAGCGAGAGAAATAAATATGTGTACGAGTTTGAAAGCGACTTGATATTTGTTATTTTTTTAAAATTTCATTGCATTTGAATGTGTGGTAAATGGTTATTATTATTTAGAATATGTTTCCTTCCTGTAAAAAGGAAAGAAAGTCCCTCTAATAGTTGAATTATATTTACAGTACAGAGTTAAATTTATTCCTTTGTACTGATAAATCGAATGTCAGATTACCAGACTGAACTAGGAAGACAAAGCATGCTCCTGAACTGTGATATTTGTCTTTTATCATTGATCAGCAAGCTTAAGCTGGTCTTATCTGTTGATCTTGGCTGTGTCAGAGTGAATTTCAAACATGGAAATCTGGAAAACAGAATTCAATTTTTTGAGTACAAAAAATATGTGATGTAATTTTATTTGATAAGGCTAACAGGTGATGAGGTTAAAATTTCCAATGAAGAGCTTACAGCACTGACAGATTTGTGTAATTTTTTTCTTTTTTGTGTTATTGGTGTTTCTTTCTAAGTAGCCCCTTTTGTATGGCTGTTTTGTCTTTATAATCCGTCTTGACAAAAATCTATCAATGAGTTAAAACTCTACTTCAAGCATTGAGTTGTTGAGCAATTGGTCACATAGAACAGTATGATTTTCTAAACATGAATAATTTTGGATAAATTCATTGTTTAGTCTTGGGTACTCTATATGTTTTGACCATTTCTACGATTTAAGGAGGAAAAGAAAAGCATTACCTTGATTTTGAGTACCTGAAAGATGCCCATTGTGGAATAAAGGCATACTTGTGTTGACAGAAGTGACTGTGTCCCAAGCAAACTAATAAATGAGTGAACCAAAGTTGGAAGCATGTTTTAGTTTCTGTTTAGATTGTTTCCCAAAGTGTAATTTAAACACATAGTTCAAATTAATTACAAGATTTTTCAAATTGTTCGTGTTTTCCTCCCATTTTCTGTTATTTTAGATCAAAGTGATTTATTCAAATAGTCAAAGCAAAATAGAATTAGAACTTGTTGGAAAACTCAATAACAAAGGAGAAAGTCTAACAAGTTGAGATCCAAAGTTTTTCTATGGAATTTATATGTTTGTAGTGTATGGTGTTGTTCCATGTCCTAAGTATAAGTGTAACGTAAAGGAAAGTCAACGGAGATTTATTTATCGACAATACATGTAAACTTGGCCGTGTAGTCAAACCATTCCTGGCGACACAGGTGTTACATGAATGAGACTGACAAGTGTGACAGGGTGACTTCTTACCTCATACACCATTATTTCAGATAAATTCATGTTTTTTCGTTTGTCCTTAGGTGTAACATATCAGACAAGTGTTATTGAAAACTGTTCTGAAGCTGATTGGGATGAGGTATGTATTGGCTCCCTTAACCTTTGAATTGGTTAATCCTTCACACCCTAACATCAAAATGGATAATTTCTCAATACTGTTCTCTATATATTTCATATGCTATTAATTAGGAGAATTTGTTTAAGAATCAAGAGCTTCTATAGTTGGTCATCATTTCCTTTGTTCTTGTGTTTCAGAAGTGATACTGTACGGAGAAATTAGATGTTTAAGGGTTAAAATTTGTTTTATTCTTTACATCCTCATTTCAGTATGTCTATTCTCTGTACTGTTCTCTATACATTTCCTATGCTACTATCAAGGAGAATTTGTTTTTCAATCAAGAGCTTATTAACTCAACGTCAGTCTCTTGTGTGTGTGATAAGCATAGGGCAATTCTAAAACTGACTCCTGTGTTTTGAAGCTTGGATAATGCTATCTACTAGATAAATCTCTATCTGGTGGATAGTGTAGTTTGTTTTGGAATCACTTAATTATCAGCTGGATAGCGATTTATCCGATGGATAGCTTCCAAAACTGGGCTGAGTGGTTTTATTAACCCTTTCATCCCAAGATTTCATGAGTAATTCTCCTTACTATCTGCTATACAATTTATGTGATGTCAGTTTGGAGAATTTGGAATTGGATCGACCAATAACCCCATAATTGAAATTTTTCTTTATTCTCATCACTTGTCTGCTTGATATCATACTGATAATGTAAGGAGAAATTCTGTCTTGGTCACTAGTGGGACTTTAAGGGTTTAGGGATATTTAAGCAAATCACACTGAGATGTTTTACCCATTTATTTGAAAAATAATATAATTTCATTTCAGGACTTTGAGTGGCCTTTGGAGAGTCCACTGGACCCCAGTGAATTCATTGAAATTGAAGTTTACAACTTCAACAAAATCTTCAACAACAGGTTTGGTTAACTAGTATTTTGAATTTTGAATTAATTTTTCTGTGGTCAAGTTGCAATTAGGTTTTAAGGGTGAAACAGCTTTAGAATAATCATTGATCAATTTTGATCAATTTATTGATTACTATTGATTTTGATTATTAATTTCAGACTGGTTGGAGTGTTTCGCATGGTACTCCAAAAGCTCATTCAAGATGGGCATTTGGAAGTCAGAGAAAGTCTTATTGACATGAACAACACAGTACTCAAGGTGAGATTCTGGCTCAAAATGTGCATTAGTGTACAGGCATAACAACTGCCTTGGTACAATTGCATAAAGCTAAACCTAATTACATAAATTTTATGGTTTTTGGGTTGTGTTTTATAAGCTTTCTGGGATCCTTATCACATCATGTTCAATAACATATTATTATCCCATTAAAATGATGGAAAGTATGGTTCTATCCTATACTGTCACTTGTGCAATGTACACATGTTGTCAAACTGTTTCCAAATTTAAGTGCTAATGATTTTCTTCTGCATCTCTTTTTAGCTCTTTTATTTAACTGTGAATTTGTCTTGACTTAATGTAACAGGGGGAGGTAAACATTTGAAATGGTTTCAATCAGAAACTATTTGAAATTTCAGACAGTACTAGAAGTCTAGAGTACTAAATAAATGTACAATCAACATGTTTCAATCCTGATAGCTTTACGATTTTTGTTGTTTCCGTTTTAGGCCAATGTTGAACTTGAGTTGCAGTACAACCCTCCTGAAGGAAATGTATCCCAGTGGGTGAATAATATCAATGACTCCCTTGATGCCTCACCCCATGTTGGTTACATGCCTGATGGGCATTACCAGATGGACCCATACAACCCTGACCCATACGGGAGAAAAGAGGAAAGGAGGGCATCATTCATGGGAAGCACATTTGGCAGCAAGGCATCAAAGAGCCAGTCTATGACGAGCCTCACCTCTGGAGGCCAGCGGCATCATAGTCGAAAGGAGTCAATGCCTGCTTCCTTTGGAGGAGGTGGACGCCTGATCACACCTGGTGAGGGTGGAATGGGTGGATCACCTTTTGATGCAATGTTGAAAGGAGGTGAAGGACTTGGAAGCCGAAGAGGATCACAGATCAGTATGCAGAGTGATAGAAGCATGAGCATGAAGTGGTAAGTTAACTGTTTCATACTACACCTAGGAGTGACCAAAAAGGAATTTCTCCCTTCCATATCAAAACTTTTTCAAGGAGGAAGGTAACGAGAAGTGAGAAAAATGTCAGCTAGAGAGAATTCCTTAACCCCTTCACCCCCAAGATCTGATTGGTAATTTTTCTTACTATCTGCCATATAATTCTTATGATGCTAGTTCAGAGAATTTGGTATTGGATCAACTAATCGGAAGCTTGTTTATAAAACTTTTATTAGGTGGACATTATTATGCAATCATAGTGTTGGACAGATACAAAACAGCCTTTTCTTCTTTATTCTTAATGCAGCAGTCACGCCCATCCAAGAGTAAGAGCGGAGAAGAAAATGTCAGTTAGAGAACAGGATTATCAGGTAGGGTGAATTTGATTTTTGTCATACCACAGTTTATCTTCAGATTGTTAATTATAGTAACTGTTTCTTTTTTCCTGGATCGGTTACTTGAACCTTTAACATCTCAGCATCAGTATACGTATTCTCTACACTCACCTCTACATGTTACCCATTGATGCTGACAAGGAGAATTGGTTTAACAATCAAAGCTCCTTATGTTGGTGATTATTTCCTGTATTCTTGCGACCCCAATGTTTCATTTAGGAGTGACTTTTAAAGAGCAATTAGATGCTAGTCACTCTTAGGGGTCACAAGGTTAAAATTGTTCTTTTGTTGTTTTCCTAGATACAAATTCGAATTCTTGAGGGAAGGCAACTTGCAGGTACCCAGATTGATCCTGTCTGTACTGTAAATGTCGGTAATCAAAAGAAGAGTACAACTGTAAAAGAACAGACCAACTGCCCCTTCTGGGATGAGGTGAGATGAATTCTTTGTGTGAGGTAACTATATAGCAGCAATTGAAAATAAATCAGTTTTTTATTTGTAACTGTAAGTTTTAATCAGTTTCTTGCTAAGTCTGACTCTTTCTACTTGTTATTTCTTCCCTCAGTTTTTCGTCTTTGATTTCAAGATGCCTCCTATGGTTTTGTTTGACAAGATCATCAACTTCCAGGTAAACAACAATTCTCTGCCTGTCTTGGTGACCATTAAGTTATGACACAATTATAGAAAAAAAGAGATTTACAAATCATGATTATTGCTATAGCAGGTGTGCCAGATCAGTCAACTCTTGACACTGACAGTATTTAACTATTTGTAGTTAAACAAACTCATTGTGGTGGCCAATTCATGTTATCAACTTGTTGAATTAACCATTTTGTTCTAAGTAATGTTAACTTGATTTAATAAAACACAACTCAACAAGACAAAAACCTGCTAGCAGGGGAAGTGTTGGTCCAAGTCCCAGACCCTAACACTTCCCATAGTAATCAAGATGCTTAAGAGAAGTTTGTTCCTTCATGATTGTATCTGATATATCTAATGTTTTTGCTAAATTAAATGAAGTTTTCATAGTTCTTTTTAAGATAAATTTTCTACTTATTTGTTTGTTTATGTTGGAAGGTTTTCACTGGAAGGCATTTAGTCAGTCAGGGTAACCTGATTGGGGCATTTAAGGTAAAATTGCAATTAAATTTATTTAGCAATTTTTTTGTTTTTTTTTTTGAAGAAGATAGAATATATTAATTAGAGAAAGGTAATCACAACTTTAGAAACACAATGACACAATGTGAAAAATGAAACTTGTTAAAAATTTCCATGTTAATTAAAGGTGAATCAAGTGAAAGCCTTGTTTTATTCTGTGTCTATTTTTGCAACCACAGTAAACAGTGGTTTTGTTCCAAGTGTTGGTAATGGCAGTAAGTGTTGTAATATCTCTATACCATAAAGAATATTTCAAATGATTAAATTGGTGATCTTTATTTTTTTTGATTCTCTTGATGTGAAGATTGAGCCGAAAATTTCTTACCAAACTTGAACTAAAAAAAAATCTGAATTCAGTGCATGTACACTTTTTGTCAAGTTTATCATATTCTAATTTAGAACATGTTAGATTTGTAGTAACTTTTGACACAATTAATGTGCATATCTTTTTCCTTTGATTAGTTGGATATAGGAACTGTTTATGCTCAACCAGATCACAGATTCTGCCGCAGATGGGCAGTGATGACAGATCCTGAAGAAACACTGGGGGCTTCTGGTGCAGGTATCAAGGTAAGAGGATGGACTCTTGGTGATTAAGTTGGGTTGTTTACGTTAGTCATCTTTGGCACTTCTTAAAGAAAACACAAGTTATTCTTGACACAGTCTTTCATTAATCATTACACTTTCCTTTTTCAGGGTTATCTGAAAGTGGACATCACTGTACTTGGGAAAGGTGATCCTGCAAAGGTATGCAGTGTCATCAGAGAGGTTTTGTAAAGATTTGTGGGTCTAAGTCTTCATTCTTTAGCCTTCCATTATACCTCTCCCCTCATGCAGTCATTTTAAAGAAATTGTGATGCACTTTAAAACTGAATCCAAAGAAACTTTCCATTTTTTGCAGGAACCTCCAGGCGTTAAGGACAGTGATGATGATATTGAAGGGTATGTCTCTATTTTGATAATTTTGAATATTTATTCAACATTTTCCTGAACATGAATGGCTGTTACACCTCCATTAGATAAATTTAATTAAAGACTTCTTTCTCTATAGGAGTTGAAGGGTGCAAATTTTTAGTTAAATGGAAAATGTTTGTGTCCATAGGAATCTCCTACTGCCTGAAGGAGTTCCTGCTGAAAGACCAAAAGCCAGGATTATAGTCAAAATTTACAGAGCTGAAGGATTGCCAAAGAGTAAGGGACTTAAAAATTATGATGATCCTCTCACATCTAGGATGTTGAAACTATGGTTTCCTGATTAACCTGAGGATTTTTTGTTACAACAAATACACTCCTGTGTTGAGAACTTTTTACTGCAGACTAAGAAAATTGTTAGGAGAATAATGTGTGGGTATTAAAAGTTTTTGTTTCATTCTTTTTTTTTCAGTGAATAGTGGTCTCATGGCCAATGTCAAGAAAGCATTCACAGGAGAAGTAAGAATGTAACTTTATAAATGATTGTAGCTTGACTAAAGTGTGGTTTTACTTAAGAAACAAATTTAAACCTGCATGATTCTTTTGTTCAGCTTATCTGAGATATAAAACCTAGATAGTCATTCTTATTAGTAATTTAAGAGGTGCCCTTGAAATTAAGTACTGCCTCAAGGGCTTAGGGTAAGAAAAATTGAATATCCGGTAAGATTATTTTGGTCCAAACTCATAGCCTGGCAGTTAGCCAGAGCCAGTTTAGAGTGTCTTCAAATTGATAGTCAAGATTATCCTGCAACTCAATGCAACTTGTTAAAAAAGTTTTCAATAGTTACAAAGCTTACTTGCTTATATTTTGGTATCTTTTGTACCGACTGCTAACCAGAAGTGTGGGACAAAAAAAATTTTGACTCCCCCAAGAGGAATCAAACCTCAAACCTTCAGATTCTGTGCTCTGATGCTATGTAATCACTGACAGATATGTGCGTTGTGATGTAATGTTAGTGGGATAATTGTAGGCTAGCATCCGTCTGACAAGGATATGTTTGATTTCCTGATAGGTGCGAGACCTTGTGGACCCATATGTGGAAGTTTGTTTTGCAGGACACAAAGTGAGTTTTGTTTCATTTAATTTCTGAACATGATTTGACACTTGGCTAATTTTGATGGAAACAAATTCATGCAAATACGTTTTTACTACTTATTTTGCAGGCCAGAACAACTGTTAAGAAGAACACATATGAACCAAAATGGAATGAACAGATTGTTTTCTCAGAGTTGGTATGTTTTTACTGGGTTTTGTGATAGGCACTCTTCAGGTATCTTGTTTACATGTGGCTTTAATTTGTTTGTTATTGAAAATAAATCGATTGAACTAATTTTTTTGTCTTTACAGTTTCCTCCACTTTGCAGAAGAATGAAGGTTCAACTAAAGGACAGGTAATTGAATAAATTTTGTGTTTGTCCATTTGACAGTGTTTGTCTGTCTATCTGTCGGACTGTTCTTTTCAGTCTGCCATCTGTTTGTTGGTCTGTCTGTCTCCTGGTATGGTCCTTGATTAGTCTGTCTGTTGGTCTGTCTGTCAGTCCGTAGGTTGGTCAGTTGGTCTCTCCTTTGGTTGGTCTGTTGTGCAGGTGGTTGATCTCTTGTTTGGTTGGTCTGTTATTCAGCATGTAGACCCATCTGTTGGTCTGTCCTTTTGGCAGGTATATTATGGTGATTTGTTTAGTTGATCTGTCAGCCAGTCTGTTGGGTCTGTTGGTCTATTGGTTGATCTGTCCTTAGGTTAGCCTGTTGTTTGATCTGTCCATCGGTCAGTAAGATGGTTGGTCTGTCTGTCTGTCAGTCAGTTGGTCTATTTGTCATTCTTTTGATTAACTAATGGGTCTGTCAGTCATTTGGGTAATTGATTGGTTGGTTAGCCTTAAGCAATTGTCTTCATGCACCCTTTAAAAAAAAAGCAACTTAAAGTGGCTTATATGCAGGTAGAATATCAATAGAAATCCTGTTCATGAAGTTTGACATCACTCTGTTCTCTTTTATTCAGTGACTCTGTTTCTGATGAAGTGATTGGCACACATTTCATTGACCTCTCCAGGATATCTAATGATGGTGCTAATGGTATGAATGAATTGCTTGTAGCAATTTCATTTTATGTATCTTGTTGTGTTGTGTTGATTTACATTTGTGTTTGTGTAACTGGACAAAGGCATCAGAAAGGTTTTTTTTTTGTATCTGACCCAGTGGTATTTGTGTAACATTTGAAATATTCTCTGGTTTAAAACCTGGGTAGATTTTAACCTATCTAACTTCACTTCTAAATAATTAATAAATTGATATTTTGTTTAATTTAGGAACTTATTTTGATGTCTTTGTCTTTTTTGACCCATCCTTATCCAGACTGTAAAAATGTCTTCAAAAATGTTCAATTTCAGCATGATTTCTCTGTAATCAAAACATATTTTTCTTTAATTAGAGGTGGTATTCAGAGATTTCTTCATCTTTTTTGATCATTGAGTTATCATTTTCACTGTGTGCCTGACAAGAAGGCCTGAAATGATCAAATTATCATTAACAGTTACAATTGATTAAACGGAAACTCAGGCAAGAATCGATCAGTTGTCAATTTGGAGGTACTAAATTTTCTGCACAGTGCTGGGCCAGAATGGGTTAAATGTCCTATTTTAATGGGAGAAGTATGTTACAGAAACTCTTGGGAAATTTTAATTTTATCTCAACCATTTGAATGTGTGTAATGATGATTTGATAACTATTTGCAATCTCAAAACATGGCAAGTACTGAATTTTTTATGGTGCTTTTGCATGGTGAAGGGAAAAATTGTGTCTTTTCTGGAACATACTTCCCTCTTAAACCAGTTTGTACTCAGTTTGATGTTTTTAATGCATATATATTACACTTTACATTTGGACCTCTGTGCATGGTTATTGTAATACATCTAACGCTTTCTGATGCTCATACCTAACTTAACACTCTGCTCATTTATGCTTTGCATTTATAATGTAAGGTTTATTATACTGACAGAATATCCATACATCCCATTCAGTAACTGAAAATGAGAATTAAAAACTCTTCTTATTGATACTTATTATTTTATTTCTCTTTGTCTAAATGACCAGTTCACTTTTCTTTGCTTGTTTCTTATTGGTTGCTGATTTTTGGGTTTATGTTTTTCCATGACATTTTTACTGCTTGAAACTCTGGTATTTTTTATGCAGCTTTGTGCTCTTGTTGCTTACTGTTTGACTAATCTTTGATGCAATTTTATCACAAGTTATAACACTGTGGTCTTGCATCTCTGAATTCTTTGTTTGCCATCTCTCTTTCTTTAATGCCATTGAAACAGAGCCAAGGAACTTTGTCTTTGAATGCTTAATTTGATTTAGCCTAAACTCTACAGAAGAGTCAGCCAGTTCTAGCACTCTTATTTGTGTAATGGTTTTCTGCTTGTTTTATTTGCACAATCAGTGCTTATTTTCCTTCTGTATTTTGTCGCATGTTTTTAAAACTTTTAGTTAGAAGTTTATATGTTCTGTTGAAATCAACTTTAGTTAAGACTAACTAACCAAAAGTGAAATTAAAAAATAATAATAAAGTAAAGTAAAAGAGAGCCATAATGGATACATTATTTCTAAAATCAAACTGCATGTTTGTCTCTTACATTGCATGGAGAAAGTTTGCACAAGAACGTTTCTCTGCCTCTTTTTGTTGTGTTTATTCAAGTTAGCATGGCTATTGATTCACAGTCAACAAGAATGCTTCACTGTTAGATTGTTGCCTGCTTTTCAGTGGGTGTATAGATGTACATTCAAGCTGGTAATTCACAATGCAAATGGTGTAATCTATATCATATGTCTTATTCCAATTGTTATCTATCAATGTATGACAAAGATGGCTCTTGCAATTTCAAATCACATTTAGTGCTCCATTTACATGCACTGTAACATGAGATATCTTGGCATTGCTTTTACTGGCTGAAATTTATCACTGCATTGTAAATCAAGAAGAAAAAAGGACTGGATCAAATTTTCTGCAGCACAAATATGACAATTGAACAAATATGACAATTAAGGTAGTGAAATATTGACATGAAGTGAAGACTAATTAAATGCACAGCTTGTATTAATTCTGACCAAGAAGGATGTTTTCCAGACAAAATAATACTTTTTTTTGCCAACATTCTTTTTTTTTTTTCCAAAACATTTGAGTTTTATTTTTTTCCAGAAAAGGCTGCGATGAATCAATAATTGTTGTCTTTGAGTGGTTTTCTTGTTTCCATTGGAACTTCTTTTTGTTTTAAATGTGAAGTATGAGAGCAACCTGTCCATAACTGTCAATTAACCAGCCACAATTTATACTAATATAAACAAAGAAATGTAAGTCATCTATTGCAACAAAATTTTAGAAAAGTGCACATGTCCAAAGTTCTCGTGTCATGAAATCCCAGCCATAAAAATGCATGCTGTAATGGTTGTTAGATTGATTCCTCTCACAGTTTTGCACAGTGTAGCTTTTCCAACTATCTCCTTCATGGCTGTTAGTGAGGTGATGGGGCGTGTCTGTGTATGCATGTGCCTGCCTTTCTGCATGTCTAACTTAAGCTGGCTGACTATACAGGGTGGCTATCAGAGGTCTATATTCCAGGCTCGGGCATAAAAGTTCCTGGCTCAATTCAGGCTCCTGGTGTGTATATATGCTGCTGCCTGCCTTCTCTAGTTCTTAAATCTATCCTTAGTTATTCCTACGTACGTGTGTGTAACTGCACTTAAAAGTGGTACAACTTTTTTATCCTTAATTATCCCTAAATCCATGGGTGTAACTGCACTTTAAAATTGTACAACGTGGCAGAAATCTACCCTAAACTTCTGCATGTGTATTATGTAAATTGTAGATTTTATGCCAAAAGATAATGAATCTATGGCTGCAGCTATAACTTGCACCAACTGAGTCGACGTTTGAATATTCTCCTCAATACTTACTAAATACTGGAATTAAAATGTAGTTTTACTATTAATTTTTCTTAAAAATTTTCACCTCTTTTCCTTAAATGCACTAATGATAAAACTTGGGCACCAGGTTTAAATATCGTCATAAACACAGGAAAATGAATTTACTTTGAATTCTTGTAAATTATCTTTTACAGACTGAGTTTATAAACACCATGTTGCTTTAAGAATCAAATAATTTAAACCGTAAAAGATTTAATTATGCACCCTCGGATAATTCCCTTCTAAAGATGCTTGCACACTTTCCTCCAAACTGGTCTCCCAGCTGTTTTTCTATTTCAATCTAACCTCTTCCTTCTAAATCTGGGACTTGTGCTTTTCCTTCAAATTCTTCTCAGCTTCTGTGAAGAGTCAAAACATTCTGAGGAGTCAATCTTAATGGTACCCTTTTTTCCCTCATACATCTCTTGTAACAAGTTATACTGACTGGTCTAACAAAAACGTATCACCTAACCTGACTGAAAAAAACTGTGTGATTAAGCGTTAAAGGCTGAGACAGAAGGCGACAAGTCTTTTTGAGGGAGTAAGTTGATGCAATGCAACAATTTGCTTCGTGTGACATGAAGAACTCTTTAGGAAAAAAAATTGTTCTTGGGGTTAAATTTTGCAGCTGTGATCTATTGCACAAAATCAAACCTGTCAGATTTCACATGAACGATCACAAGAAAAAAATAATCTCACCAAAGTTCACCATGTCACCCAAAGTGAACTGTTGCAGTGACTTGCTATTTATCTTAGCAGCTTGTTCTTATTAGCTGTGCCTTTGACTTGTCGCCAAGTTTGTCCAGACCTTTACCCAAAAGTGATTTAGTTTCTCTGTTTATGAACTCCAGTCCCAGGTGAGAATGAAGGGGTGGCTCTGTATTATTCAGTTGAAAGTGTGCCTGCAGCTTTACCGCAAGGAAGTGAACCAATGGAATGGATCCATTGTATGTTAGTTGCATGGGCATGTGCAGCGTCTTTGCAATCATTACATTCCCAGGAAGTTTAGTCTTAAAGAAAGCCTCCGCAGGTGGAACAGGGTGTTAAATTCATGAGAATGTCTTAAAATGTGAAGTATTGGTGGAACAAATGGGTATCAAAACCAAAATGTTTTAAAAAATGGAAACAAACACAAGCAATACTTGTGTTGAATTTCCCTGTAGATGATGGCATTTTAGACCGGATAAGATCGTATTACAGGCTGGTGGTGCCAATGGCATCCTCAAACAAAAGCTTTTATTCAAAGGATTCAAAAGGGGATCATGTAGATGATAGGAGCAACCAAAAAGTGTCACAAAATCCGATGCACATAGAATTCTGGGGTTTCAAAATAGCCAAGATCTATATGAATTATTTCTTGCTGCAAATACATCTTACTAATGTACGCAAACAGGGTTTATCTAAAGAGACCGGTTTTCATAATTTAACAACAATTTGTTCCACTAGGGGAGGTTCCCTTTAACGTCATTGGAACACACTTGGGAACCAAACTGGAATCCTTTTTTTAATTGTTTACTCATTGCAGTTTTGAGGAGTGACAAAAAAATATGTAGTTTTTGATTCTAATTGAAAATGATTGTAAGAAGTTTTTGCCTTAAAAAAATTTTGATGGAGAAACTTATGGTTGTGGTGGTGTTACTACTCCCATTTCTGACTGTTAATATTGGAATAAAGGTCTCTCACTCAAAACTGTAATGTAGGAGACAATAACTTAGTTTAATGTAGTCACTAGACATAAATGTTTAATATGATTCATGTCAATGTTGTTTAAAGTTTATATTCAAGCTTGAACTGGATCGTTTCAACGCCTTTTGGTGCAATAGAATCGTAATGTAGAGATTTGGAGTAGAAGGGCTTTGATTTGGCAAGAGTTTGCTTTGAAGACGCTCTTACATTGGGTGATAACATGAGTCATTTAACAATTTTCTGGTTCAAGCTTGACTTGTTCACTTGAATGATTTTGCTAAATGTATCTTGTCCATTTTTATTTTTTTGTGGCATTTTTGTTTATTTGCTGGTGGTCACTTATCAACATGTCGGGGTGACATCGGCCTGTGAAGTTCATAAATATCCAGCTGATATTGGTAAATATTTTACTTGTATTCAATGCATTGAATGCCTGTCGGTGCCTGCCATACACCAAATCAAAATATGGCATCCAATTTTAATTGCCATCGTTCTGGACTGACTAGTCTCATCTTCACGTGGAAACACAAAGGATTATCACGCGTGAGAGGCTAGTCAGTCCAGAACTATGGAATTCAAATTGGATGCCATATTTCGATTCAGTGTATTATGTTCCTATAGCAGTCTTAGAAAATTCACTTTTGCCTATAACATTTTTTGTGGTCAAAACGAACCAGTAAAGGCTTACTGGTACTACACAAGTCCTTGGCCACCATCCATAGTTTTTGTTATTGGTATGTAAACAATAGAAAAGATAAGAGAAATGGTTTTTGAAGCTGTTATGAGAAGGAACACAGGAGCAGGTAGAACACAGAGATACTTGTCTTCAGTAGTGTAAACCTGAAACATAGAACTTCTTGTAACTATTATTTAATGCACCATCATGTCAACACTGTAATTGTTAGGAGTTCCAACCTCACTGTCATTTTTTTTACAATACATTGGAAAAGGATTAACGTGTGTAACCCCGGGAGTGACTGGAAAGGAATCTCTCGTTACCAAATCGATACATTTTCAAGTGAAAGGGAAATAGGATAAAAAGAAAAAGATAGACCAGGGGATGCTGTTTAATCAAACTCCAAATTCTCAGAGCTATGAATGTTTGGGAGTTGATCTTTATATCTCGGAAAAGAAAGGGTCAATGTGAAAGAATCAGGCAATCGACCATCGAGTTACTATTATTGATAATTAATAATTTGGAATGACAGCTAATCCAAAACACGTAAGGTAATTTGGAATCCTGATATTTTTGAGGATCACATCATTTTCAGAACAATGCTCGGGAAATGTTACAAGCTGTTACATTACAACACTCATCAAAAGATCTTTCTCATTCCATGTTTGCAAATCACTTGGCGAACCAAGAACATTCTTCATATTCATAAACTCACATTTAGAAAAGTTTTGTAATTCTGTTAGTATTGTTGTTGTTAACAGACTAATGCATGTTGAGGTTCTGCCAGGAGAAGAGTTCACTGCTCTAAGACACATTTAGTGCTACATGCTACACAATATTTGTTCATAAATTATGGACTTAAAGCAGCATTTCTTTTTGCATGAATCTAATTGATGAGGTCGTTAGAACTGGCTGGCAGAATGAAATTGCTGTTCCCTTTTTGACTGCTCTGAAGTGCTATAACTAATATAGCAGATGGACTTGGCTTTTGGAAAGAAATTCAGCATGCATGACCGTAAATAACCAGAGCATCATGTGTGTGTATGAGTTGTGTGGTGGTTTTTTCATTACCATGAATATTTTCGTAAACCATGGTCGTGTACATGTATGCATTGTTGTGGTATTTTCAAGTCAGCTTAAGCAGAGTTTTTTAGTCAAGTATTTAAATTATTTTTTGAGGTCAGATGAAATAAGTGGTCTTTTTCATAATTTACTCCATAATACTAGAATTGTGAGATTTGAGACTCTGAAGAGGAGGATCATTCCGACAGTCTGATTTGTAAGGTTTTTATTTAAGAAGAGGGAAGCTGCGTATTTTCCCCCATTCACTGCATGGACCACGACACAAATAGCTGTAAATCTGACTTGTATGAGATTTCTCCTCTTCAGAAATCAATTGGTCCAATTTCACGTGGCTATTGATATGTTAATTTTTAAAAATTCACTTATTTGATTCCATTGTTGAGGTATTCTGTCTAACAAATGCTCGCAGGTTTTATGCCCACATTTGGTCCATGCTGGGTGAACCTTTATGGATCTACAAGGGATTACTCACTGTTTGATGAACACAACGATCTAAACAATGGACTGGTAGGTCATCCAAACATACACCGTAAGACTGAAAAAAAAAAAAAAGGTTTAATGTTTAGTAGTAAGTCGTGGCGTTAAAAGTGTACCCTTAGAAAAAATTTCAGAAATTAACTGATATCCTGGTATGAACTGTCATGTCCTCAAAGGATTTCTTCGGTGGCTGTTTACTTTCCGTCTCCTTCGGAAACAAATGCTACAGGTGTATAGACTTTTTTATTCTGAATAAACTGCAAATCGACAGCTACGTCCAGTGGCTTACTATGATGCACTTGCCTCAAGTCAAAAACACAAAGTATCACAAATTGCACTTTTTTTTAGTGATTAAAAGCACAACTTGTTAATTTTTGTGTAATAGCACTTGCAGTAGTCTTTGCTCGTAAGACCCTATAATCCCTAAAATATTGTTTTTAGTGTTGGTACATATATGCAAATTGTTTTGTAGAAAGCTAGTCATGAGCAATTATGTGTTGCAAGAGAAGAGTGAGATCATTTTCGATAATGATAGGCTCAACAAATCAATTTGTTTTAGTGGAAAACTCCAGTAATAATAGTCTGGTTTGATTACCTGTTGACCTAATTTTGAATTTAGGGAGAAGGTGTGGCTTACAGAGGGAGACTGTTGATGGCGGTACAAGCAGAGTTTGGAGAATCTGCATCAGAGGCTGGAATCCGTCAGGTGGAGGTGGAACCAACAGCTCCTATCTCTGATGTAAGTTAAAGTTTTCCAGACAAACTACAGTTCGAGCATCAATCTCAGAAACATCATGTATCTCTGTGTTAAATCTAAGTCTGAATATGATTTTGAAGACAAATTGTTTCCCTTTTGTGATAAGTGCTGTTTGAGGTACCAAACTTTCTTGAGTATGGGGCTCCGCTAATCTCCAGGATTTTTTCCAGCCTACTTTAAAGTCACAAGTCCACTATTTTCACATGGACGGTGCTTTAAATTATGTTTTTTCTTTTTTCAGACTGCAGCTGGAAAAGAGGATCAATTTCAATTATATGCCTGTTTTTACGAGGCCAGCATGATTGAGAGAAAAGTTGGCGACAAGATGATACAATTTGAGATGAGCATTGGTATGGACATATGTTTTCCTTGTCATTGATTCACATTTTAGTTTCCGTGGAATACATCAGCCTGTAGAACTATAACTTTGAATCTTAACAACAAATGCTTTTCTTCAGGTAACTATGGGAACACAATTGATGGACAGGCTCTACCGGGTGAGGTAGTGGACGAGGTACGCAAAAATGGCGAGAACCCATTTATCCACCCACTTACACCACCTGTCAGACCAGTGACCAATGACAGACAGTATTACCATATACCGTGGGAGGACTCGAAGCCCTGTGCACACGTGAAGTTTACTTGGCAGGATCATCGTAGACGACTCTACAACTCTAACGTGCTGCTAAAGATCTGTGAAAGACTGGTAAGTTTCCTCATGGTTTCTCTAGTGTACTAGTGATTAGCAGAAAGCTGTGGTTTTTGTGTTTACACTACAGACTGAGATATTGATAGGTTTGACTGTGTTGTGTTGTTACACTGGCTCTCTTTAACCGAAATCGACTGGTGAAATCCATCACTAAGTGAAAACAAGCAAACTGTCAAAAGCGTGGGAAAACGCGTATGACCAAGTCGCGATTGCTGTTAGTTTAACATCCGATTGGTTGAGAGGGTAGCGCAAGTTTTTGAGCAATCAAAGAGCGGGGCTAAGCGATACCTCTGCAAACTTTCGACACGCGCTTTAAATTACTCATAAAGAATTTTAAGGGTAGAAAAACCTGACATATCAGTATACTTGACAGGAGGATGGTTTGACTGACTGTCTGGAGAGAGTGAAGATGGACTTACCCAACACCTACCGATGGCTCAGTCGAGTTCTTGCAGAACTCATCAACGGATGCAAGTAAGAAAATCGTTCTTCAGCATGGTTGTCTAGAGTCCCAAATCCAAAATCGGCCACTAGGATCCAAGATACAAAATCGGCCACTAGAGTCCAAAATACAAAATCGGCCACTAGTGTCCAAAGTTCAAAATCGGCCACTAGTGTCTAAAATACAAAATCGGCCACTAGTGTCCAAAATACAAAATCGGCCACTAGGTTCCAAAATACAAAATCGGCCACTAGGATCCAAAATACAAAATCGGCCACTAGTGTCCAAAATACAAAACTCGGCCACTAGTGTCCAAAATACAAAATCGGCCACTAGGTTCCAAAATAAAAATCGGCCACTAGGTTCCAAAATACAAAATCGGCCACTAGGATCCAAAATACAAAATCGGCCACTTGGATCCAAAATAAAAAATCGGCCACTAGTATCCAAAATCCAAAATCGGCCACAAGGGTCCAAAATAGAAAATTGGCCACTAAGGTCCAAATTAGAAAATCGGCCACTAGGGTCCTAATGGAAAATCGGCCACTAGGATCCAAAATCAAAAATCGGCCACTAGTGTCCAAAATCCAAAATCGGCCACAAGGGTCCAAAATAGAAAATAGGCCACTAGGGTCCTGATGGAAAATCGGCCACTAGGATCCAAAATCAAAAATAGGCCACTAGTGTCCAAAATCCAAAATCGGCCATAAAGGTTCAAAATAGAAAATCGGCCACTAAGGTCCAAATTAGAAAATTGGCCACTAGGGTCCTGATGGAAAATCGGCCACTAGGGTCCAAAATGGAAAATCGGCCACTAGGGTCCAAAATGGAAAATCGGCCATAAGGGTCCGAATACAACATCGCCTACTAGGGTCCAAAATAAAACATTTGGACACTAGAGTCCAAAATCCACTAACTAGGGTCTTGCAAAACTCATCAACAGATGCAAGTAAGAAAATCATACTTCAGCATGGTTGTCGACTGATATTTCATGCGAAGATTGCGCACTTTTTCTCAGGGGTCAACGTAGTCGGACATGGGATTTAGGAGAATTTCAGTGCTGACCTTTGGTTTTGATATTGTGATATCTTTTGCGGACAAAGCAATTAGTCAAGAGGATCATTAAAGCAAAACGAAGTATGGATGAGCGAAATTGGGAAAACTTAATCAGATTTCATGGGGAGAAATTCTGGAGCAATGTTTTATTTCAGTTTAGAGTTAACAGTTCACAATTTACAAAAACTATCATTGTTTTGATTACTGAAATTAAATAAAAATTTTCACCACTTCAGCCCTTTTTGTGAGGAGCTATGTTATTAAATTTAACGTTCCCGTTCCATTACAGTCAGTATCTCAATCTGGTGAAGTCTATGCCATCCTCCTCTCATGTTGGACGCACCAAGCTGGACAAGGAGCGACTGAAGCTGTGTCAATACGAGGTAGAGTCTGTGTGTCAGTCAGCGCAGGAGCTGAAGGGGAGCACAAGGGATGATGGTCACATCAAAGACAATCTCAAGGCTGCCAACGCACTTCTTCAAAGACTTCTTAACATTGCTATTGAGGTATGCTGTTTTGTTCTTCATTAGAAATCTTTTGCAGTTGTGGATGTAAGGAAAGGGTCCTGGGGTTTATACCACCCCCCTCCCTCCCTTCATCAGACACTTTTATGCGATGACATCCTGTAACTTACTACAATGGCTTAATATGTTAGCTGGGCGCTTCTGACAGGTTCTTTCATTATAACTAAAATTTTTTTTCCAGGAGAGAAATCGCGTTAAATGCTTTGATTATGTGTGAATTAAAAGGTTCCGTAAGTTCACTATTAATTTTAATCTTTAAGACGACTGGGACAGTGTTTGTGACTTTCATTTTAAAAGCGGAAGAGGGTTTGGAGTTGCAACCGAAACTTCACACATCAACAAACTTTGTTTTACCTGGGGGGGCTAACTGAAACAACGGTGGTATTTCCCCTTGTTGAACCATTACCAACAAAAGCACTGAACAACGCTAATAAAAAATGATCTCTTACAAAATAAATACCTGGAAGATGATCTAAAAAATAAAAAAACGTCTAGTTGCTCTATCGATTTTAAAGGAGACTGTGATGAAAGTAAGAGCTAACCCTTCCACGCTGAGTTAGAGGCTTTAATTAAGCTGTACTTAGGAGCTTGACTCTCTCTTTGTAGCCACAAGAAACAACGCCTGATGTGTTCATCTGGATGCTGTGTGGAGGCAAACGAGTGGCTTACACCCGCATTCCCAGTCAGCACATAATCTACTCCTTGGTGGAAGAAGAGAGAGGAAAAGATGCAGGCAGAATGCAAACAGTGTTTCTGAGGGTAAGTCAACTTTCTGTTTAAAGCACTGTTTTCAAAGGCTTGTAATCCATGCTAAAGTCATGAAAACGGCCAATTAGAGGAAGTGAAAATACCACAGAGAGCCCAACGACAAGTCGTTTGCCGCTTGAGGTGCGACGAAACGGGTGAGACGAAGGCGTGGTTGGTTCTGGCTTTGCCCCTGATTTGTTAAGAGGGTGGTGCGAATTTTACGAACCGATTACAGAGCGAGGGAAAGCACAGTGAAGTAGGACCCACGAAAAAAGCATTGGTTCTTTGGTGGGCGGTCTCGCTCAGACATTCAACCCCCCAGTGGCAAAAACGTTGGACCAATGTTAGTATTTGAGGAACTGCGCACCTACCCCTCCCCTAACCAAGCAACAGTCAACTGATAACAAATCAGGGTTAATGTTGGGTTAGGGAAGGGGTAGTTGGGCAGTTGCTCAGATACTGTTATTGATCCGGAAAGTCGAACGTTCCGTCATCACTTAGGGGAAGCATAGGGAACCCTTGCACGTATTAAGCGAAGCCTCCATTTCTGATCATCTACAATGAGTATGTGGTATAAAGACTGAGCTAACAAACACATTTCCATGTGGAGAAACTTTCACTGCGACACATTTTCGAAATGCAGGCATCAGGCAGATGGGAAATAGACTTTGAATGTTGTTGTTTTTTCTACCTTCCCAGCTTCCTGGCAAGCGTGGTGACGGACCTAAAGGATGGGCTATTCAGGCCAAACTGAATATCATGATCTGGCTCGGTCTGCACAAACACAAAAAGGATTATCTGAAAGATGCCCCGAAAGGATACCAGACGGTATGATAGTCTTAGCGCTCTCGCTATTAGGAAGTGACACAATAATAATTTTAACCCCTTAGAAACCAGTCATTATTTATCACCTGGGAGGGGGGGGGGAGAGTGAGGGTCGGAGGATTTTGATGTGTGATGTAAATCTGATTGATTTCCTTCTAAGGCTCTAATCCCCCCTCATTGGCTGTTAATTGGCTGTTCATTGGCAGTCAATTTTCTATACTCTGTTGGCAACAACTGATTCCCCCTTCCGTTCCCCCTGAAAACCATGTGACCCCCCAAAATCCTTCAAGCTCCCTCTCTGAGTACACCACCACCACCACCCCCCCCCAGTCCTTTAGTTTTAGTGTTCAAAGTTGTGAACTAGTCGTCGCCGACAGTAGAGAGAATGTGTGAGCTTTTGACTCATGCCTTCTGAACTGGATCAATGAACTGGATCAATGGTGACATCTTTTGTGTTTTACTCTTGCAGCCAAAGAACGCTCACAAATTGATGGCCCCTCCGCCAAATCACCTTATCTACACAGGTAATGGAGCAAGGGGAAAAAACTTATCTTGTTGTGACATGAACAGCATTTAGTATCTCATGGAAAAAAAATGAGATTTTAAGACCATGTGTTTACTATCAATTCTTTCAGAAAAACAGAAGTTCCTTTTGCGGGCACACACATACCAGGCGAGAAGTTTGATTGGCAGTGATGCATCTGGACTTTCAGGTATTAATAACATTCGGATGACTTCCGCTCAGGTTGTCAGTCACTCCTACCGACCAAAGTCCTTCTCCCCTCGGTAAGACCATACAATTACATGTTACCTCCGGGTTCAATCCATATACTGAATTACGTTCACCTGCTAGTTTTTGCCCATGGTGGTTTCTTAGGGAAAGCAAATAAACCCTTTGCCAACGACGGCGGTACTAGATAAAGGGTTTTTTTTTTAATTGCGAGATGCTCAACTTAGTGCACTTTCAACTTGTGCAAAACAGAAACTTTAAGACTTACGTGTGCGGTTTCCTTAAATTTGGTCCTCATTTCACCTTTTCATGGCAGATGCCTTTGCCCGAGTGATCTTCACACACCTTGTGGCTGACACCCGAGTGATCTGGGAGACAAGGAGTCCAACATGGGACCAGATGCTGGTGTTTAGAGACTTGATTCTGTGGGGAGATGTTAACGAAATTGCCGTCAACCCTCCAACCATTGTCGTTGAAGTATTTGACAAAGATATTGGAGTAAGTTTTTTAATCTATCTTTTGGTGCCTCTTGGTCCTGCTTGTCTATCTACCTGTCTGTCTGTTTTTTAGTAAGCTTTCTATCAGTCTCTCTGTCTGATAGTTAGTCTGTCTGTCTGATTGTGTATCTTTCTGTCTGTCGGCCAGTCTGTCTCTGCTTGCATTTTCTGTCTTTGTCGGCCTGTCCGGCTGTCAACCTGTCAGTCAGTTATCCGTTTGTCGGTTAATCAGTCATTTACTCAGCCTTGCTACTTCCTATCTCGTTAGGGTGATTCTGAGTTCATTGGTCGTGCGTTGGCCAGACCAATTGTAAAGATGGCCTGTGAACCTTACGAGAAGCCGTTCTTTCCGCCAGCATTGGAGTGGTTCCAGATTTTCAGAGGAGAGGAGAAAGCTGGAGAACTACTTGCTGCATTTGAACTCCTCCAGGTTAATTAGTCCACCTCTTCATTTGCTATTCAAATCCTTTTTAAGAATCAGGCTGGGCGCATGGGTTGCAATACGCAGATTCAAAATTGGCAATACAGTTCCTCAAATGTTCCCCATTTCTTGATATCGCCCTAGTCTGCTTTGCATGTTTCAAATAACTTTTTTCCCAAAACTCTGAAGAGCCGAAGTGGCCAACATCTAAACAATTGGCGTTAACATTGCACGGTAACGTCTTTTCGTTGGGAGTTGGGGTAGGATAATTCATATGAAAGGGACACTTCATTTTGGAACACATTACACGAAGAAGCATTCAGCTGAAAGGGGCAGTAAACAGAAAATTTTCCATTAGGTGTCGAAAGTAATACAGGAGTGCATTCCTTTTGTTTTTCTCCGCTCTGTGACTGGTCAGGAGAATTCAAACCGCCCTCTAAACCAATCAAATGCAAAAGTTTAAACAAGCGCGTTTTTGTGACTCCCATTTTCCCGCGCTTTAGATAGTGTGCTCTTTTCACTCTGAGTTTTCATCGGCTCCTGGTGATATTTCACTTACTTGTGATTGGCTGTTGTGGTTATCGTGGCTTTGGTATTACGACAGTCAACCGAAAAGCGCGTTATTTGCTTGCTATGGTTTATGGAGTTGGGGTGACTTTGAGAAAGTTTCAAATCCATCCTTTCCTTGTTTTATCCCTTCAGCTATCTGAGGGCACATGCTTCTTACCTACTGAAGTCGAACCTGTCAACACTCCTGATGGACCAATCACACCCGTTCCTGACGGCATCAGGCCTGTTATGAGGAAGCACAGAATTGAGGTACTGTTACTTTACATTTACACTTCTGAAGTAAAAAAAGTTGTTGTAGTTGATTTTGTGACATAAAATAGATGCCTAGAAATTAACCTATGTAGGTGGAAAGGATGGTAGAAATTATTGAGTGTGTGAAGGTTGGAAGTAGTATCAGAGGAAAGGAAAGTTGAAACCAATGATCAAATTCGTGCACTCAATGATGGAATGACCTATGACGGAATGACCAACCGACTGTCTGACCATCGACCGATTAACTATACGACGCAGTAGCCAACTGACTGACACACTTACCTGACCAAGCTTTTGACTGTCTGACCGACAAAACCACTGACTGACCGACCAACCAATCCCGTACCGTTTGACCGACGGATTGACTTACCAATCTAATGAAGCAAAGAACAGACAAACAAGCAAAGGAATTCGGAAAGAACGGACGACTTAATTGCCGACCCACCTGTTAACTTACAGGACAGAATAACTAACTTCATGACCGATCAAACGAACACATGTGTCATCCTAGCGTCTCAGTTGCATCTTTCCTTATTTCGTAGGCTTTGTTCTGGGGCGTCCGTGAAATGAAAAGGATAAATCTGACCACAGTGGATAGACCTCAAGTGGACATCGATCTTGCTGGTCATGTTATACAATCCACTGTCATCACAAATGCCAAGAAAAATCCCAACTTCCAGAACCCAGTCATCTTTTTTGATGTGGTAAGAGAGCTGTGATCTTAATGTTAGAGTGATTTTATTAACCACTTGCCTCTCCTTTAATAATAGCGGAGCTCGCAGCGCGCGAAGCGCGTGCAGCTTAGCCCCATACTTATAGGAACTAGTAGTAACCCATTAAGCTAAAAAATTTGGACTTACATTCCAATTCAATCGTACGGTATCAACAGTTTCTTATTACATGGAAACATACTTTGGAAACAAACTACTCAAGACAACCTACTCCAACTTATTAACAACCTTTTTCATACCTGAATCGGAGTTTATAATTTTCGCTCTGTAAGGAAGTAATAAAAAAGTGTTTTCAAGTTTTTCCATAACATTCACATTATCTGTGGTCACCATTATGAGACATTTTGATTTCTTTATTGAGTTCGGGAGATATTCTCCCGGACTGATTTATGAAACAATATCACTATTGTTGTGTTGCAGGCTGTGTAGGCTTGTCGACATTCAAAAATACTTTCAAAATGATGACGCTTTCTCTAAAGAGAGACTAACTTTGCTGCCTTAAGTCGACCGTGTCGTGTGTTTTCACTCTGACAATCTTTGCTATCACAACATTAATTGTAAGCATTTTCCAACCTCTACAGGAACTACCTGAGAATGAGCGTTACTGCCCACCGCTGACCATCCGTGTCAGAGACTGTCGTACGTTCGGTCGCTTTACACTGGTTGGGACTCATGTCCTGAATTCACTACACCGCTACTTACAGACTGGAGAGAAAGAGAAGGAGAAACTGGAGAAAGCAGGTCAGACAATCTCATGTATTCGTAAGTTTTTTCCCGTGGAAGTGCCAAGGCCATGGCGGGGGTTTTTCCATACGGGAACAGGGTAGGAGGGTTAAACCAGCGGTATATTACAAGTTAGGGACGTACCAGGGTGTTGATACATTATTATAGGAATAGACATTCCGTTTATTTTCGGGAAAAAAAACACAAAAGAGCCAGTTACAAACAAGAATAAACCACAATGACTAAGGATGGAAAAGATTTAAACAGGTTGTGTAAACAAGGAACTTCAAAACTTTAGGCTTGATTTTTCACGATGCCGAAGGTCTACTGTAGTATCTCCAACAAAAGCTCATGACAGATCTTAACTGGTGACTTTCAATCTCATTCCACAACAGAAGCCGTCGTAGGAGTAGGGAACACTACTTCTCGTCCAACCTCGCCAGTTCCCAATGCACCGGCTGATGTGGCAATAGAGATTGATGAGGATCCTCCTGATGCAGCGGATTCTGAGCCTCTGGTATGCTGCTAGATCATTTCATCTTATACTTTAGTTCTGATAAGCCTAACTTGTCATGGCTTTTACTCGGTGAAGAAGGCTCAGTTGACGTAAAACAATGGGGAACAAAACGGTAAAAGAACGACAGCAATAAGTCAATGAGGCGCTGTTCTATTGTGACGTGTCCTGTGTCTTCTGCACCAAGAAGGAGCCAATTTTCTACATGGCTTAGAAAGTTAGTTTTGAGTTCTTTTAAAGGAAAATTTTGAATGCATCGTGGAGTTACCTATAATTTTGGTGACTTTAACCATTTAACTCCCAGAAGAGATTAGCATGTAGCTTCTCCCTGTAACATCCATACATCATCCAGGTAACACGTGATGAGAATATTCAAACTTATCGGGTAGAAGTTAGTATCGTGATCTAACACCAAATTCTGGTCACTGACTTACAATGAGATGTTTAACAGCTAGAGGGGAGAGTTGACAATCACATCTTGAGAGTTAAAGGGTTAATCATTCACGTTCCATTTGTCTTTATTCTCACCTCTCTTTAAATGCTATGTCATTCCTTTTCGTGATACGTCATTCAAAAACTCTCACTGAAGGTTTCTTCGTTGATTCTCTGGTTTCACGGCTTTTCTCTTTTTCTCTTGTCTCCTCACGTAGTGAGGCAGGCTTGTACGCTTGCTCTCCAGTTTTTTTTCTAGTCCCAAAGAAAGCCTCTGCAACCTTTCTCTCTGTATGTCAATGGCATCCTTGGGACGTGTCCAGCCATGTCTGTTAAACTGAGCACTGATCCCTTAATTCGAAGGGTAAAGAACATAGTTCTGTTGACCCATTCCTCTTTTGAGCGATTCTGCAACGGCTGTGATATCTGAGAGTTCCCCTAGTTCTTAAAAAACCCTTTATGTACATGTTTGTGTTTCATCATTCTTCTTGTCATTCATCTTATTCACGCGCTGTTTCTCTTTCTCTATCATCGCCTTCATCACAGCTCTATGCCTATACACTCAAGGTGAGCGTATTGTTCCTTTTGTTAACTCCTTATGTCAAACTTGTTTTCATAAGTCACTACTGCTGTGTACAAAAAAATTTCATTTACTTCTTCAAGTTTTTCATCAAGCACACTGGCTTATGTGTCAATTCAATTATAGCTGTGCTGGCGTTATTGTCACATTGAAAATTTTCGCAGTCTTCCGTGAATCTTAGTCCACTAACCTTGTCTTTATCGCGGTATTCGTCGTTATATTCGTCTGTTCGCTCATTAATACCTGTAAACTTTTTACGCATTCTTGTAGGGATCCTTTGCCATGCGACTGTAATTTGAGTCTTTTTTAAGCGAGTATTTTGCGTCTCTCCCTTTATCACACTCTTTACTCTCTTGGATTCATGCATGGGTGCTGTCTGTAAATTGTTGTCTTCTTCATCCTTGCCATTCTTATTTCTCTATGATTCATCGTGACCTTTTTCGTGTTTTTCTTCTGCAACAAATTCTCATTCTCGAACCGTTTCTTTAAAACCCTGTATTTCTTTAAGTCGGTTCTGAAGGTCGATGTTATGAGGCATACGAGTGGGCACCAAGATCAGGAAGATCTGCGACAAATTTTCCCATTTGCTTCTTTTTAATAATATATCTCACCATAATGCGATTGATCAATTCACTGGTGTACCATACCCATAAAATTTGGTAATAACTTATCATGCCGAGAAAATTTTGGTCTATCACGTGACCGTAGGTCCGTACATACAAGTTGCTACCCGCCATGGCAAAAAATCTTATCGAAAGGAAACCAGAGGGAAAACTGGTTGCGGATCTCTCTTTCATCTTGACCACTCGTAGGTCTCGTTACATCAACCTTTAACAGCGAACTTAACTTTGATCTTAAAGGCGAGTATCTGTCTCATGAAAGGACTTTAAATCATGATCTTGTGGTACCTCCTTTTTGAAAGGAATCTTGTTATGCAACCTAACACTTAGAATTATCTTATTTATTATCTGAGCTGCAGGAGAAAAAGAAGAAGGCCGAGGGAGGGGGAGGTGAGGGGAAAGGCGAGAAAGGAAAAGGTAAAGAGGATGATGACGGCGAGGATGCATTGGACTGGTGGTCACGGTACTATGAGACACTGAAGGATCGTGAACGGAATGAGAGGAATGAGGAACAGAAATCATCGAGGCCTTCAAAGAAGAAAGATAAGAGAGAAGAAGAGTCAGAGGAAGAGAAGTTGAAGAAGAAGATTCCCAGGCTAACGGTGAGAAAATCGTGTGGGGCGATTTTTTGAGCGTCGCAGTGAGCCGATAAAAGGTTAACGAAAAAAAAGGACAAACTGCAATAAAGCGCGGGAAAATGCGAATGACTCAGCTGCGGTTGGTTCAGTTTTGAATCTGATTTGTTTAGAGAGTGGCGCGAGTTCAGGGTCACGCGCGAGTTCAGGGTCACGCGCGAGTTCAGGGTCACGCGTGAGTCCAGGGTCACGCTGCTTCAGTATTGATTACTAACCTTACTATAGTGTTGCTATACATTAATGTAGTTGTTTTCAACTATCAAGTTACACAAAATGAAAAATATTCGTTGTGTGATTTTTTTTTATGGCAGATTTTTGACTCAGAATTGGAAAATTTGCTAGAGTACAACGGCTTCAACGACTGGCTTCATTCTTTCCCACTCTACCGCGGCAAGAAGACAAGTGAGGATGACGACGATGACCACAGGATTGTGGGGAAATTCAAGGTACTCTTATCCTTTAGAATGCTTAACTTGTACGCGTGGTGTTTAGGAAAAAAATGACTCAACTATGGTCCTTACTCGTTTGGTCCGTTTTTACAGGGCTCTCTGAAAGTGTGGAAGTACCCCCTGCCTGAGCACGTGGAAATGGACCCAATAGTTGGCACATTCCTGAAGTTGCCCAGCAATGAGCCTGTCAATGTGCTTGTACGGGTTTACGTCATCAAGGTACGTCACCATAGACAAACCTTCTTTTGCATGGTAAATTTTCTGCCTAACTGAACACTTTCCTAATTGTCAGTTGGGTTGTCATTTGTAGTACCTCATTTTTTTCTTAAATTTCATTGTCCTGCTGCTCTTTTTAAATCTCTACAGGCCGTCAATCTGCATCCCTCAGATGTGAATGGAAAGGTGAGCGAGAGTTTGTGCTATGGTAATTTTTTTGCTGTACAGCTCAACTGAACAATCAATAAGGCTGTACAATCATCACGTAAAGAAACGAAAAAAAGTGATCTAATAATGTGATTATGTTGTTAATTTTCAGGCTGATCCCTATCTAGTGGTTACGCTCGGAAAACACAAAGTGAGGGACCGAGATAATTATGTGTCAAAGCAGCTCAATCCTGTGTTTGGAAGGTAACGATACATTAATGAGAGCGCTTTTCGATTAAGTATCCCAATACCAAAATCAGAGCAACTACAACGGCCAATCAAAATAAAAGAAAATATCACTAGGAGCTGATGGTAGTACAAAGTTCAGAAGCAAACTGCTTGAAAAGCGGGAAAACCGCGAATGGACAAGTCGCGCGTGATTTCATTTCGGCATCTGATTGGTTTAGAGGGTTGTGTTAGATCTCCACCCCAGTTACAGAGCATATGATTGGTTGAGAGAGAGGTACGAGTCTTCTGGTCCTAGTACAGAGCGATGCAAAGCCAAACCAATACAATACGGGTTTATTTTGGACGTTCAATTAAAAATTGCTAACTTCAATCAGGTTTTCTTTGTCGTATGGGACCAGGATTTTATTCATTTTGTAAATTTTTTAGTTTTAGATGTGTTTCTAAATTGGCGTGACGTACTGTTACGTGATGTGTCATGATGTGTGATCACATGATAGGATGTGTGGGACGTGATGTGTCATGGCATCAACTGTGAAATACTGAAATGTTATTACGCTTACAGATGCTTTGAATTCGAGGCGATCATCCCCATGGATTCAGTATTGACTGTTGGCGTGTACGACTGGGATTTAGTTGGAAGTGATGATCTCATTGGGGAGAGTAAAGTCGACTTGGAGAACAGATTCTACAGCAAACATCGACCCACGTGTGGTTTGCAGGAAAGTTATGCAACGTGAGTGTTAAGTTTTTTTTTTGTCATTTTACTGGATCCCTTTCACCATGAGGATTTCCATCGGCAGAAAAAAATACTTTTTGCTACAAAAAATATAACGAGACGCGATCAAGCCTATAATTATGGAGGTACCGGACAAATGTCAGTATCTTAGCAACTGCGCACCTACCCAACCCCTAAACCAACATTAACCTTAACTTGTCAGTCGACTGTTTTGGGGGGACGGGTAGGTGCGAGTTGCTCAGATACTGACACTGCTGCGAATATTGGTACTCCCGCAGAGTGAGGTCCCAGTCCACCACAGTTATCCCCCTTTCCCCCTCTCCCTCAGTATTTGATCAGGCTTCCTTTCAACTGTCCGATATTCAACTCTCTCTGTGCTCTTGAGTGGGGACAAAAGTTTGTCTCAGTGACATAGAAGTTAGGGGAAACCGAGGTTATGTCGTCAATTACAGAAACACAATTTAATACCAGACGGTATTGTTTTCTTCTACCCAAAGATTTGGATTCAACAAATGGCGCGACCCAATGCGCCCGACCCAAGTCCTTGCTAAGATCTGCAAAGATGAGGGTCTGGACGGACCTCATTACTCCACGGGAAGAGTTCGAATTGACAACAAAGTGTTTGGCGCCACTTCACAAGTTCTTGAGGAGAGTGGTATGTGTGTCTTTTTCATTATGGTGAGATATATTATTGAAAACAAGCAAATGGGAAAATTTCTTGCAGATCTTTCTGATCTTGCTGCCCACTCCTATGCCTCATAACATCGACCTTCAGAACCGACTTAAAGAAATACAGGGTTCTAAAGGAACGGTTTGAGAATGAGAAATTGTTGCAGAAGAAAAACACGAAAAAAGTCATGATAGTTTGCGCGGCGTTGCACTCATTTTGATGGTTCTGCCTTTTAAAATAGCTCGTATGCTTTATTGTGGTTCATTGGGTAGGTTTGTGTTCGTTTTGTAGGTCATTTCAAACAGTCAGATGAACCTGTTGCTCTGAAAGCCTTGCGTGGTTTCCATACGCTGAAGAGAGGCTTCAATCTGGTGCCAGAACATGTGGAGACCCGGTCTCTGTACAACCCAGAGAAACCTGGAGTGGAGCAGGTTAGTGCTCTGTTACTGCTATTTTCATTCATTCTTCTCTACAATGAAATCGTGATGTACGAGAAAAAATCTTACTTTAAGATGGTGACCAAGCGAAGTATAGAACATCTTCATCAAGCGAACCTTGATTGAGAAGACATTACACTTCCAAAAACAAAACTAAATTCATTCAAATGATGTAGGACAAGAGAAAACGGTCTTATTAGAACCCACCATTTTAGATATATCTACATAACAAAAACCGCGATTTTAACGAGGTCGCTTTTTGGGACCAGATATCTCCAATACATCTTCTCTTTAGTAGATAAAAACCGCGTTTGAGGTCTGCACTGTTAATTATCGGGAGAGTTTCCTCAAACTTGCACTATGGACTGAGGAAACGAGGCTAGTTAGATAATAGTATGAGAGTTCAAATAAACTAATAGATTGTATAATTAAGTGCCGATATTTCACGTCTGTCTTTAGGGTAAAATTGAGATGTGGGTGGACATGTTCCCAATGGACATGCCTTCTCCTGGTGCCCCTGTGGACATTACTCCAAGGAAACCAACAACGTAAGGACAGCACGCAGTCGTTTCACCTCAAATATCCCTACTAGCTTTTATGTAATTCAGTGAAAAATAGGGAGGAAAATCTGGTGATAGCTGATAGGTCTTGTATTTTCTTCATTGGTTGCTGAATAACGTATCGATATTGTGAGGAGAAGTCGCGTGCAAATTACTTTTGGAGGTTAAAAGTGAAGACGTTCGCTCCAGTTTGTGTTCCTCTGGCGATTTAACAACACTCGGAGGGAATGTGAAAGTTACAGTGTAAAAGTAATTATGAAAGAGTAACAACATATGATTCCAGTAAGGTAGACCAGTTTTTATTGAGAATTTTTCACTTGGGACCAAATTGTTTCTCACTTCCAATAACGGGGCAACGTTTCTGTTGTTATTAGTTATGAGCTGCGAGTGGTTATCTGGAACACGGAGGATGTCCTTCTTGAAGAATCCAATATCCTGACAGGAGAGAAATGCAGTGACATCTTTGTCAAAGGTTGGCTCGAGGGAATGAAAGAGGACAAGCAACAAACAGATGTGCATTACAGGTCCCTCACTGGTGAAGGCAATTTCAACTGGCGCTTCATCTTTCCATTCCAGTACCAGAAGGCAGAAGAAAGGATTGTTATTACTCGAAAGGTAAACGTTTTTCATGCATAAACGTTTTGTTCTGCTTATGTGCCACCCCTCAAATACATTAAAGAAATAAGTAAGGGAAATCTTGCTTCTTTTCACATTGAATCTTTAAGAAAATTCCCTGTATTGCAGCATTTGAATGAGTGTTACGCTGCCCAAATTCAAATTTGATCATTGTGTATTGTATGGAATGAATTATCTTTTGAACCTCCGCAGGTCAAAAGTACAGCTTATTTCGTTCACTTAGACTCGTCTCGCTCTCAACATGAAGCGTCGTGGCTCAGTTGGTAGTAGCGGCCAATATTATCTGGAAGGCCTGGGTTCGAATCCCTTCGGATCCTGGCTTTTTGCTGGCTTTTTCTGCAGTTTCTTTTATTGAAGCTTACTTGAGGGGATTGTGTCTTCATTTTTTTATTGTGTATTGTCTTACAGGCCAGTTTCTTCTCTTGGGACGAATCAGAGGAGAAAGTTCCTGCCAGACTGCATCTGCAAGTATGGGATGCAGACGCCTTCTCGGCTGACGATTTCATTGGTAAGTAAATTTCTAAAAAAAGTGAGCCATTCTTAGTTCGTGAACGTATAAAGAACTTTCTTGTTATACCGATCATTCGAGACGTAATCATGCCAGGAACCAATCAGAAATCGCTTCAGGAGCGTGTGACCGGTTTTAAGCGCGGGAAAATGCTCCCGTCTTAGTCGCGATTGGCTTAGTCTTGCATCTAAGATCTTATTGGTTAAAAAATGGCGTGAGATTTCCAATCAATTACTTCACAGTCGAGGAACCTTACAAACTGTCATATTGTGTTCAACAGGTGATCTGACGCTTGACCTCACGCGCATGCCACGTGGGGCGAAGTCCGCTAAGACTTGCACGTTAGACTTACTCAAACAAGACGGCAGTGTGCCCCAGATCTCTTTCTTCAAAATCAAGCACATAAAGGGATTCTGGCCGTTTACTGTCAACACTGATGAGGAAGTGCCTGAACTGGCCGTAAGTTCAAAGTCTGTAATCTTGGTCGTTTAGTGTAAAAAAAGGCTGAAGTATGGCAGTTATTTTTTCTCGATTCTGGTTTCATGCGGAGTAAATCACACTAGGTACATGATCTACCTCGAAACAAGCTAAGTTTAGATACGTAATGAAGAATTCGACCGATAAACGGAAGATTGTGGGGTCGCCAAGCATCCAAAAGCACGTTTTTTTTTTTTTGTCTCAAGCGAAGCAATGACCAAGTCAATGATCAATGACTTGTCAATGGTCAATGGTCAATGATCAAGTGAAGTGAAGCAGCACAGTTCAGGCAAAAATTGTCAGAGGTACATCTGTTTCAAAAATGGTTGTCGGGAAAAAAGCGTTAAAATACACTCGACAACCCCGAAAGGTAATGTGGGTAGTTTTCAGGTCACGGTTCCTTGACCTCAGAATTTCAGGGAAATGTGAGAAAAGGTCACTGTAAGGCTGAGGCATAGCGGGTTGGATGAATTTCTTTAGTTACTTGATCTATAAAAATTCATTAATACCCAGACTATCTTTCGAGATTTTCGCGTGCCCTCTTGTCCTTTTCCGACAACTTTTCTCCAAACAGCCGTATGAAGTAAGTGTGCGTTAGACAAAAAAAAAAACGTGCTTTTGGATGCTTGGCGACCCCACAATCTTCCGTTTATCGGTCGAATTCTTCATTACGTATCTAAACTTAGCTTGTTTCGAGGTAGATCATGCACCTAGTGCGATTTACTCCGCTCTTCTTACCATACGATCATAAGGCTGTATGATTTAAATCCAAATTCTCACAATTCTTAGAGCTAATCTTGTAAGAAATTTATGGCAGGCGATGCTGAGAACTGACTACTAGATAGGGTGTTGCCGAGTAGGAACTCGACAAGTCTTTGTGTTATTACAACAATTAGAACTCTTACTAAGATATTCATAACTTTCTAACTAGTTGGGTTTCTCATTTCAATGGTAGGGCAAAGTTGAAGCTGAAATGGAATTACTGACTCAGGAAGAGGCTGAGAAGAAACCCGCTGGCCGGGCGCGTGAGGACCCGCAGGCTCTAGAGAAACCAAAGTAAGATAATGCTCCGTCGAGCTTTGATGATTTTTTTTAGCACCCGCTCCGAGTCTGCGCAGTAGTTATGTACTTATTTGATTTGTATTGTTCTTTGTAGCCGGCCTGATTCAACCTTCACTTGGTTTATGAACCCGTTCAAGTCCCTGAAGTATCTTCTGTGGAACAACTACAAGATGTGCCTCATCAAGTTCTTGGTCATTGGACTGCTAGTGGCCCTCATGGGCTTGTTCTTCTACTCCATGCCTGTAAGAGCCCCTTTTGAATATGATCCATTCACGATAGGGTCCTTTTCTGTGGTAATCAAACTGATGCGATCGTCTAGGTTAGAACAGCCCGAGAGAGAAAAAGAATGTTGTTGGTGCGGAAATAGTGATCGAAGTCACCATGAAAATTTGTTTTACGTTGGACAAAAACAAGTCTAAATCAACGAGATTTTTTGGTCAGTTTTTCCGCGATGCTATGGGCTTAAAACTAACCTTAAGTCCGTTAATCGTTAATGGTCAATTCCTTGTTTCAAATCTGAACTGCTGTCAGCAGATGTCAGTAACTAACGGTGTTTTCCAAACGACTTTTACTCGGAATTTCTTGAATCGCGCTCTGATTACTTATAAAGTTAAGGAACGCCATGCAAACGCACGTGTCAAAGATTTGATCATGTAAATTTGCCTCGGTAAAGAATTACTATAGCTGACCTTTGTTAGCGTTATCCCTTCGTTCGGCCGTTAGCCCTTTCGTCCTTCCCCTCCCCTCCCTCCGCACAATTTTTTCCCCAAATCATACTCATCTCCCCGTGATAAAAAAATAGCTCATCTACGGTAGTAATAAAAGTTCCCTAAAAAGGTTTCCTGCGTTTTTATCTATCTTCAGGGCTATACTGTGAAGAAGATATTCGGAGCATAAGCTGCGCACAAGGCAAAGACAACCGTTGAATTATTCTGTGGGCTGCTATCGAGTTATTTATCTATTTATAAGTTAAGAGAAAACCTAGTTGAATGAGGTTTATTTAAAAAGGTGCAATGTAGGCGCCGTTTAAATATTAGCTGTTATTGTTATAGAAACATTTATTTTGTTAAAAAAATATTGTATACTTACAAGATTCAATTATTGGAATTTATTTTTATTACCTCTTTTTCAGTTTTGTATCAGTTTTTCTGCTAGATTTCCGTTTTTTGCAGGTATTCCTTTCCAAAAGGATTGTTTTAGTAAAATTTCGCATACAAAGCCTTTTTTGATTTGATCAAGTTCGTGGTAAGCTGACACGTTTGAGACGGGTCGCAATACCAAAATTCGTGCCAAAATCTTTCATTTGAAGTATTTATCCACCATTTCTATTTATAAGTATTTAATTTTCGCTTTTGAAATACTAATCATGAAACATGGAATTATTTTCGTTGCATGGAATTCAATGAGAAAACTCATGTGGAACAAAAAAGGGAAAGAAAATATTCCCTAAAATATAGTACCTTCCTTCTTCTTTTAGCGTTGATTTTATGAGAACTTGAAGTTAGGTTACGTTGCATGGGGTAAGACAGGAGCAAAGCCAAACAGGGGGTCACACAGTGTCAAACTAAGGGTCCTCTCCAGTTTTCGCCACTTGAATATTATAAGTTTTTCGCTTAAAAAAGGCGTACGAAGGAGGGGGTTGGGGAAAACAGGCACCCCAGGATTCCCGCTTCCCCTAGCTAGGCGTGGCTTCAGGCTTCGGTCTTTATGGAGAATGTCAGACAAATTATGGCTAAATGGCTTCTAAATAGTTTGTATTTTTACATTTTTTAGCGCAGGTCGTTCTTTTGAATTGTAGTTTAGAACTCTGGTTTGACCCGAGAATTAGATGATAGAGTTGAGCATGGAATTGAAATGTACGTGCATTGCGTTTAGATAGTGGATCTGCTGCTCGATTCTTAGAGAAGGAAGGATTTATGTAGATTTCTTTTTTTATTGTTTCTCCTGTGGATTCCTTTTTTTTTCTAGGTGCTAAATGTACCTGAAATTTATTCAAGGTGCTCTACAGACTTTTTGGTGGTCACCCTATCGGAGCTTTTCATCGCGGAGATTGCATGACAATCTCAAAGATTACGTTACCTACCAATTGGATCTGTTTTGCAGATTGAAGTATCAATTAGCTCTCTATTATGGGACGGAATTTAAATTTAAGTGGCTTTAGGCCATGGAATGAGTTGAAATTGTACAGAATGAGATGGCACAGCCGTGTACCACTGCAGGTTGTAAATAATGTGGAGGCAAAATTAACCAGACGTTGCTGGAGCATAACATATCGTAGCATAATATAAGCAGTATGTTTAACCGTGATATCAGTGTTAAGTAAAAATTACAAGTGGGTCGTAGTTATCAGTAATCAGTGTGAAGGTGTCGTACATGGGGGTAACGTGATTATCAAAAACAATAAAGATAATTGTGGTGACTTGTTGTCATTTGCTGAACCTTCCTCAGTAGCCTTTGATCACACAAAGAATTGTGCATATTGTGTGGGGCATTTGAACGCAATTTTGGCACGGGGGAGGGTGGGGGAGGGCAGGAATATGAAAAACTAATCTTCACCAGTTCAAATGTCCAGAGGGTTGCCTGGTTTGGAGGGGGGGAGGATGTTAAAGCTTCAAACTCATCAATGCGTACCTCCTCTCTAAATGTTCTGATTATTAATTCTAATACCATGACTGACTATGGCCAGTTGATCTTTAAAGGACCCCCTAAAAAAATAAATGAAAACATGTAACTAACATGTGATTAACATGTAACTTCTCTCTATAATATCCATACATTATCCAGCAAGCAGGTGATAAGAATACCCAAACTAATAAGGTACAAGTTTTTAATCTTGATCTAGAACCAAACACTTGTCATTAATTTACAAGGAAATGTGTAGAGAGTATAGGGAGAGTTACGAATTACATCTTGGAAGTTTATGGATTAAGACCTCTTTAACGCAAGCATTGTCAATCAGTTCATTGTTCTTCCTTGTGACAATTTACACTTTCAACACAACATTTCACAACCATCTATTCTATGGGTGAAGCCATATTAAAATAGTTTACATTTCAATATTTTTGTTAATGGACGTGACAGTAATACAACCGAACAACAGCCTTTGAATTGCTTTGAAATACATCTTCACCTGGTCAGTACTAAGATGTTAATGATCCTAGTAAAAATTTACACCAAAACTACATTAAAATGAAAGAATTGGTCATCAAAAGATCTTAGGCATTATTGCTTACTTTGTTTGAAAAGACAAAAGATCATTCCTTAAAGCTTACTAAACCAGAAAAAGTGATACTTCGCAGTTAAAATATTGCTATCAGGACAGACCTAATTTATTAAAAAGGACTGACACATGTGCCACTTTAATTAAAATATAAATAAAAAGTATTCTTCATAGTACCAAAAATACTAGCTCCTTTGTAAAATAATGATCACTCTGAGCAATTAAGATACAATTTTACAAAATAAGTGAAGAGGTTACTTAAATTTAATTGGTTCATTATGTTAAACTTTTACCAAAATCTTAACAGAAGGTTGGTACCCTATATAGGGGACAAGCTGCTTTCCTTGTTCCACAAAAGACACATACAACAGAAAAAGAGCACAATGCGCTCCATGAATGTTGGGTCAATATGTGATTAAAACTCTCAGTATCACATAGAGATTTTTAATTGATTCAGTCCTGTTTCTGCAGTAGAGAGGGTGTAAAGCAGTGTAAAAACTCTCTACAACCATGCTGAATTTTGCCATGAAACAAAATTTCAGGTGGCCTGTACTAGGCTTTCAGTAAGTAAAATGGAGTGTAGTGGTAAAGTTAAAAGCACAATAGTAGTGGCAGAGCAAAGAAGCAGGAGGTTTGGTTCAGCTCCGAAAAGGAAGGAGGTTTTGTCGATCACCTTAAGAACCCAAACCTCAGTCCTTTTGTGGACCCAGATTGAATCTCCAACTTTTTTCGTGCAGGCACTATCATAGTATATTTAATTTTATCATCTTGCTCTATTTTAACAAGTGAATGCCTGAAATAGGCAAAATTTTTGGCGAAATTGGAAGATCACACGAGGAAAACTGTTCCTGCAATATGATCTACATAGTGTGCCAACCTTTCAGAAGGATAAAAAAAATTGCAGTTTAATGCAACCAGAATTCAATCCTACACAACTTCCATTATATTTCACCCTGATACACCACTTCAGATGCCTCTGTCACAATAAAACTTGTTTGTACCTGATGTGACTTAATTGAAAGGCACTCACAGTCTACTTTTGTCTCATTAGCATCTACTTTTACAGTTCCTTAACCCTTTAACTCCCAGATCAAATTTTTCATTTTCCTTACTGTCAACCATACAATTCTCATAATGTTAGCTCAGAGAATTTAGTATTGGATCAACTAATTATCCCCAAATTGATATTTTTCTTTATTCTCATCTCTTATCTGGTTGATATTGTATTGATATTGTAAGGATAAGGTCTCTTCTGGTTACTTATGGGAGTTAAAGGGTTAGAATGTTTGTCATAAATAGCTCCTTAGATAACTGAAAGAATATTGTCAACTTCAGCAGTCCATAAAATTTGGGTATTACACATAATCTGTAAAAATCATGTTCTTTGTTTCACTCTGCCTGTCTCGTGTAAAACCAAACTTCAGAAGTTAGGTTCTGGGACCCAGAGCCACCATCTTGGATTACATATCAGTGTTATCATCCTGAAGAGAGCAAATGTTGATGCCAAAACTACTATTGACAAGTTGACTGCATTCCAGGTGGACATACTGTGTACAAAAGCTGCTTGGATGGCGACAAGCAGAATGTCTCCTGTTAACATTCCCCAGTAGATGATTTTCCTGGTTACTGCATTGCCCCAGCCAATCCCACCAATGAGAAGGACAATCTGAAACAAACACCAGAAGCAACATCATGTGGATTTTACTTCTAAGGCAAGAGCAAGATTTTTTATTTTTGCACAATTCGTCTTTTTTGCGAATATTCTGACTAGAAATTTTCTGCTAGCTGTTATTAATGCAACTCTGTGAAACTATCAAAATTCAATGTAAGTAAGATCTCACTGGTAATTCTTCTTACCGCCTGCAGGCTATACAATTCTCAAAATGTTAGATTGGAGAATTCGGTACTGGATCAACCAATAATCCCCTAATCAATATTTTTCTCTACTCTAATTACTTGTCTGCTTAATATTATGTTGATATTGCATGTAAGGAGAAATTCCTTCTTGGTCACTCATGGGAGTTAAAGGGTTTCACTTTGTATGCTCCACAGTAAGGTGTTTTCAAAATTCATCAATTATATTACCATTTAAGTCAAGGTTACTCTAAAATTCCCTGATGGAGCCAATAAATCCCCAAACAAGCCTTTTTTTTTTTAAGACAAATCCCTAGCTAACAGAGTTGTACATGAGCACTTGAGTGCTCTGCCCCTCTCCTTCTGTGCTCCCCCTCCCCTCCCTTAAGAAATCATCTCTGGAAAAAGGAGACCTCTGTAGGTAACTCTACCAGATAAAATGCAGATATACCACACATAGATTCAGTGATGCATCAAACAGTCATGTGAAACAATTATGTACTCTTCTTAAACATGATATGTTATGGGGCATATCCCGTGTGATTGGCCATAGAGGGTTTGTAGTTTTGGGTTTTAGAGGGAGGGAGGCGTTCCTTAGCTGGTCATCAATTAATTTAAAAGCTGTCAGTCGAAACTTTGAGAAATATTTCCAAAGAATCTTGGGTTGAAATGTTAACTAAAACAATTAGTGTCAAAAAGTCTCATTTTTCATTGATTTATGTAAGAACCCATGGTATCTTGAGCGAGGTTCGCTTCTAAATTTCTCAGTTTCGAACTATATCACGAACGAAATACGGAAGCTTTAATAAACCTTATGAAATTTTTATGAGCTAAATTTTGCAAAATTTCAATTAATACTGTGACTGGTACAGCGCATGAAAGTTCTTTTAATTTCTTAACCAAGAACGACTCTTGATTCATAAAAGAACAGCAATGGTATTGTATATATTTCTGACCTGCACGCTAACCATACTTCCGACCGTTCGCATCATCCACACTGACACTTCGTTTACAAGATCTCTTTTTTCAGGCTGTAACATTCTTTCAAGAAACGTTTTGGGAAGGAAATAATATGCTACAACAGTGACAATCATCAGAGCGATCTCCACCACGCTGACAGCTGTCCAAGATAGTCGCAAGCGGCAGCAGAAGCATCGAGACCTCGAGCTTGTTTCGGATATCGACCGGGTAGATGGTAAAGTCGGCCAAGCATCATACGAAGAAGTGGGATCGACAGCATCAACAGATCTTGGAGTTCCGTAGCTGCGATCCATTCAGAAAACAGATCGGTGTTTTGATAATAATCGCGTTTGTCAGATCTGAGAGGTAGCTCGATTTTTTTTATGTGCAATAGTACCACGCACTATGAACTAGTATTTGCCCGCCCACTGCGGAAAGGAAAGAGTGTGTATCACGTGACCATTAAATCACCTGATGAGAAAAGAAATTCTCCCACTATCGTCAAAATCAAAATGGCGGAAAGCGGAGCTCACTTGGCAGGGTTAAGAATTTGAAACTCATGCACTTCTGCGCTCTCTTTTCACTCTCTCTTACCATAAAATAGACGTGTTTATACATACTTTATTTGGGTGCGGAATGTTTGAGGTATTGGCCAAAGTATTAAAGCTGAGGTGATCACAAAGTAACAGCTCTAAAGAAATATCCGTCGAAGGAGTGAGGAAGTAACTAGGATGTCTGGTCACTATGTTCAGCTTTGTCCAAATCCTCTCCGGTTTGAGCCTGTCACCAAAGAAAATAGTGTATTTTTTGACGAAGCAAACCGGCAGGTAAGGCAAAAAGAGTTTTTTTGGATATAAATGAGGAGTCGTAGTTTGGATTCGATATCTCTTTTAAGGAGACCTCTACTCAGTTGGTAATTTTTGGTTTATTTTTTTGGGAATTCTTGAAGGCCTAATGCAACAGAACCACATGATGGTAGAAATTTTACATTTATTTTGAATCTTTCCATGATTAATTAAGTGCATGGAGGACAAATACATGGTTTGACAGACTCTGGATTGATTAGGGCTCAAAAAGTGAAAAGTCTGCTCTTCTACTTACTGACCCTCAGTACTGCAACTTATCCTGATAAGTATAACATGAAGTTACTAGAGGTAATCATACCCATGACTCCTGGATAGGATGTTAGTCCATCAAAGATTACTGCATTTCCCCACCCTCTCCTCCCTACCAGCATTTTGTCAGGTTTTCTTGACATCTCTGGGGTACCAATTCATACTTGTGGGTAGTGGGGCATTGTGGTGGTAAAGGATCTTGTACAACACAATGATCCAGCCAGGTCTTGGACCCAGACCTCTTGACCTGGAGTTCAGTATACTAATGTTTTAGCCATACCACCCCTGCTCCCATACCTTCTCTCACTCTTTGGGATTACATTGTAAGAAAGTAAAAGCCTTTATATGGGTTCAAGTGGCCCATGGGGCTGGTGCTTAACTCCAGTTTTCTTAGCATGAAGCAGGTAGGAGTATTGCTACTCCCCCCCTGGATGGGATGCTAGTCCATTGCAGGGTTACCCCCAGCACATTTGCTGGTACCCATCTGTACACCTGGGTGAAGAGAAGCACTGTGAGAGTAAAGTGTCTTGCCTAAGAACACAACACAATGACCCTGGCCAGGGCTCAAATCTGGACCACCTGATCTAGAGTTGGGCGCACTTACCATGAGGCCACTGCGCCTCCACACTTACATTGTACTGTAGGGAATTTGCCAATTCATGGGCAAACTTGTGACCAAGAGAGGTCATATGTATGGCTGTGGAATCTAGTTCTCTTTTAAATAATTTCTATTGCCACTGAATATGTAAACATTTTCTTCCAGGTCTTCTCTGTTACCTCTGTGGATGGAAAAACCCATGTTGTAGTCAGAGGTCCTGATCTGAAGTCTTTTGTCATCTTCGAGTATGTCGTTGGCTTGTGTTGTGCAATATTAGAAAATAAATGCACTAAAGATGCATAAAGGACAAATCCAAGAATTTTTGCAAATGATCAAGGGAGGTGTTAGACCTTAAGAAAAGAAATGATTTAAGTTTCAAAATTAAACCAAAATTTGTGGAATTAAAGTGAGAGATGGTTAACCCTATAACTCCCAAGATCTCATCAGTAATTCTCCTTACTGTCTGCCAAATGATTCTCATTATGTTAGTTTGGAGAATTTGGTATCAGATCACTCAGTAATCCCATAATTGATATTTTTCTTTATTCTCATCACTTGTTTACATGACATTGTATAGATATAGTAAGGAGAAATTCTGTCTCGTTCACTCATGGGATTTAAAGGGTTAACTGTATAAGATGCAAACCAGGTGATTTTTAGCCATAGGCCTGTGGATCTGATAGTAAGAAAGACAAATAGATTAGATATGTTGGTATTGAATCACTCATTCTCTTTTCCCTTCCCTTTCCTTTCCCTCTTCTTCCTTTCCTTTCTCTTCATTTCCTTTGGATTATATCATATATCTTATCATATGCATTCACAGCATACCAACAATGGGATATGTACAGTCCATTAAATTCTCTTATGACCGCAAGATATTAGCAATCCAGAGATCTATAAAAGTTGTGGTAAGGAATTCAATTCAATTTAATGTTTCATTTTGCATTCTCCATGTAAATATTTAATAATTATTAAAACTACCATAATAGGGGCTGTTTCTAATTATTATTTTTCTTTGCATTCTATCTGTGAATCTAATTTATTTCTAGGAGTTTATTAACTTTGCTGATGGAATTGATAGCCAGCAGTATAGCCAGACATGTAAGGTATGGTATATTCAATTATCTTTACACCCCTTAAAGTGCAGGTTTATAGGAGAATTTCATGTGGATACTGGATACAGTGGTGGATACTGTGTTTAGATGTCTGCATTTATCATGATAGCCTTTGGTTTTTTTTGTACAGAGCATTTTATTATGGACCATAGTGACCACAATGCCACTACTATATAATTGGAGTCATTATCTCACTGTCTTCTGATGTTTACTGGAAAAAATAGAAAGAGCTGGGTTTTTTAATTATTTTTTTTTTTTTTTTTTTTTTTTGATGAGAAGATCAACACCTTGTATAGCAGGAAGCAAACAGCTGTGAATTACGTGGACCAACTCTGAGGCATAAATTTCTGGTGTAATCGCTTTACTCATTAAGCATACAAGATCTTATTTGTGCCTCCTTCACAACCTCAGCTGGAGATCCAACTACAAACATGAATTGATTTATAAAGATCTTTTGTTATTTGTTCTCTTCACAGAGCAAGTCTGCCCATGTTATTGGTTTCAACTGGACAAATTTGAATGAAATTGTCTTTATTACAAACCAAGGTCTAGAATTTTATCAGGTAGAGGCTGTAATTTATTAGTGGAAATTAATTGTTTCCTTTTCCAAACCCCTGAGAGTGATTAGTATCTATTTTTTACTTATTTTATTGTCCCCAAATCAAACATTAACCCTTCAACTCCTGTAATTGACCAAGAAAGAATTTCTCCTTACTATATCTATAAAATATCATGCAGATAAGTGATGAGAATAAAGAAAAATATCAATTATACGATTACTAATTGATCTGATGCCAAATTCTCTAAACTAACATAATGAGAATTGTTTGGCAGACAGTAAGGAGAATTGCTCATGAGATCTTGGGAGTTAAAGGGTTAAGGTCATGCACTAACTAGAGAAGTTCTTGATTGTTAAACAAATTCTCCCTAGTATTACATTGGTGTTTATATAATAAAGAAAATGTAATAGCGGAGCTTGCAGAGCATAGTCCCATAATTATACAAAATAGTAGTAACCCATCAAGCCGAAAAAAATTTGGATGTACAACTGTACGACTGTACAAGGTGCTACTTTTATCATGCATGGTCAACTGTACTGCGGGCATGCCAATGCCACGGCTTTGTTCAGTAGTCCAGTGGTCAGTGCACTGGACTCTGAGTCAGACAACCTGGGTTCTAGTCCTGACCAGAGCATGGTGTTGTGCTCTTGAGACGTGCAGGGGAAAAAAAAAGCAAGCTCTGCTTTTAGGCTTGGCTAAATCTATATGTTATGGCTGCTTGGAGATACAAAATTTCCCTTCATATGCTGAAAAAGATTTAACTCATAGAGAAATTTTGTATCTCCCCAGCCATGTAATGTCCTCTATATCTCGTATAAACAGAGCAGTAAAAAGGTTGTTGTTTTCAAACTTCCTGTTGTTGCAAGGATTGTTGGGACTAATAGTACTGTTATTGAAAATTAAATTTAAATTATGGTGTCATAGTTTCATGTTTGTTCCATTATAATTGAAATAAGTGTCGAATACCTTTCTCCTCTAGCTGTAGAAAAATTAAAAAAATTTAAATTGAGGATGGTCAATGTTTAACTTACAACTTACCAATGAACTAAGCCATTGTATCATGAATACTTTTTGTGGTATTCTTTCCAAGGTATTACCAGAAAAGCGTAGCCTAAAGATGATTAAGAACTACAGTGTGCAAGTCAACTGGTTTGTCTTCCTGGTAAGACAAAATATTATGTGTATATGAACATTTTACTACCAGTGAGTTGAAATTTTCCTTGCATCTTTGAATTATTTCTTTCTAGCTCAGTTGGTGGAAGCTCCCAACTTTTATCTGGCCTTGGAATGTATGGGCTCATCTCTGGGAAAAATCCTGATTTTTTTCCAGGCTGTGCTCTGAATACCAGTAGGATCATGTGCAGGTCAAATGCGACTAAAATAAGTTATTGATGTATTATTTCAGAGTGATGAGGATCTTTAGTATTACAAACCTCATAGCTGAGAGATACTCAAAAGAAACTTTCAGAAATATTTATGACCAAACTAATCTTAAGTGTCTCATCCTCTTTCTCTGAAGCCTGAGAGTGCTGTTCTTCTTTTGTCTTCCTCGGGCCTTGGAAATGTTATTCATCCATATCACTTTAGGGTGAGTTTTAATCCCAAATTGTTTAATTCATCATTATCATTGAAGTAAATCTTCTCAGAATGTTCATTTAATAGAAGAACAGTACTTGCTGATTGTTCACTTTTATATATGTTTTGGGCAGTTTGGTGTTTGATATAAAATTTATGCTGACCCTCTAAGAGTAAGTGGCTTTATTAATTCAATCAAGAGGAAATGTAGCATTATTTTCGTTGCGTTTCATATCACTACAGGCAGGGTCTGTCATGAGGTTACCAAAGTTTGAGGTAGATATCCCTGCGGCCTCCAAAGCTCAGAAAGTTCAACTGTTGGAAAGGGATGTCACTCTTGCAAACATGTGAGTTATAACTGTCCAGCCAAAAATCCATACTAGTCAGTCATCTCTCAACTCCAAAATAGACTTATACCCCATTCACACCAGCAAAACATGTTTTGTTAAACTGGTTTTCATTGAATGAAAATTATAAACAGAGAACTGAAAAACTTGATTTTCCATTGGATTCAAGTACTTGCTAACTTGCATTTCCAATGTGCTACATTCAAGTCAAAAATATTCGGTTAAATAGTTTCTATGAAGAAAAAAAAAATTAAACTGTGTTTAACAAAACAACTTTTAAACATGTTTAAGCTTTGGTGTGAATGGGGCATTAGTTACAAACCATGTTTGCAGAAACTCTGACTTCTGATTCCATCAGTTTGATTTTTATGGAATAATATTGCTCTGTGCTTGTGATAGGGACTCTGACTCAAATGTTAGTGCATGGAAACCAACCTAGTACTGGTTGAAAGTATGTGATCTGTCCATCAAAATCACCCCAAGTCAAATATCAAACAACATAGAAGACTGAAAAGTCAGAACAGATATATAAGTTTGTATAAACCACAATGTATGAATGCTTTGTTTTAGACTGAATCAATGGAAATAATTCCACTTGAAGTTGACTCAAAAATCAACCCTTTTACACCAAAGAGTGACAAGCATCTAATTTTCCTTACAATATCACCCCAGAATCAAGCATTTCAGGTCACAAGAATAAAGGAAATGATCAACAAGTAAAAAAGTTCTACTAATTCTTGTTTGTTAAACAAATTCTCCTTGTCTGCACCTTTGGAAATGTATAGAGAACAGTATGGAGATTATGTATACTGATGTTCTGGTGCAAAGGGTTAGTATGACATTGATTGTTGAGGCTCCATAGATTTCTCTTTACATGTTTTCTTTCAGAGATGGCCAGCTCTATGTGGTAATTCTCAGAAACCAGCAGAGAAGTCAAACCACAGGACCAGTTGGTGCAGAGATTGTTCTGTACCAGCTTCAGCGGTAAGCCAAAGACAAACATTATTTAAATTGGCCACTGTTAAAAGTTTAAAAGCTGATGTTTTGAGCATCAGCCCTCTGTCAGATCATCACTCTGATGGAGGGCTAACAATTGAAACATCAGCTTTTAAACTCTTTACAGAGGCTAATTTACATTTATTTATCAACTCAGTTGATAATACTTAATTACCCTGTTATGCTCTCCCACCAATGCAGTACCACAGTTTCTTTAGAAACTTACCCCTTTTATTCAAACGTTATTTGTTGAATATACCTTGCTGTGGGTCAGTTATTTTAGAGTAAATAATATTAAAGGTGTGTTCTAATTGTAGAGATATCCCAGCCAAGAAGGTAGCTGTTCTTCAACTGAACATGATAGGAAGATTTGCAGTCAATGTTGTGGTAAATATATTTTTACTACGCAATCACTAGCTTTGAAACTCATATCATACTTGAATATTTTATTTTCACACATAAAATCTCAAATGAGCTAAAGCGGCCTTAAATAAAACAGGAAGAAACAAGCTCTTTTAGTTGGATCAGCTTAATTGTATATAAACTACTAATTAGTAGACACTGAAGAATTTCCTGAAAGAAAATAAACTGAGTTTCCTGAATGACTTTTTGTCATCACAGTTATTGTGAAAGTGTGACTTATTTGCTCCTTTGCATTTTTATCCTCACAGTGAAATTTTTCTTTGTTACGTCTTAATATGGATCAGTTAGAAGCATTTTTTTCCAACTAGGTGCTTTGGAAGACTGACCATGCTCTTGTGCAGCCTTAATAAGGAGATTAATCATTCTTTGCTTTGTTTTCCACAGGATAACCTTGTTATTGTCCATCATCAAGCTTCAAAGGTAATTTTTGAGTCAACTTCAAGTGGAATTATTTCCATTGATTTAGTCTAAAATAAAGCATAAATAAATTATATGGTTCATACTAAAGTAAATGTCTGTTCTGACTTTGCAGACGTCTATGTTGTTTGATATTCGACTTGGGGGAGATTTTGATGGACAGATCACATACTTTCAACCAGTACTAGCACCTCTGCCACTTGAACAAGCAGTTTTTGAAGCAGGTAAGCCATGTTCAGAGTTAATTGGTCATTTTTTTTTAAAGATAACAACACGTTTTTGCTGTACAATTGCCCTTATGGTTGGGTTGGAAAATTTGTGGATTTGATGCTAATTGTCTTAAGTTTGTTTCTTTGTGGTTTTATTTTTTAGAAGAGAAAGATTCTACTGATGCAGTTAAAAAGAAGAGGGTACTTTGTGAAATGTGTATCCAAAAACAGACTCATGCAATGAGATTATTTGCTACATCATTAATATCAAGAGAGATCAGGGAAGATAGTAAATTTTGAGCCCAGCTGTTGGACAAAGGATTATGTTATTTGCTATTGAATTGGGACAAGGAAAAAACCCCTAGACCCTCACAAGGACTCGTACATCAGACTTCAGGATTTTGCAGATAGATATAAATTACCTGTAACTGTGTATTACCACTATGTTTCTTAACAAGGTCTTGATTCCAGACTCTCAAAACTGGATTGTGTTTCAACCAAACATCATCATAGATGCTAAACTTGGTAAGTTTGTATTTCAACTTCAATAGGTCCAAGAAATGTTGCATCTTTCAGTGTTTAATCACTATGATAAAGGTTCCTACCACTTGACAAAGAAATATGAGAGATTTCCAATGTAAGAGTTGTTGTAGGAGGGGAGGGGGAAGAGAGAGAGAGAGAGAGAGAGATATGGTCAGAATATTTCTTGATGTGTACCTTGATGCAAATTTTTAATGGTGTTTTTTGTAGATGCATACCCCTGCATCTTTAGGGTTTCTCTTAGCTTTACAGTTTTCTTTTGACTGCAAAAAAGAAATTATAACCTTAGGTTTTTCCAAGTAACACCATTGACCGGAATGCTTCGTGTTTTGTCCTCAGGTTGTTTGTGGGAGGTTATGATAAAGCTGGAGCCCTTGGTTGCCATGATTGGTGACAAGGTAAATCTTATTTTGTCTATTTTTTGTCATTTGAGATATCAGTTGGTGTAACTGACAGAGGTAAGTCGCCCTTGATTTCAAGCTGTAAATCACACAAAGCATGACACTGGGTTACCAGCTGTAGTCATTGGGGTCTGAGCCCCATGGAAGCTGGGATTCTGTTTTTGTTTTTGTTTTGTTTGTTTTCCTGGCTTTACCCTGTATAGTTGTAAATCAATTTAATAGGCAATTATTTCCCAAAATAGAGTTGAATAGTGATGGGTATTTACTGAAACATGAAGTGCAAGGTAAATTTCCAACACTTTCAATGACACTGGGTGAATGACTGTTATTATTTAGTATATACTGCACATATAACCAAGAAAAAGGTTTTTTCTGTCAAATAAATCTTAAAATGTTTGTAAATGAAACTCTTGATGCAAGATTTTGTCTCTTTGGCTACTCAGAGGTGAATAGAACTTGCTTATTACATCTGAACTGGCCAATCAGTAGTATATAGTTACTGGCTAAGTTCGTTTATTAGAATCATTTTGTCATTTTCTTGTTGTCCACTCTTCACATTGAATAAATTTCCAAATAATTGTATATAAACTGACAATGTCAGTGTTGCGTGTTGTACCCATTTGGCAATGAGCTTTTTTATCTTTTAGGGCTTGTTGATTGACTTCCTACTTCTAAGGAAAGAAAGCAAAATGGTCATTTTAACAGTTTTCAAACAAGGTATGGACACCATTTAGCCAATGTATTTAATCATCTCAATTGCAACGCTTGGAATTACCATTTAGCTTATTACCGTATTTATTCGCCTATAAGCCGATCTCGGCTATAAGCCGAGACCCTAAACTTTTTCATGTCAGCAGCTGTTGCATTGAAATAAAAAATAAACACAAAACATTCGGCTACCCCTACCTTGGCGAGAATTTACCTGTTCTCAGTTTAATTTGTTGGAAAAATCGCTCGGCTTATAGGCGAATAAATACGGTATTGCTTTATTTTTTGTTGCAAGGTGTGACAGCATAGTTATTAACCTTTTTTTTTTTTTGTCATCATGTAACAGCCTTAACTCCAGGGAGACAGAGCAGCCTTCCAGTCATAGCTCGCATGTTTGACAAGGTGAACTTGGCTTACAGAAGTTATGCACTGGAAGCTGAACAAAATGCACAACAGGTTAGTCTGTATGAATTCTCAAGGTAACTCTGTTATTACCTTCTGTGAGTTATGATTATGAGATGACAGGAGAAGGAAAGGCTTAAGGAGAATGAACGATCAGGGAGAGGAAATGGTCAGGAAAGATTGTTCTAAGGGGCACAGAGGTTGAAGGAACCTACTGTGGAGTCAGGAAAACTGGGCACCGGGTGGGTAAAGATTAAGTAGAGGGATGAATAAGATGATTAGAGTAGGAAAAAAGTGAAAACAAAAATGAAAACTTGTAGACTGAGGCATCAAGGTCTGGATGAAACAAAGAGGGTAGAAATGGAAGCAGAGCTGGCTAATGAGTTGAAGGAAGATGGGAGGTTGACATTCACTGAATTACTTTGGAAAGACAGAGTAAACGGAGGTCTGGATGAAACAAAGAGGGTAGAAATGGAAGGAGAGCTGGCTAATGAGTTGAAGGAAGATGGGAGGTTGACATTCACTGAATTTCTTTGGAAAGACAGAGTAAACGGAGACAGGGAAGGAAGGAGTAGTGGAAAAAATGTACATCCTAGGCACTTGAAGGGAGGAATATAACAGAGCAGCAAAAATTCGATAGGAAGAGAAAAAATTATGGAGAAGTCGGATCAATATCAGTATCTGGGCAACTGCCCACCTACCCCTCCCCTAACTCAACAAGAGTCAATTGATAACAAGTTAGGGTTAAAGTTGGGTTAGGGGAGGAGTAGGTGGGCAGTTACCCAGATACTGATATTGATCTGAGAAGTCTTTTCTGAGGTTAAAACATATTTCTATTTGATATGAATCAGAAGTTTCTCTCCTTCCTTCTTAGTGTTTATATGTAACTGATTGAAAAATGCACTTGTTTTTCTCCTAGTCAGGTGATGCTTCCAAGGGTCAGTCTCCCCAAAAACAAGTCTCCAGGTTAGTGAACTCAAATTTTGTTCCTTTTCTTTTTTATATCTTACAAGTTAAATAATATTACTGGTTAACTTTTCAAGAAAACTTTTCTTTGGTAATATTCCTATATCAGTTGAACGGTAATTTGGACAAGGTTAAAACCAAATTTTTGCAAGGGTTTTACTGATGGGATAGGGGAGGCCCAAGAGAGGTTTACAGGGACATTGCTTTGCTGCTTTGCTTCCTTTGTTTCCCTCTTCTCCCCCCCATCTATTGCTACCTAACAACTCTTACCCTCTATAACTACTGAAAACATGTTTTCAATGTCTAGTAAATATATAATGTATTTAATACTTAGAAGAGAAGCATTTTCAGTCAATTCACCCAGTGTTAAATGCAATTATGCTCCTTTAGGTGCCAGACAGTTGTCAGTCAAGAAGACATGTATTCCCATGTGCTTTCTACATTTGTGGAGAGTAAGGTATGAGACTGCTGTTGTACTGTATCTTCATCCAACCTTTTTTGGAATTGTCAGTATCCAGTAGTACCATTTCAGCTTTGTAACTGTGAAGGCCAGTTTATAGACTATGAGTAGTCCATCCTTTTAGGTAAAGTGGGTCGCAAAAAAAGAAAGGGTGGCTTGCATAATGGACTTTGCCAATAAGGAGGGAATGCTCATAGTCTAGCCAGTGAAAAAAAACAAGTTAGTATTACTCAATGTATAATGGTTTGCAATTTGCATTCTTATAAATTGCATTAAATTTGTAACAATTTTATGACTCAGAATTTCTAGGTTATTTGATCACAATTTTGTAACTCTCCAGTGACTGTTTTAAAGGGAAAAGAGGAATGACAACTGTGAAAAAGAAACTTGCCACATATCTTGATCTGTATTTCAATCAAGGAATAAAATCTTGATTGTGCACTTTCATTGGATAAGTTAATTGGGTTGTGTCTTCACGAACATGACTTTGTGTTAGTTGCCAGTAATCCAAGTTAAAGACTGAACCACTAATTCTTGCCATTTCCCTTGTTCGTTTTTTAGAAAGTAAAGTATAAATTCATGGTTGCTGTGTTGGTGGAGTATATTCGATCTCTGAATCAGTTTGAGATTGAGGTAGAGGTAAGGGAAATTACAGACTTAAAGAGTTAAAAACTGAAAAAAGAAAACAAAAATGAATCTCTAAAATTAAGTTTGTAAAAGACTTGGCAACCAATGGTTTGGTGCATTGGATTTCAGATTTAGGATTTATAAACCTATATGTATAAGCCACCCTTTCTTGTTAAAATTTATATTTAAATTCCAGGTTCCAGCTACACCACCTATTTAAGCTAGTGACACAACTTGCAATTGATATGCCATGCAGTGATAGGCCAATATCGCCAGGAGTGCCTGGTGCAGCAGGTGTAATTTTCGCCAATCACCGTGATCAGCATGCATGCCAGATATTGGCAATTTTGTATGCTGATTACAACATTCAAAATTTGTTGCGATTGGTGAATAAAATCGCTAGGTGTGTTGCTGGCTTAATGCCATCCACAACTTATCACGTGACCTGAATGATATAACCCTCTTCTTTTCCACTTCAACAGCACTATCTTTATGAGCTGATCATAAATCTTCTGGTACACAACAAGCGTTTCTACCAACTGCATCAGGTGTGATGGCCTTTTAACAATATATTTCTTTGTGTTCTATCTCTAAACAAATGAAAGATGAGAATCAAAAAAGCAGGTTCTCATTGCGTTATTACACAGTGACAGAAGCAGTAATCCCCATCAGATTCAAAATTTGTGCCATACTGCTGGCTCACCTCCAGTAGGACTTGCTGCTCCTGCTATAGTGCATGCCAATTAGAGCCTGCCTACAATCTAGTAAATGTTTAATTGTCATAATTAGAATGGGTAACAACTTCATTGAAATTTCTCAAAGACAACAAATTGCACAAAGTCTTTGAAAATTTACAAGTGCTTACTTACAGCAAATTGCATAAGAAATCAGTCATGTTGTCACTTGTTAATAATTTACATGAAAAAAGTACCACAGAAAGTCAAGACAGATGAAATTTTGGAAGCATGCATTATTTGTAATCTGCATTTGTAAACTTTGCACTCTTGTTATGTAAAAAATGCACCCATTTTCAGCCAATTAGACGCCCATAATATTTTAATGTATTTCATGATTATAGATGAATTAAACAACCTCCTCCTCCTGTAGTGTCTTGTTTGAATAATCTTTTAAAGGTTTACATTCTATGCATGCATTCAAACAAATGATTCAATGATATTTGTATGCATTTTTAGTTCCTGCAATACCATGTCATCAGTGACTCTAAACCTCTGGTAAGAGTAAATCAATATTCTTATAACCCATCACGCCCTAGCTTCAGAATGAAAATTCTCTCCACTGTTCTCTCTACATTTCTTTACCCTTTAACTCCCAAGATCTGGTTGTTAATTCTCCCCTCTAGCTGCTACACATTTCCTTCTAAATTAGTTATGAGAACTTAGTGCTAGATCAAGGTAGCAGCTTCCACCTGATAAGTTTGAATATTCTCATTACCTGTTTGCTGAATAATGTATGGATATTATTGGGAGAAGTTTCATGTTAATCACTACTGGGAGTTAAAGGGTTAAGGTGCTGACAAGGAGAATTAATTAGCAAAAAATTTTGATAATGCTTACGATTTTAGATGTATCTGCCTGGTTACGTTTACATTATGGTTTAAACCTAGTAATTCTCCCTTCATTCTCCCAAATATCTTTTCAAAATGTTAGTAATTACTGCAAATTAAAGTAAAAAAAAAAAAAAAGCCTGTGAAAACTTTGATGCAATTCTGAGAGGTCAATCGTGTTCTGACCAATCACAGTAAAGTTCAGGGCATGAAGAAAACCTTAAAACCACAAAATTTTTACTAAACAGGTACTGTTTTCAGGTGGGGTTTCTTATTTCTGGTTGGGTTTTCCTTGGGAACATGATGTTACATTATTCAATACATATGTCCGAGTTTTCATAATTATCCACCCAAGTGCATGTTCAAATAATAACTTTACTATGTGTTGCAGGCGTGTCTCATGTTGTCCCTGGAGAGTACCTACCCTCCCACATACCAACTGGCCTTGGATATGTTGAAGGTAACTCAAACAAGTTTGTTTAACAACTGTCTATATTAATGAATAAAGGGGGCAAGTTTCTTTAGAAACTGTGGTGCTGCGTTGGAGGGGGAGTATAACAAGATAATTCAGCTTGATCAACTATGCCTCTGTCTTGTTAGACTGTTGGCTTTTCTGACTTTTACAGTCAGTAGTCCATTTGTTAGCTTGCTAGTCAGTTGTTTACCCATAAAGGGGGTACATTTCCAAAGAAACTGTGGTGCTGCATCGGTGGGGAGTATGAGAAGATAAGGTAAATTGCTCACCTTAAAGAGTTTCAAAGCTGACATTTAGAGCATTAGCCCTTCATCAGAGTGAATGATGTAGGGCTGACACACAAAATGTCAACCTACGGTAGACAATCTACATTATCAACTCAATCAACAAAACCAAATTATGCTGTTATATTCCCCTACTGACACAGTACCACAGTTCCTTTAGAAACTTACCCCCTTTTATTCAACTGTCTATATCACCTATCTTAGATCATTCTTTATGAATTACTGACCAATACTTTTGTGTTCACACAAATGGGTAACTTTCATTGTTACTCTCCACAGAGACTTAACACAGCCAATGAAGAAATCATTGAGGTTCTTCTCTCAAAACGTCAGGTTAGCCATTTACAACCAAACTGAAAAGATAAGTAAGCTAGGTAGAATTTTAGAAGCTGGTGAGAAGACCCTTATTACTTGTGCTCTCCATGAACACTTCTTTGCCTGTGAGAAAGTATAAGGCTTTGAACCGAGCGAACTGGTGAGAGGTTTTGTGAGTGGTGTGGCACCACAAATGATTATTGGTGCCAGACTACCAACACTCTCTCCCCAACTCATCTCAAATCTTTCCACAGGTGCAGGAACACACATCCTGCAGCACTGATTATGAGAGCCTGCTCACAAGCCAGAATGTTAGCACTTTTCCATGTCATTTTCCTTCTTGATTGTTCTTCTGTTATTAACAATTGTCATGGTGATTTGTTTTTTTTTATAGCTGTTGCCTGCCTTGCGCTATGTGCGTGCTATAGGTGCAGAAGACTCTATATCACCCCGAAAGTTCTTAGAGGTTGCTTCAAATCCTGAGGATTCCATGCTTTTCTACACTGGTAGGTCATGTATATAGTCACTGCCCAAAATTTCTGGTGAAAGTTATTGTTGATATTAGTAACTCTCTTCCTGTTCTCAAATAGACAATGTTTACATAACAATTATAAAATGTCGTAAGTCAGACTTATTTTCTCTGGGTTTACATGATTTCAAGCACTAAATGTAAAGAAACTGAATGTGATCCCTTGTTCTCTATTGCAGTATACAAGTTTTTTGAACAACGTAACATGCGGCTTCGTGGAAGCCCTGACTTTGCTCCAGGTATGAATAATTTTGATACTCAATTAATTTCTGCATTTTTTATGCTGTTGAATCCAGTTAGATTGAATAGCATTATCTCCAAACTTGGAAACTTCAACCTGTCCAGACTTAAGTTTGAGACTTCACTTCTTTGTATCTTGGTCCAGGGGAACACTGTGATATATATGTTAAGAGATTTGAGAGCCGTTTTGGGTCAAATCGGAATGCACAATTAAACAGTAATGGAGGAATCAACTGAAGAAGGTGGCAGCAGTATAAGAGACAAGCATTAAATGAGATGAAGTATGTGGAGTAAAGCCAAAGATAGAACAAGTTTCCTGTGCATCAGTGTCCCCAGCGTGAGTTTAATGGCTTGGCAGAAGGTTGTACTCATGCATGAGTGGATCATATCCCAAATGTACCAGACAGTGTCAAGATTACAAGGTGGATCATAGCTCTGATGTAGAAAGGAAAGTTTCAGACTCTTGGTTAATGGACTCAAGAGGAATGTGTGAACTAAAAAACGAATAGATGGCAGAGTTTAAGTTGCCATGGCAACTGAATTTGCGGCAGAAGTTGCTGATCTGGCACAAGTATTCAGCCATCAGGTTGAAAGCTGAAAAGTTTTCTTTTTTTGTTAGTTAATATAGTTTTAAGGCCTACAATTAAAGTAGGAAAGGTATTTGTCATTTTCATCTGAAAAAACTTTGCTACTTACCCTAGTTTTACAACTTTAATTACTCCAAAGATAAGGGATGTGGTCCTGGGTTTAGTCTGCCATGTCAATTTGCATGTGTCTATATTTTCTGACGATGAGTCACTAAATGACAACTTTTACAAACAGCTAAGCTTGGGCCAAAGGGGAGGTAGGGCTTGAGGTAGGAGGAACCTGTCATTCCTGTCTCACTCCTCTTTCATCCTCTGTTATTTATTTGCCTACCAAAATTGTAAGCCTATAGTAAGCTGGGATATAAAGATCATCAACTGAACAACTTTAATTCTTTTCAAACTCTTAGTCTGTCCCAACAGACCTTTTAAGTTTTCTCTCACTGTTTCTCATATTACAAATTGAAGAATTTTATATTGTATATAACTGTGAATTGAACTCTGTGATTGTGCCCCATAAAATAAAAAATTACAGAGAGAAGAGTTTCACATGTCTTTGTATTATTTTCAAATAATTTTCTTTTGACATACTGAAGTTTTATTAACAAATGAGATACTCCATCAACTGACCAACAAAATGCCTTTTATTGACAAGCTGAAATAGCATAGAGCACATTGAATACCATATTTATTTTAAGTAACACATCATAAATCCATTAATGTGTGATAAAAACTAGATATAATAATTTCCCCAATCAGCAAGTGAGATGGAAGTGAGAAGTGGTAAAAACTCTTGAAATAATTTTTTATCATGTATCAAAATTGGTGTCTTTTCAACTCTAGACTCAAACTCAATCTTGTGCTTTTCTTGGCATTCAGAGTAGTAAATAAATATATTCTGTTATTATTATTAACATGTAAAAGTAATATTCAACAATGTATATACAAACTTATTTACAGTTTACAGCAGGTTGCAACAATCTTGAATATGGCTCTAGTTATACAGCAATAATCTACAATATAAGTTAGCAATAATGATTCACACAAATGTACAAAACTTTACAATAATATAGCAATAATTTAGTAATAATGATTCACACGTATATACAAACCTTTATGGAACTAATAATCATAATAATATTGTATTAGGCAACTGAATTAAAAAAAGAACAGTTTTGAAGATTTTATCTCCAAGTGTTCACTTTGTTGCTTCGACAATTTGTTACCAATAACAGTGTTTATCTTTTTTGTAACCAAAACGTATAGAATTTTCAGAAATCTTTATTGTCCATAATTCACTATGTCTGTAGTGGCACAGGTAGTCCACTGTGGACATCACTGTCAGTGTCCCAGTTTGACTCGGAAATGATGGGGCGTGGTGGCGCAAAGATGTTTGGAAACCTAAAATAAAACAGAAAATTAATAAACAAAATTGTCTATCTATTAATGTAAAAATTGGATCTTGTGTCAGATGCTAATGTGCAACCTGTACTTAATTACCCCTAAAGAACAATGTGTCATATATATTTGTTTTTCAAATGTGGATCTTTACTGATATTAATTTATTCCCTATAACTTGGTAATCTAATACACACATTGTCTTACAGGTGAGTCTAACCAGTGTGAACACTATCCACATCAATTCTTCAAATTAGTGACAGCAAGGATCATTGTCAGTGTCAGAGCAGCTACACACCTACCCCTCCCTTAACACAATAACAGTCAACTGATAACAAACTAGGGTTAATGTAGGGTTAAGGGAGGGGTAGGTGTGCAATTATTGTTCATTGATCCAAAAGAATTTCCAAAGACAATCTTTGAGATGCTGCTTACCTTGATTGTGACACATCCTCTGCAGGTTTCCTGTTTAAAAGTGTTGAGTTTGGAGCTCTTGCTTGCATTATAGCTGCAAATGGTTTTGTGCCCCTAGGTAGTGCTAATGACTGGGATCCACTGGCTACAACTCCTTCATAAAGTAATGGATTTACTCCAGGGTTTATCATATATTCCCCGTCAGCATTTGGTAGCCCCTGAATGGGTGGAAGAGGAGGTATACTTGAAAATGCATTTGATGAATCCGATATGAGATTTGATGCTCCCCCTTCAAGGAAGTGCAGCTGTTTCCTCTGTTTCCTTCTTGCATCTCTGCTGGCTTTCCAGTTCATTAAAAATCGTTTGGCAGTCTCATTGATTTCCTTGCCATCAAGCATAACTGTAAATTGAAACAAAATTTAAGAAACTATAATTAAAAAAACAGACAAGTATTGATGTATGATTAAAAAATAAATTCTTTACATTTCTCTTGGTCTTATTATCAATATTCAGGGTGGTCACTAAGCACCAACAGCAGGTGAAATTTGCAGGATGAAAGAGTGGCGCTTGCTGCTTGAATCTTTAGCTAATAATCGTCCGGTAAAGCCCTCTGACACTTCTGAGGTTATGCACCTGCAATCACTCAATACTTAACGCTACCTTTGCACCATCTCTCTTGAAATTTCAGCAAGCAGCTTCATTAATTTGGAGTATAGACAATACGTTTATACATGGTTGTGGTTGAAAGCAACTTGTATGTTAGTATAAGATTACAGACAAATAGTTTAAGTGGTGGGAAAACAAATCATATCTCTTCCAAGGAAATTCCCTTGCACCTTTACTTACCTAATGACCTGGACATAACAATGACCCTGTCCCTGTATTTTTTCTTGTTACAAATAGGATTTCCAGTCAGTTCTAACCTCCACAGTGATGGCCAAGATGCAAAAACTCTTGAAAGCTCCTTTTGCAAAAAAAAAAGATTTAAGTTTATTAAATAAGTTGGTTAAGGAGCTTTTTTGCAGTCAGAATAAAATACACAAATTAAACATCAGGTAATGTATTTCTCAAATTCCTGTGCCATCTCAAGCATAATAGATGGACAATATCACAAAAAGGGTTGTGGTTACTCATCATGGTAAATACACTTAATTTGTTTTTATTAAATACTTTACACCCTAAAATCAGTATGCACATTCTCCATACTGTTCTCTATACATTACCTAAGGTGCTGAAAAAGTACAGCTTCTTTAGTTGATGATTATTTCATTTATTGTTGTGACCTTAATGTGTGATTCAGTGGTGACATTGTAAGTTAGCAATTAGATGCTAGTCCTTACCCCTTAGGGCTCTAAGGGTTAGATGTAATCATTTGTTTCACAAGATAGAGGGTTTTAAGGTGGAAAGAACCATATTGACTGCATACTGCAAGCCTTCTTCATGCTATAGGGTCAACTGCATACAATTTTATGACAATGTGTTCAGCTGTGGTTGGCTAGTATTCAACAAGGAAATTTAATATGCAAATCTAAAAGCAATCCATCTACATTGGAAGTAAGTACCTCCTGGACAAAGGATTATACTTGCTTACAAATACTAGGAGAAAATTTTACAAGGAAAAAATATTATTAAGAAGTGTCGCACCTTCATATCTGAGAGGCAGTTGTTTTCTGTGAAAAACTGTGTCATGTTCTTGAGACATTTCAGCTCCTCCACAGAATCTATGTTGTTTTCAGATATATTCAGCACGCATAGTGATTTCTGTTAAAAGAAAAGTATTAATTACTGCATGAATGGTGTTATTTTTAATTTATTTACACATGATCACCTGTTCACTTCTGGGTTCAACCCAATTACTGTCAGTGATAAACTATTAATTAACTGTTAAGAATTTTTGTACTCACAGAAAGAGCTTCAAGTGATCTTGGCTCAAAGAGAAGCTTTTCACCAGGAGGTAGATTTTGTTTTTCAATGTGAAGCTCACGAAGACTTTCCAGTTTCTCCAACCCCTCCACAACTGTGATGGAATTAGAACCAAGGTACCTGCAAATTTTATCAAAATAAGTGAAATTTATAAAATCAATTCTTGTAGCTTAAAATGAAAACAGAATTTGGAACAAGAGTTTTGCTCTTTTGATTGCAACTAGTAATGACCACTGCTCTTTTTAGGGCTGATTGCTTCAGTTCAGGGGAGGGGTCCTAAGGTATAATTTTCCCTTTTTATCCCAGAAGCTCTAATTGAAGCATGCTCCAGTTTGTGCATATTTCAAGGGACTGTTAATCTATGTTTTAGACTAGTGCTTCTCAATAAAAATTAGGGGGAAAAATGATGTCAGCACACCATGGGGAGCTCTTGAGTGAGATGTTCCTTACTTTTCAAGCAACTCACTCCAGGACCTCCCTGCCACGCACTAACATCAATTTTTTTTCCTTGATTTTTGTTGACTTGTGCAACAGAATGCATGCCAACAAGAATGTTGGTTGTTTTCAAATGAGTCATTTCGCCAACGATTGTTTCGCAAATGTCTCTAGTCAGTTCACAAATGTGTAGAAGTCAGTTCACAAACGTTTAGAAGTCAGTTTAATTTGCAAATGTTACTAGCATTTATATGTGTAGAAGTCAGTTCACACACTTTGTAGATTTGAGATATCAACATTGAGCATACAAACTAACCCTCTAGCTAAGGTCATACAGTTTTGTAGTTGATTTTGCTCTATCACAGCATTTGCGTGTTGCATGTACAGTAGCTGTAACCCACAAATCAATCTACCAATGAATATGAAACAAGTCTTACTGTTGTTGTGTTCTATCAGGAAGTTTTGCTCTTTGAAGGAAGGTCCACAACTACCAAGACACGGGATAAAAACTGTCCATTTGATTATGAAATATACTTTAGCGAGAAATAAGCTGTGATATTTCACTTCCAGCAATTTATGCATACAATGTGTCAATAATGTGGTATTCTGAATCAATTCTTGTTAAACCCAGGTTGACATGTAAATGTTTATAACATTTATAACTAACTTCTACACGTTTGTGAACTGACCAGAGACATTTGCGAAACTACCGTTGGCAAAACGAATTGTTGGCAAAACGACCCATTACCACCAACAAGAAAGGGGACTCTGCATCTACTTTTTTAAGCAGTACTGTGTACACCTCTTAGTTAAAAAAAGTTTAAATTGGAACAGCTCAACCATATACCTACTAATATTACTGTCCCAGGGTAAGTAAGCACAGAGATACTTACAACTTTGTTAATCTCCTAAGATTGTCTAGTCCCTCTATTTTAGTAATCTCATTCTTCTGAAGGTATAAATGTGTTAGGCTGGTTGCAAAACCAAGATTCTTGATCTTTGCAATATTGTTGTCATAAAGGTAGAGAACTGATAGATTTCGACAGTGATGAAGATTATCCTGCAATATCAAAACAGACAACAAATCGCTGTAAATTCACACTGATCACATCTAAGAATTTCCTCACTCCTGCAAACAGTATTCCAAGTATGTAGACAACTGTCATACAGTAGTTTTATGAACAGTGTGAGATATAAATTACAAAATTTTATCTTTCGCTCGATATTCTAAACTTGAAAACAGTTTTATGAGCAAGTTTTGCCAGAAATATGTATTTCACACAGTTTTGCTGCATATTAAGACTGTAAAACGTTTATAAGATCTCTTACTCTAGCTATGAGTGAACATAAGCTTTATGAAAACTCATAGCTTACAATCATTTGAAAACTTCCCACCCACGAATCAATAACTTTGTGAGCACCCTGACCTCGAGAAAGCCTATTTTTGTCCATGACTGCGGGTCGAATATCTAACTCATAGGATTGAATGAGAAGGATATCTGTGGAATACAAAATTTAAGCTCACTGATTTTCAATCCGCTAGTCGAACAAACTTACAATTTCATCGATGTTTTTCTCTGAAAAATACAAGTGGGTCAACCTCCGCACGTATTGTTGCACAGTTTCATCTCTTCTTTTCTTTGTATGGCTTGGAGATTTCGCCAGCATATCTAAGGTTATCTTTCCCATTTTGAGATAATATTGGTAATGTTACATACGAACTATCGGTATTGTAATTTTGGGCATGTTATAAAAGCACCTATCACGTGACTAGAAAACAGTTATTCGTCTCCTTGGAAACAAACTTCTATTACCCAGACTCTACGGGATATACTTGGACCAGAGGTACTGTTACACGATCGACGACCAACAAGATGGCGGCCAGAGGGTATATGTGTGACAGGTTTGTGTTTTTCTCTAGAAGACTTTGAAGTCCCCGTAACAATTTCTAATATATACGTATCGTGTTTTTTGTGCATTATTAATGTACAGTTGTTTTATTCGAGAGCGATTGACATTTCTAGTAAATTATGACTGGTCAAGTTGACATAACAAAAGGATAAATATTCTCGCGTGGGTTAATTGGCCTTGTAGAGATCATAGTTGTTAGGAGTGCTGTTCGTATTTATTATCAATTAGAATTGAGAAACGTCTTGCTGTTATTGACTCTTGAGGTTTTGCCCTTTTGTCTTTGACGCTGAAATTGTTGTTGTTATTTTAATTGGAGTAAGGTTTCGTGTTTTTCCAAGGATCGAAGATGCCTAATTTTATGACGTATTTCCTAGCTTCTCAAATTGGTGAAAGATGCTTTCAAGTGACCATAAACCACAGCTGGTAGAATACTTATGGGTAAAGCGGATCTAAAGGTCATAAATTTCACATTGCTAGCTTTTAAATTTGTCGAGAATCGGTGTAACGTATGAAAGCGCGCGTTCAGAAGTTCAGCCCATGCCGGTCAAGGAATATTTTGTTGACTTGTCATTGATGTCATTTTTTTCAGCAATCTCAAGGCATTAAATTGTGCGGAAGATTAGGATATCAACAACGATGTAGGATACTGCCTTGATAAATAATTTTAGTTGAAGTTGTTACTCTTTTGAAGAACTCACTATGTCCGGGGATTTACAAGCAACGATAGAATTCGCCGTCGAATTTTCCACGTTTCACAACATCGATCTCTTTCAGCGAGGGTATGTAACGCTTGAAATAACGTTTTATGTATAAATGTGTAGCTATTAATTTAATTTTATTATGTTTGTATTTCCTTAATCAATCCAGAGATTATATATAAGAAATGTTCTACATCAAATTATTACGAAAAGGAAACCGAAATTAGATTAGTGACACTTAACAAATGACTTTGATCGCTCGTTTTTTCCAATTTTTATTTTTTCTATTTGATGTATAAATCCTCTATGAAATCAAACGATTATAGGAATTTTAAAGATGGTATTCATTAGTGTAAGAGATTAATTGACTTTACTATTCCCCATAGAAATTTTCAGATATGTTTAGGCAATACACCCCGCCGTGATCAATAACAATGCATATCACTTTGATCTTTTGATATTATTCATAAGAAAAAAAAGTCATTCTCTCTCCAGATGTTAGCTCTAGACAAAATTAATCTGATTAAATTCTCCAGAAAAAACATGAACATCTACAACAGAAATTGGATGTACTGGTACTCTACTATAAGTTCTCATATATGTGTAGTTACACCTTCTTCCTTGTTAGGAATACTTTTTCCTGTTAAAATTCAAACAAATTCTTATTTTTGAACCAGCCCCAAATATTTAAATTCAGGTTCTTTGCATTCTCTAAAAATATGCCCAAGACATATCAAAGAAACTCAATAAATTTATGTCACATAATCCCCTGGTTAACAGTTAATTTCTTCATCAAATTATAATGTGATCTTTTTTATTTGAATGAGTGGGTAGTATTTAAGGAGGCCCAATACTCAAGACCTCATGGCTTCTAAATTTAGACATCCTCGTTACATCTTATCTTTTGTCTTTTTATTTTACTGTTTTCTTTGATTTCTCGTATAACATCTATTTTTTTTGGATCAAGAACAGATAAAGTAAATATTGAAAAATAATTTGTTTTATTCTGTAATAGTTTTAAGTCCCCTGCTGAGTGGAAGAATTTGAGCCGATATTAGTTTCAAAATGAAATCTGTTCCCAGGTGGCTGTAGAATGAAAAATTAATCCAGGATAGTTATTATAAATCAAAAAGGTCATGAAGGTCACAACTCACAACACTCTGTTTGATCCTTAGTTTTGTCTTAACCCTTTAACTCCCAAGATCTCATTAGTAACTCTTCTTACTTTCTGCCATACAGTTCTTGTGATGTTAGTTTGGATAATTTCATATTTTATCAACTTATAATCCCCTAACTGATATTTTTCTTCATTCTCATCACTTGTCTGCTGGATATTGTATTGCTATTTTAAGGAGAAATTCTATCTTGGTCACTCATGGGAGTTAAAGGGTTAACCTTTTCACTCTCAAGGATGACCAAGACAGAATTTCTCCTTACAATATCAAGACAATATCAAGCAGACAAGTGATGAGAACAAAAAAATGTATCAATTGTGGGATTATTAGCTGATGCGATACCAAATGGTGACCAGGTTGGTCACAGCTAAGAGTACTTAGTGAAAAAAAAGATTTTATCAGATGATAAATTGAGATATTTGAACTGGCAGGTATTACCATATTCGTTGTACTCTTAAACCTCCCGTGAAGGCAGCAGCAAGTGTGGAGGTAGAAAAAAGGCTTGATACTGTGTCAGGTAAGTAATTCAGAGTACAATTTAATCAGATAGCACTCTTTTGAATTACAGTCTCTCAAGCTGAGGAAACCCAGAAATAGAATTTGACAGTTATGTCCATCCCATCATCACAGAGATCAAGAATTAGTCATGGCTACAGTCAAATTAATAGGATCTAGAGATGCATTTAAATTCTAAAAGTAGGAACACCTATAAAGTACTAAAGATATTTCAATAATTCAGTTACTTTTTCTGCAAGATGCAGCTGATGGTGGAATTACCAGCTGTGATCTCAAAAGAAGCGAAACAAATTTTTTATATAAATTCTGAGCAGACAGTAACAAAAGATGGTGTTAGACCATGGCTAACCAGCTTTATCAAAACCCCTGTAATTTCAGGGTAGAGCATGCAAATATGATCACTTCCCACCATATAAATGTATATCTCCGAGTTATAAGAAAAAAAAATTACAAGAAACTATCATTCTCTAGATTACTTTATTTGTATTATCCTGTGCTATTTTTCATCGATAAAAAATTTTAAAAATTTGAAATGTGTAATGTGCATATATTCATATATTCAGATCAGAGAGAACCAAATATTTTAAATAAACATAAGGTGCTTGAAAATTCCAACTTGCATGAGGCAGACCAGTTGGCTATTTACACAGTACTAGTATAGCCAAGGAGTTGAACTCAGGGGGACTGAGAACAATCAAGTGACTGACAGGGTGGAGGACTTGAACCCAGGACCATCATATTACAAGTCTACTTGGCCACAATAATTTACTTCATCAAATGTAGTGTGTGATAAAGTTATGACATCATAACAACTTATACTGTTATTTTCTTTTTAACATCACAGACAGCCAAGAGGCAGAATACCAATTTGGAGCAACCATCAACTCTTCTGGGCAGACAGCTATCTCAAAAACATTCCAAATTCTTTACAGAAATGAGTCTGTGGTGTTGAATGATTCCTTTGTTTTTCGTCTCCATTTGTTGGTGAACAGTGACAAGGTAAAAGTCCCATTAAAATCTCTCTATCAGTGGTACTGAGTTGGTGGGAGAGTGTAACATGTCAAAAGAGTTGATTATGTAAATTGCCACTGTCAAGAGTTTCAAAGCTGATGTTTCAAGCATTAGCCCTTCTTCAGAGTGAATGCATTGGAAATGATATAAAGTAAACAATGTTCTCTTTAGATTGTCCAGGAAATTGACCAAGGAGATTATCAAATGTCAGTGGAACTGTTTTTCTCAGACTCAGACTATGGGTGAGAAATTTTTCAACTAGATAAATTCTTTTAACAAGTTTGCTTACTCACATATTGGCTTTGAGTGCATTTATTTAATAATATGGTAAGTTTCTTTACATTTTTTATCCTGCTGTTACATGGATGATTTATGACAGCTGTCTTTTCTTGATCAAGATCCTAGAAATTAGTTTTATCCTTTGCAGTTGTAGGGATTTCAATCTAACTGTCCACATAACAGTACTGTATTAAAATTTTGTAGTATTTTTCTTTCTTCATCTAAACCTCAAATTTAAGGCTGCTGCAGTTATCCTCCAATTTGGAAAAAAGAAATTATTGAAGTATTTTGATTCTGTCGATAAAATAATTTTCCTAGTTTTAAATCTTCTACATATCACATCCTCACTCCTTTGCCCTAGGTTTACCCTTCAGTAATTTGTCTATATCTTTGGCAAAGCAGTTAATTGTGTCCCTCCATGAATAACTTAAAGAGAGAGAGATGAAGAAGCTGGATGCTTTAATTTTAAGAGGACACGTTTCTTTTTTTTCTTTGTCTTCTCCAACCAAGGCTTAATTCTGGGACAATGTCAGTATCTGAGAAACTGCGCACCTACCCCTTCCTTAGCCCAACTCTTACCCTAACTTATTATCAATTGACTGTCACTGGGTTAGGGGAGGGGTAGGTAGGTGCTCAGTTGCTCAGATACTGATTTTGATCCCTAATTCTCATCATCCTTGTTTTCTCATCAAACAGAGTTGACTCAGTTGAATCTCTTACAAATGTAAGCACCCAAACATTAAAACTGCACATGTCCTGTGTGAAAGGTCTGCATCACCATGTGCCTATCTTGTTTGATTATTATCACTTTGCTGTCATCGACACAACAATTCATGCCACAGTAACAGCACTTGGTCTTCCTGATCACAGGTAATTGCATAAAATTTTCTCTTCATGCATGCATGGTCTATCACTTTATTCTCGATTAATGGGCATTTATTTATTCAGAAGGCTTGCAAAATTTAGCTGCACACAGCTGAACAACAATCTACTTGACAGAAGAATAACATTGCATTTTTTGTGTATACTGTTTATTCCTAATGGCACCTGTTAACTTGTGGCAGTGATGAAAGGTGTTTTGTTTGTCTCACTTTTTCTCTCTGCTTTTTACTCTCAGCATTGTTAGACCTGTGAAAAACAACTGGCTTGGCAAACCACCTTCAAATATGAGAGTATCAACACCAGCTTTCTATGTTGTACTCTTCAGTAACAAGGCTTTAGCACCTCAGGTTAGGAATGGTCTCATTCTTTATCAGCGTTTGATCAATTGAATTCTTGAAAACAGACTGCAGCAATCACTGTACATCACTTTTACTGGCTACAGATCTATGGTCTGTACCATTTCATTTAAAATATTAATAAAACTAAAGGCTTTCCAACCACCAAATGAAGAAGTATGCTCCTCTAATGCACTGTTCAAGTCTCAAAAAGTGTACATGCTCAGGCTCCCTTCTTTGTCTCCTATCCAACCATTGTGTGACCCAACCAAAGAATGATGGAAAGGTGACTATTGGTAGCCAGCAATACGATAATCTTATCTAGAATTTTTTCTGTCATTGTTAGGATTCTAACAAACATGTATACCATCTTTCCAGAGTTCTAAAACATCACTTGTGGAGAAGCAGCTGCAGTTTGCTTATGACACACACAGGTTTGACAATCCCATTTACTTTTATTAGTCGTTTTCTTTACATATGAAGTAAAAGAGCACATTCTTAACTGCCATAGATTACTTCCGAGTGTGGAGGAGGAGAAATTTCATGGACAAGAAGGGGAAATAGCACTGAATAGAGCAGGAAGAGAAATCAGTGGCTAAAACTGACATAGCTATTGTTTCATGGATCATTTCTCTATGCAAACGAATAGGCAGATAACAAGTATTCAGGTTGAATGTAGTTTTGAGAATATCATGGATGTGTTTTACTGTTCTAATGAGTTACTTTATGTTTTTTTTTAATGTTAATCTAGGTCATTGTGCAGCACTTTGTTATCTGCCCAAGTGAATCTTTTAGCTTATTTCCAATGCTTGAGTGAGCTGCTTCCAGATAATCAAAGAATGGATATTGGTAAGGTTTTGATTTTATCAGTACTATCTTTTGCTACTACTTGATTTCTGCCAAAAGAGTTATTTGAAGTTTGATGCATATTTAGATGGCCATTGTAATTGACTCAAAAAAGTGAAACAATCAGGCCAGCTCTTTCAGTCATCTTTTCATTTTTTGAATCCTAACAGTTATAAGCATCTAATTTCTCCTTATAATGTCATCCCTGAATCACACATTAAGGTCTTGAGAGTGTAGGAAATGATCACCAACTAAAGAGGCTCTTTGCTGTCAAATGAATTATCCTTGACAGCACCCTAGGAGCTGTTAGGATTTAAAAGATTAAGACTTAAAGTACTTCTATTCTTCAGGAATTGTCGACTTTGGTGAAAAGCTTGATGTGCTTTGTGCGGCAGTAGAGGTGTGTAGTCATATTTTATATCTGGTTTTGTGTGAAAGTAGTTACATCTGTTACATGTGAAATCTTTGGATAGTTTGATGCTTTCTCTATGGGAAAATTGAAGGTGTATTCAAGCATGACTACTACCAACAACAGTCCTTCTCAGGACTACACTCACCTGGACAATCAGATTACACTATCACATGTTACCCCTAGGTTCAAACCATTTCCTGTATTAATCAGGTGTATTGAAATTGCTGATCAATATCAGTATCTGGGCAACTGCCCACCTACCCCTCCCCTAACCCAACATTAACCTTAACTTGTTGTCAATTGACTGTTGTTGAGTTAGGGGAGGGGTAGGTGGGCAGTTGCCCAGATACTGATATTGATCCGAAATTTCAGTGTTTCTAAAAAATGAATTAAAATGCTGTGATCTTCATTTTTTTAGGGAACAGTTGGGTGTGAGGAAACATTTTCTCAAGTTTGTAGTGACCTCAATAACCTTAGCTCTGAAGTAAGTCAAGCTTTGTTATTCTGGGTATTTTAAGATCCAATTAAATATCATTTCCTGGTAACAAATCACCTCTCCACAAGAGGAGTGAACCATTTGTGAATCAACAGTTTGTAGCACTCTGGACTTTTTAACATACAGTCAACTATCTCTGTATTATATTCTCACCAGTAATGTGTAATGAAATTCAATCACAGGACTGTTTTAGGAGAGGAAGTTTTGTAGATTTTTACCTGTGTGCATTTTATGTGAAATTGTCCTAATACATGATCAAAACCTTTCATGACAATTATTTGTCAGTCAAAGGGTCAGCTGTTTCCTTCCAGCTTGATCCTTGGACAAGTTTACTTCCCTTGCCACACTCGGGGCTTACCAGTGTTTACTTTGAAATCTAGAAGTTATAGCCTTTTTTTAAATTTTTTTACAGCTTTCCTTAGTATGGTCACAGTTTCTTGAGTTCTTCAGCCTCAACAAAGCTATTTTACCATTCATGAGGAAAGAACACCATAAACATCGGGTAAGAATTTAATATGTGTCTATTGGGGGGGTAGGAGCAGTTTTGGAAAGGAGAGGAGACTGGAGATAAGAGGTAGGAAAAGGAAGGAAAGGAAGAAGTGGAGGTGAATCGGTGACGTGAGGAGGACACGTGACGGTAAAGAGACGATAAGATGAAGTGAACAGTGGGAGGAATCTGAATAGGGACTGGAGGAGGTGCCATGTTCTTCTCTGATATTTCGCTGCAATGAAATCTCTAATCAGAGGCAAACTTTCTTGGGATCCTAAATGAAATAAAATTCATACCTAATTTTATGGCGATATTTTAAATCCCGTGGTGATGTATTTTCAATGCACTTGTTTTTGTAGCTCTCTCACTTTTCTGAAGCATTTTTCATCAAGGAGTATCCATGGAATGAACTTCAAAATACACCACATTTCTTGTAAGTAGTTCATCTTTGTGGCACTCTTCAGCCTCTAACTTAGCTAACGCAGTGAGCTTTATATCTCTCATTGCCATTTATTTATATTGGATATTTCGGTCCCGTAAAATTCCGAGTTTCCAAGGGAGCCCTGGATCCGAGTAGACACACGATTGCCCCTGTTTCTAGTTGAGAAATTTAGCCCAGTAAGACTTGTACTGGTTTTTGTGTCGTTACGAGATTGGGAGTTGAAATCAGTGACATGTTTAGGGGCAACAGTTGGCTTTACACATTGTCATCAATTCCCCTCAGGTATCAACAGCAGCAAAGCTTGGCTCAGAGTGTGAAGACTTCTCGTTATTACCAGAGTATTCCTCCAGTGCAAGTCGAGTGTCCCCTGTTAGATGGAGATGTCTCTTCTACTCCAATTATATTCGAAGATAAGTTTAGTTTTTCGGAGCCCAGAGAACCAGGTATCTGCGCCTCGCTTCTAATGTAGACAATCATTAGTTCACTTCTTGGAGGTTGAAGAATCTACGTCAGAATATTTAAGGGATAATTTTTTTAAGAACCTTATACCTTGACACAAAAGACACCGAAGACTGCAATTGGGGCAAGTTTCAATTTAGTGTCTAAAGTCATTCAGGATTGCATAGTGTTTCTTTTACTTTGCTTTGTGATTGATCCAGAAAACTCGCGCCACCTCAACCAATCAGGTAAAAAAGAACGACCAACCGTCAAGGCACTCACGTGCATTTGCTGGTTTTTACTCTGAATTCTCATTGGTTCGTTGTGATATTTTCCTTTGCTGTGATTAGCCGTTCTGTTAACTTTTTTTTTGGTTTCACGTCACTCAAACGAGAAGCGCTCTTTTGCAATAACAATTTTAAGAGCTGACGTCATAACATAACATGCCTAAATCTCTTCATGTATATTTTTTCAGATTTTCCCAGAAACCCAGAGATGGAAGAAATATTTTTTACAGTTGGTTTGGATGAGACTGATAATATCACGGATGAAAGTTTTCTGGTAATCAATGGTCAAGGTAATGTTTCCAGAGCCTTTACGAGGTTTTTTTTTGTCTCCAGCCCGCTGAATATAACTCATTTTGTTTTGAAAGATGTGTCTGTCTGTCTTTCAATTTCTTGTTATTAGTTATTCGACTTTCGGTTCTTTCATATATCAGAGATCCTTCTAGTGAGGAACGATACAAGCCTTCCAATAGTGCCTGAAAGTAACAAAAGTTTTAATTTGTTTAGATTCTGATGAAGCCGAAAAGAACGGCGCAGCGTCGAAAACAGTTTCAGAAGAGAGTGTGCACCAACCAGAGATACAGCAGGGCGATCCTAGCAGTGCAACAGAGAAGGCACTTGACAAAGAAACGGATTTAACTGAAGGCATAGGCGAAGTAGAAAGCACCGCTGCTCTTGATGATATAGACATTGCTTTAAATGGCGAGATTGACGATACACCTAACGGAAATTCTAATTTAGCCGAAGATTTGTCGTCGTTTTTAAGTAATTCGGAAAGCACTCAACCGCTCATAGCCGAAGATAGTAACATTTCTGATAATGAAACGCATTCTGATGATAAAGATGTTGAAGTTGAAAGAACTTGTGATGTAAAATCTTCTGAAGGTGATGAGGAACAAAAGGAATTGGCCTCTGATAATGAAGAGTCCGAATTTTTAGACGCTGCAGCAATAAATGGCATTGAAATGTCACCTAGTGCGACAATTGACGTTGAGAATTCTGATCCGTTAGATGACATCGATAGTCCTTCGGAAAACGCACCGGAAAAACAAACCGAAAAGGAAAGCAAAGCGCACAGCGATGCCGAGTCAGCACTCGTTAGTAATGATACTGCCAAAGAATCTGTTGAAATCACAGACAGCTCGAACGAGGAAAATTCCGAAGATCCTGAGTTACAATTTATTGCTAATGGCTCCCAGGATGAGTTAGTCTCCTCGTCAACAACCGAAACTGCAGCAGACTCGAGTAATTACGAAACGCCGATGTCTTCCGAGGCGTCCACGAGTGCAACTTCGGGAAGCCAATCCAACGTCGTGACCGAACAACCGAACGTTAATGGGGTTTCGTCTCGTAACTCGGTGACTGTCACCGATAGCGCGCCAACCGCACCAACAAGGAAAAACAAAAAGAAAAGCGTCCCTAAAGGACTTTCTTCGAGCTCGTTGGGAGGTTGTTTTCCTTTGGCTTGCGCGGGAAACACATCGCCTGCATTTACTTTGTCACGAGGAGATTCTGTGTACGGAGGCAGCGTGAGGTCGAGGTCAGTTGAATATTCTTAAGTAACGGTAGGTTTACCCTTTACACCCAAACATCAGTATGCATATTCTCCATACTGTCCTTTTTACATTTTGAATGCTGTCGAGAAGGAGAATTTGAAACCAATCAAGAGCATCTTTAGTTGTTAATTATTTCCTTTATTCTCGCGACCCTTGTATGTGATTCTGGGGTGATATTCTAAGGAGAATTTAGATGTTAGTCATTCTGAGGGGTCAAAGAGTCAAGTCTGTGCCCATCCATCTGGAGCTTGTACTTCTCCCCTCGCCCCTCCTGGATGGTAGGCTAGTCTACCGCAAGGTTCCCCTCCCCCAGCATTTCATCAGGCTTCCGAGATAATTGCCGCTTCGAAGTCCAAGAAGCACATTAAACCCCGCCCCCAAAAAAAGAAAAAACATGGTTGACCGTCATTTTTTATGCACTCTTCTTGTTAGGTTTGAAATAGCGAAGAGATCAGTGAAACGCAGTCTAAACTACGCCTGTCAAGTATACAGGTGAGATGGCAACTTTTGAATTTTGATATGAAGTGCCCTGGCTAATACACTTGTTGTTAAATAGCTCTCGTCAAGTAGAAGTGAAGAAACAAAGACGTATATATTCGACTTTTTTTTTCCAAAAACAACTTGCCATTCCAAGTGATCCGCTATGCAACCAAGCTTGCTAAGAACCTGCCTTACTCCAAAGCACTTTTTATCTCGTCTCTGAAGGGATATGAAAAGCTTGGGAGCCAGTTAGAGAATGGAGACTCCAATTTAATTATTTAAAACAGAAATCAACATATTCATTCATCCACGAAAGATGTTTTGGTTACCAACTGAATTGGTAATGTGAATTAACCACCCTAATCAGTTGCTAAAGCTGAAGGTTCCAGCCTCAGTCCTTTGTCATTCGCTTTTATACTCTCCCCTCTGCCCCCCTCCTCCGTACCCCCTCCACGGTACCCCTTCCCCCGTACCCCCTCCTCCGTACCCCCTCCACCGTATCCCCTCCCGTACCCCCTCCACCGACGCAGTAGAACAGTTTCTTTGGCAACTTACCCCTTTTATTTATAATTTCTTTCAGTTTGTTTATCTCTACAAAACTAAAAGCATTTATTTGTTTTTTCAGTGACCGCCAATTGGTAGGAATTCGTGAGCCATATTTTAGCGCTGAGGCGCCTGAAGGCATTGAGACGCATTTGATCGTTTGTGTACATGGATTGGACGGTAAGCTGCTCAGTCCCAAAAGTGATTAACATGTAACTTCTCCCCATTATATCAATTCAGTATCCAGCAAGCAGGTAGTGAGAATACTCAAACTTATCAGGTAGGAGTTGTTATCTTGATCTCACACCAAATTCTCGTAACTGATTTGCAAGGAAATGCTTAGCAGCTAGTGGGGAGAATTAACAATCAGATCTTGAGAGTCAAAGGGTTGAGCACTTTGCAAACTTGAGCACTACCGTTTTTTCTGTGATCAACTTAAAGTTTTACTGACTGCACTTCAATTAACTATACAGGGATCTTCTGGTTAAAAGTGTAGAATTGGCGACTTAAATTCAGCATTCCTATCTTTGTTCGTTTAATACACAATTGATAAAAATGCATCTTTTTTCAGGTAACAGCGGGGATCTTCGCCTTGTACGTTGTTACTTGGAAATGGCCCTTCCTTCTACACGACTGGACTTTCTCATGTCGGAAATCAACCAGGTGAAAAGAAATGCCGCCTTCTATCATCTTAAATGACACGGCTAATGATCTACTGGAAAGTTTTGTCTCAAATTTTCCTTGACTAATTCATTTTGCTGTGTGCGCTGTCTTTTTAAGTTGTTTTAGAACCACGGCACCTATTATAAGGACTCATCTAAGCCCCTAACGAGGGAACCTCTTACTTGGTGCGGAACAAAAGCCATTTTTTGCGTTTTTCGCGAGAGGGAAGGCAAGTGCGAGGCGCACGAGGAGAGCGCGAGTAGAGCCACTCGCGAATAGAGGAACACGAAAAAAATTGTTTTGTTTCTGCGCTCCATCCTCGTCCCGCGGGCTAGGTTTGGTTTATGACTCCTAAATCCTAAGAATAGACAAAACTTGTACTTACGAACAATAATCTAACCTCGATGTAATCCCCTGTTCTCCGCTTCGCAGCCTGACACTTTTGTGACGTTTGAAGAAATGACTGAGAAGCTGGTTCAAGAAATAACGCATCATATTGAGGCCTATAATCTCTTCCCCACGAAAATCAGGTTTGTCGGTGACTAGTTGTTGTTTTGTTAGGGTGGTCATGCGATTTTCCTTGTCTTTGTGGCCATGGGGTAACTGAACATGACGTGACAACTCGTAATTATTTTTGTTGTAAAAGAACTTTGGAGCGTGGCCGCAGTGACTTGTGACAAGGTAAATGATGAGGCCATGATGTCTAAATCTGAGAAGGTTATTTTGATCGCAGGAATGGGAGTTGTATTATGCGCTTAAAACTGACCCAACTACATCGGCTACCAAACATACCTGCCGTTTGATTTTTTCCAAAATATTATTATGATACTTAGTATTATTGTGACACTTAAAACTTCAATGATGCAAAAGCTAGCTAGAACGTTTACCTCTGACTTAAAATCTGAATGACCCATTTCGCAGGGCGTCCAGTTTTCAAAATCTTGTTTTCGCCTACCCTTTTAATTGTTTGTTTTTAGTAATCGAATAAGTGTTTTAACGCTCTCTATTTTGTTCATGTCTCAACAGTTTTGTAGGTCATTCTTTAGGGAACATTATCATCCGGTCCGCTCTCGGCCACCCTGAATTGAGGCCCTTCCTGGACAAGATCCACACGTTTTTGTCCCTTTCGGGTCCTCATTTGGGAATGCTATACCCAACAAGTTCTCTTGTCAGCACTGGTAAGCCTGATTCAGTTTTGGTTCGCGTAGTTGCAGGAGTTTATATCGTTTTCTGTGACATTATGCATTTTTGTGCCCCTCTAGGTCTTTGTCTGTTTTTCTTTTGCTCGTACTTGCGAAAAGAGTGAAGTATATTACTCGTTGTCTTTTTGTTTTAGGCTTGTGGTTCATGCAAAAGTGGAAGAAGTCCGATTCGTTGTTACAGTTGTCATTACACGATCATGCTGACCCACGACAAACGTTTATTTATCGACTCAGTCAATCAGAAGGTAATAATTACCTGACGTAGTTGTCTTGTCCTTGTAATCGTCCCATGTCCTTTTCCCGTCGACCTTTGCCTTTCGACCTTTGCCTTTCGACCTTAGCACTTTTCCCGTTTTTCTGTCGATTTTTTTTTTTTTTTTTTTTCCCAGAGTTCTGTGCGCCTTTTCCCTGTAAGCAAGGCCAGGTATACAAACAAGTGGCAGGAGTCTGACCTCAAAATTTGCGGACATTAATGCGTCGAAAATCGTCTTCTGTAAGATGCCATGGCCGCAACAAATTGCGTTAAGAGTTGTCTCGTGTAACGTGAATTAAGGGATGGTGTTAAAAATCGGCGTTAAAAATCGTCTCGTCGCCTAAACCCCTTCAGTTTTGAACTTAAAAGTTTAAAAAGTAACGAAACTGTTCAATTTTTTAAAACTCAAGGTTTCCCATCTTCTTTAGGCCTTCGGTACTTCAAAAATATTCTTCTGGTCAGCTCGGTACAAGACCATTATGTTCCATATCACTCGGCCAGGATAGAGGGTTGTCGAGCAGCCATGAGAGATAACTCGGATGTCGGTAAGTATTGGGCGGAGAATTGTTCGTTGTATTTTAGACCACCTTTGCTAATGTGGTTGTTGGTACTGCTTGATTTTGTGCAGGCGTTGCGCTACAAGGCCCCAGTGCAATGTACTTTGCATACGGCATTTTGCAGAGAGTTGTTCTAAACAGATATTCTTACTGATACAGTGGCCATTTTGAAGAGTGGGAAATTTCATTTTCAACGCTGTTTTTTGTAACCAATCAGATCCCAAAACAAGACTTGAGGATGGCTCGGTTCCAAACGTTTTTCCGCGCTTTCTTGGACGTGCGTTGTGATGGGTTTAAGAAAACTTGCGTCTTCTCAGTAACCAATCAGATGGAGACCCAAAACCAAGCTCGTTCTGATCACGTGTTTCCCCGAGTTTGGAATTGATTACGTGTTTTTTTTTAAAGTTGGTTTTGGTTCATCATGATTCCCTCCGTTTTTTCAAATAATCAATTCATCTTGATAGCGGCTTGTAATGCAACCCAATTGCCTTTATTTATTTATTTATTTATTTGTTTATGTATTAATTTCCAGCTGTGGCCTACAGAGAGATGATAGACAATCTTCTGAAACCACTGGAAGAAAGAAAAGACATGAACCTTATCCGTTACAGTGTTTATCACAATCTTCCAAGTTCAGCGAATTCGTTTATTGGCCGAGCTGCTCACATAGCGATGCTCGATTCTGAACTTTTTATCGAGAAGTTGCTGTTAGTTTCTGCGCTAGATTACTTTAGATAGGTAAACGTTTGAATAGTGCTAGAAATGCAGTCTCGCGCAAGTAATCCTGACCTGAGAAAATCTTATGAAGTCTTTTTTTATGACAACTAGTGATGTAAGCCTTGTGAGCCAAAGTTGTGAGACGTTCGTGTTATGCCGAAAACTTTCGGTACATTTTCGGCAACCTTTCGAAACGCGCACGAAAAGTTTACGACGGTAATCACTGAACCCGAAAGAATGATAAGAAATTCACGAAGTTGCCATCGGCAACAGCAATTGTACTTGCGCTCAACTTGTTTTACGGTACCATGGGAATTGGTGTTGCCTTGAGGAGAGGAAAAAACGAAATTGATGGCAAAATATTTAGACGAGAATGGTTAGGTAATTCTGACATTTAAGTCTTTTTGGATGCATTTAAGGTGTTTTGATGCTAGATAAATTGAATTATGATATAGTATAGGTTCAATTTAATTTTGATTAATGTGTATCGGTAGTAATAGCGTATCTACTCGTATTAGAATTTTGTATGGCTATCAGCGAGAGAATTCAGGAAAATCCTTTGTACCTTTTGTTTGAGTTCCAAGTTTCTGATTATGTGGTCTTCGGTCTTCTCTAGAGAGAGATCTATTCGAAAGTAATTATTGAAAATTGGCATTTTCTTCCCATCTTTTGAGCACATGAATCTAGCTTTTTTTTTCCATTAGAAATCTCTTCCTTGGTGTTTTCCTCTCTGCACGCTCGTGCATGTTTCCCTTCCGTTATTTACTGATTTGTTTATTTGTTTTTTCTTCCTCTTTCTGATGAGGTGATTTTAGCAATCAGAAAGCACTTAAAATGGGATTTGTATGGTTTAATCGGGTTAGGGTACTTTTTGAAGTGAATTTTTGTATTTTGCTCCTTAGTAAACACTCTATTTCATAAAGCATACCATGAAAGGAACTCAAATATCGTAATAATTTCGTTTTGGAACAAGTTCGATGAAAGCGTTATTTGACAAGGCTGCTACGGCCCGTAAATAATTTTAGTTAAGACACATCATCTACAACGGAATGAAAGACTCGCTTTTTAACTCTCGGTTGCAATATTTATTAATAAATAGACAACGGACGACGCAAAATAATATAGAGTTGTCAACAAGGAATTGTAATAGATTGTATCTTTTTATTATCGATTATTTCATAAATGAATAGAACTGGTGGGTTTGCTGTAATGTGAATACCTATTACTTCATTTTGGAAAATAAAATATTCGAGGTAAATATTTCAGATTCGCTGCTCTGTGTTTTAGATGATTCCCCCACTCTCCTTCATATGATAACGGGTATACAACTATATTTTGATATATTAATTAGTTTCTGTGATATTAGAAAATGCGCAAAACATCTTTCCTCACGATAACTGTCGATAGCTGGACGAGGACTCGGGAGATGATGACGTCACTCTTAATACGCGGTAGCGAATGTTGCAATTCTCCTAGGTCTATTTAGGATTAATCTTTCTTTGATGGCATTGGGATACAAGAGTTCAAATTGCTCGAATACTGCTAGGATATTGTCCCCGGATATTCCCTAGATTTAGTAAAGCCAATGGCACACGAGCAGAAAGATGTGATAGATCCAACTTTCAGTGGAGGTGAGGGCATATTCAGTTGCCTTATGCGTGCATGCGAAGATTTGTTGCGAATTATCCCTCGCCTTTTATACTGAAAAAAAAAACGTTTTAATTTTGATAATCCTGTTGCTAAACATTGTGATTTCACGTCATCGATGAAGTCTCTTGGTAAGTCATTTGCTCATTTGAGAGATTGCCGTTCTCCTTTTGTGTAGGCCACAAACGCTTTCTATTTTTTTTTTTTTTACGTTCACTATTTTCATCAAAATACCTCTAGGACTTGTCTTAATCTCTCCAAATTCGTGGTGCTACGCTTGCGCATGCAGTTAAGATCTTCACGTCACGAGAATATCAAATGAAGTTTCTGGCCGTCGACACCTCGGTAGTAAATTCGTATGGCTAACTTTACACATATAAGTTTGTTTGTTTGTTTGTTTGTTTGTTGATTGCTTGTTTTTCCTTCCTCAAGTTTCTTCTGTTTTCCCTTAGGTTTTTTTTTAAATAAGCAAGTCAGTTAACAAGCAAGTAATATTTAAATACTTAGCTAAGATAAATTGAACAGTCTGGGTAGAAGCCATTAAGTCATCATGTTCTATTTCCATGCAGTGGACGTTTTTAATTCTTGCCGCTCGTTAATTAATAAGATCACCAGCAGCGAAAAAGGTCGGAATAGTACAATTTGGCAGATGGCGTGACAGCTTTAGTACGTTCTTTCAACCAATGACAGCACGCTTTATATCCGAACTTTATCATAAATTTTCGAAAAACAGTATCCGTTTCAGTCCCACTCGCTAAACTTGATTTACACAGAGCAGACCGAATTTCCTCAATTATTTTATGGTAACCATTGCTGTAGTGAAGCTGTTTTACTTTTGACAAGTTTTTTCATACAAAGATTTGTATTTTGACCGCGTAGTCTGATCGTACAGGTGAAGGACTGTTGTCGATAATGGTGAGTGACGTTTCAACCACCTTGGCGCCGGAAGTCATTACCAAAGTCGAGCAGATTCATTATTCCCAATATAATATCCATGCTTACTCCTCGAATTAGCTATTTCTACCGAAACTAATGTTCTAGTAACAATGTTTTGGTCTTTAAGATATGTAATTTTTCCGAATGCCTAAAATGTCGGAAATATATCACTAAGGTACAAAATATTCTCGCAGGGGTGGTACTGAGAAGAAACTGCTGAACTAGCACGTGATTCATAGAGGCCAATCAAATTAGCAGAAAAGAGGCGGTCGAACTAAGTCGTGTGTCGCATGTGGTGTGGGAAATCCGTGATATAGTTTTATTACATTACAACAAAGTTTTTCGTGTGTTTTGTACTATTTTCAAGTATATATAGGGAGGAAAGCATCTGTGACAATGGGAGACCAGCGTGGCGCTGGTAACTCTCGCTCGTACAAGATCCGAGGGTATACGAGAGAGAGACATTCAGCGAAACCGTATGCTCGTCCGTATGAACGTAAGAAGGTGCGTGAGTGACACAACGTTCAGTGCTGATTTTTTAGATTTCCTCCTCTTTAAAACTGATCGTTTCTATTTATTAGGAACGTACTTTAAGTTTTATGCCCGTAGAGAGCACATACTGTTCCGTGGGAGAGTATTAAAAAGTTAAACATCGCTCTTTATGTATTGCATTGCAGGGAGTTCTAGAGACGGTGAAAGATTTCTTCTCTCCATCATGGCTTGTAGATTTATTTAAAGGAAACCAGAGATCAGAAACTATCGAAATAGAAGATGAAGACGATGAAGAAGAACACGACGAGGTTTCACGGGGAATTGACCAAACTTTCAATCCGGGTTTTAACGAGCGAGCGTCGTCTTCGCGACCCCAAGAAACTTTAACAGCCGGTAAGATAGGCAATGGGCAGTTAAAATCCTCGTTCGGGCCGGGATATTTCTCATCTATTTTACGAAAGCCTGAGCTTTCTGTCGAAACACCTTCTACCTCGAGACCTGCAAGAACGTTTGGTTTATTCACTGGGGATGATCGTATAGGTGAACCTTCGATTAGTTCGGGAAGAACGGAGGAATGCGATAACGAACTTGAAGTTCCAAGTTCAAGTAACGAGAAAGTTGTAAGGCCGTCAAAAACGGGCGAGGTAAGTTAACCTTAAATGTTGCACTCGCTCTTTGATAAACTAAGGTAAATGACAAGTATTTTGAATGAGTTACCAATTTATCTTTCGACAGGTTTTGCATGATTTCCCGTAAACTTGCCATAAAAATTTCCATGGCAAAGCTTAGGACAAGCTTAATACAGAATTAACTAAACGAGAGTGGTTTTATGATCATTTAGTTAATTACGAGACACTTCTTTCCTCGTTGCCCTGTAGGCTTCATTAGTGAGCGTACTACTTCCGAATGATATGGTTGTTTATGCTCACACATTCTTAATTCGATTGATTGCAAACTCAATTTCGAAATGTTGCATTTAACACTTCCACTCCAATAATCATATACATGTTCTTTTTGTTGGAGTATTTACCTTTCTTACAGTGTAACCTTGCTTTGTCCAACACTCTCTGTTAATTCAATGTTTGTGTTGTGAAATTAAACAAGTAAGATGTAAAGGTATGCATGTCAGAATAGTTTTTAAACAAAACTACTGGAAACCATCTCCTCTGATACATCTTACAATATGGCTATTATACAGAGATCAACTGCTGGAAATGTCAGTTTTCTACAACTTTACTCAATGATTGAAATACTGATCAATCAAGTTGATATGTCTGTGTTTAGCACAATGTAAGGATTTGCTCACTGGAAAACTGTATACTGTATCAATTAATTGAATGACGGAGAAAGTAAATTTGATTGTAGTTTAGTTTTAAATAGCAGTTGTTGTGCTCATAAAGAGAAATTTTCACGCAAGGCTAAAAAAGAAAGTTGAATCGCAGATGCTTATCATAGAGGATATTTGTGCATATTACTGAACTCAATTAAAATCAATTAATTGATTCTAGTCTTATTGAGTTATATGACCAAGCAGCTAAATTTGATTTTACTTGAAACACAGTTCCAAGAGTCTGGGGACTTATTTTTGTTAATAAGAGAAGGGTTTATTCTTGAGCTTGGCCTTGCAGGATCTCTGCAGTTTCAAAAGGAAAAAAAATAAAAAGGATGATACAATTTAGGTCTAAGTGTCAAATGGAGAGAAAAAAATGTGCCTATAACCATATCCTAAAGTAGTAATTTATTTTTGAAGTGAATTATTTGAACACTTAACTGAAAGCAAGATGGAGGATATGATAGCTGTTGTATAAAACCAAATTTAAACCTAATACTGTTTTTCCTGTCTCAATGGCCTCTCTCTTCTTTTGTTTTCTCACTGATAGGACAAAAACTATGTTCAAATATTTTCTTTGCCTTTAATTTCTAGGTGAAGGGCCCCCCATAATTATAGAAGCAGGAATAAACCCTGATAAAAGCCTGCCATACAACATGACCGTGTTAGTTTTGAACAACTACCTACCTTCCTTTGATGGGTCTGTTCATTCTATAGACTTTCAGGAGTACATAACTCCTTGTTTTAATTTTGATACACTACCCCTTTGTTAGGTGATAAAGTAATTAAAATTTTAACTAAGGGATATTGTCTTGGTAGTGAAAGAGTGAGATCAATATACTGAAGTTCTGTTCTAACAATGATCTTTTGACTTCAGTTCCGCTTTTAGAGTGATCAGTTTCTTTCCCTTGTCTTCAGGGTTCCAAGCCAATCATTTTTTAATAATTTGCTATTTGGCAACTTAACATTGTAAAATTATCTCCAGAGATAAAGTTCTGACTCAAAACCCCCTAGAAAAACTACAAAAGACACTTTGAGCAGCTTACATGAAGCACTAAGTTGCTGACCTTGGTGCCTGTGTTTCCATCAAGCATTATGGTGGACATTGGTTTTTGAAGGTTCATGTATCGTATCAGGAATAATATGTGGGCACACCAGGAAGAGAAATTTTTACAGAAGAAAAATGATAAAGCCTGTGTGGTAAATTATGAAACTGCATTGCTCACTTGGATTTCACACCATAAAGATGAAGATGTCAAATTGTTACAAATTATTGCTTGACTGCTGGACACAGGTTGCCAAATTGGTCGCTTACATAGCCAATTTACCTGCCAAAATCTTTTGTTACTATGGTGACCATAATGGTTGCAGCTTAGAGTGCTGTCATTATTTTTTTAAAACAAACTTGTCAATGGAAATCTAAAGGGTTTACTTGATTTGGTTGCACAATGTTTTAAAACCTGGCTTATTGTTCCCAGGGAAATTTATTTAAATGGAGAACAACATATCTGATTGTGCCTGGTAAATTTTAAAATATCATGCTTGGTGGCTTATCAATATTCTCTGCAGTATCAAGTCTGAAGTTCTGTTGTGAGTTCCATGAAGTCTACACACAAACCTTTTTTTTTGCAGTTACCAATGCCATAAACTACAATTTTACATGATAAAACATCTTACTGCATCAAGTTACATGTTATTTAAGCCAGTTTTTATAGTTTCACCCATGTTTGATCATTACCTTTGTGCCCTTCCTAAATCCAAAACAGTGTTTTCTGCAGAGCTAAATTATATTTATCCCCACAGGAAGAAGATATCACCATTATTCATCCAGAAGCACAGGAGATGAGCAAATCAGACTCAATTAAAACATCCACGCCTGCCTTGTTTTCAACTCCTGGTCTCAAGAAAAGGCCAAACACAACAATATTTGGTGAACCTTTGCCAGAAGCTTCAACATCCCAGGGATCAAATCCTTCCAGGCCACAGTTGTTTCCTTCATTGTCTGAGTCCCGTCCACAGCCTTTCTCATTATCCAAAAACAGACCAACCTTCTCTCTGTCTGCCTTTGGTTCTCCTTTGCCAGTAAGTAGTGTTCCTTTGATGGAATGTGTATGGTAGCATTTGCTGGTGTGAGCTCAGATAGTTTAAATTGCAGCCAGAAAAACTGCTGACTTGAGAAACAATACCCTTCTTACTAGCAGAGAAATAATCCTGACAAGCGAACAACAATTCAAGAAATTGAAAAAAATGATAAGCCTGCTAAAAGCCAGGCTTTGGTGGAATTCCAGCAACTTCATTAACTGCAGCGCTGTTGAGGGCATAAACTTTTTACCTTTATTTTCTCCAAAACCCAAAATATTTCTTGTTTTGTTTGTGTATATTTCCATGTTTATAGCCAGTCTGTGTGCTGAATACTTCCTTGATTTATGGAAACTGGAAATGCCATTAATTTGAGAACTGTGGGTAGAAGGGGAGAGGCTTTTTGTGGTTGTTGCAGTGCCATGAAATGAGGCACTAGAAACAGAGCGGTTGCAAATTGTATAGACTGCCTTAAATCCCATAACAAGCCATTATCTTTTTTAATGTAGCTTATTTGTGATAACAAAGACCATGTTTATATTTGACTTGAGCTTTGTTTATATGTTGATTTTTAGTATTTCTTTTGGTTAACCCTTTAACTCCCTTGGGTGACCAAGACAGAATTTCTCCTTACAATATCAATACAATATCAAGCAGACAAGTGATGAGAATAGAGAAAAATATCAATTAGGGGATTATAAGTTGATCCAATACCAAATTCTCAAAACTAACATCACAAGAACTGTATGGCAGACAGTAAGGAGAATAACTACGGAGATCTTGGGAGTAAAAGGGTTGATTGTACACTGCAATTGGATTATGGATTTTGAAGATACATGTTTTATAAGATATTTGATTATTGTTGATGTTGTGTTGTAAAGTTGGATTAGCTTTCACGGCATTGCAGGGATGAGATGCATAAAAAGCCTGTAGTGTGCTGTGTTCTTTATTTTCTGTCTGTGAATGGTATACTTATCAGATGGCTCCTCATAGAAAACAAATACAAGGTCTTACAAGATCTGTCTTCTCCTTCCAGCCCAAGCCATCAGAAGCTGGCGGTTTTTCCTCTCCATTTTATTGTGGAAGAACATCTTTTGGGGGAGCTTCCTCTCTGCAGTCTTCAGGTTATAAAAGACAGAGGATGAATTCCCCAACTTTTGGAGAGGTATTGTGACTATATTAATCTCCAGACACTTGATGTTGCAGTTTTGTCAGCTAAATATGTAAAGGCATCTAAACACAGTCATGCTTGTAAGTCTTGTTTATATTTTAGCTGCAAACCAAAACCTTACTTTGGTGTACTTTCTGTTAGGCTCCAAAACCAGTAAGGAAAGTGATAACACCCAAGCCTGTTTCAAGTAAGTTTGATTTGTACTCAGAAGTTATCTTAACTTTTTTTGTAGAGTTAGAGGTGGAAAACATTCATGAGAACCTACATTTAATTGGTGTCCTTTTTTTTTGGTCTCATTTTATAGCATCTGGAAGAAGTGGTGTTACTAGTCAGACAGCAAAGAGAATACTTGACGCTTTAGAAAATATGTCCTCACCCTTAATTGTGAGTATTGTCAATAATACTCCAGTGGTACTGCAATAACTTGATCAGAGGTCTGGCCATTTATTGTGACTTTACCCTTAACCCTTAAGATCTGATGGGTAATTCTCCCCTCTGGCTGCTGCTCATTTCCTGGTGAATATGTTATGAAAATTTGATGTTAGAGCAAGAGAACAACTTCCACCTGATAAGTTTGAGTATTCTCATAACCTGTATGCTAGATAATGTATGGATATTAAAGGGAGAAGTTACTTGCTAATCACCTCTTGTATTACAGGATGCCAGAAGAATACCAACACCTCCCGTTTCTGCTTCAGCTTCACCCCTCTCTTTTTCAGTGAGTATGACAAAGCGAATGAGCTGTTTGTTTGTGCAATATTATTCTGCAGTTGATCTGACACTTACAACAACTTTTTATTTTTATAGCCTGCAAAAAGGAGAAGAGCTCCAATTCCTTCTCGAGCTGTAGGTTCTCCACGTTCTCTGAAGGTAAGTTCAAGTTATTCCTTTTTTTACTATCTTACTAAAATGCCAGACTCTAACTTCAATTTTGGTAAGTGACCACTCTGTCTGTCATCAAAACTATGGATCTACAACTAGTGCAATTGCTCTTGGAGGTTCATGAGACTCAGAGTCCTAAAAATTGAGGTGAAAGAAGCAAATTGTAAAAAGATAATAGATACAGTGGAACCCCACTAACTTGAACTCAGTTAACTCAAACCCCGCATTAACTTGAACAAGATCTGATTTCCCTTGACAATTTTTTTCTGTCATTTCTTATCAGCTAAGCCCTGTCAACTTTTTGTTTCCCTTGGGAGATTGAGTTAGCAAGGTTCTACTGTAGCTCATTTTCAAATCAATATGGCCACCAAAAAAAAATGAAAGCTTTCAACTCTGAAATGATATATTTATGTCCTTTGTCACAAACATTTGTCTCAAAAGCATCTCTTGAATAATTATCTTACAGGCCCATTTTCCTGGTCCTCCAGTGCAAGATCTCTCTGCACCTCAACAAGTATCAATTTCTCGCTTGAGGGCAAAAGAAACCTCAACCCCAGCAAGCACAGCAACTTCATCAGATTCACAGTGAGTACTTGTACAACAGTTAGTAATCAAGTTGAAGAGGGAGTTTCCAGTGTCATGTGGCCTTGACAGTACATTTTCCTCTTGCAGATTTTCCACAGCATCAACCACTATCCCAACATTTTCCAAGGTAAGGGATGCTCATATAGTATCAGTTTTGCTTTGTTCTTGACCCCAAATTTCTCCTTACAATATCACCCTTCAATCATTAAGGCCAGGAGAATAGGGGAAATAATCACCAACTAAAGTAGCTCTTGATTGTTAAACAAATTCTCCCTGTCAACAACTTGGGAAACGTATAGAGAACAGTATGGAGAATATGCATACTGATGTTAGGGTATAAAGGGTTAATGATAAGAGGATGTATGTTGTCTAATTTTCTTTCCTTAAAACCTAAATAATAGCAAATGCTGTTAACTTGTAATGATCAGATAATTAGTAAATCAATAAGCAACAGTTTTTAATTTTCCTTGTTTTAGTTTGAGTGTCACTTCTACATCACAGTTAATAGTGCAAAGTAGTTTTATCTACTTCTTAAAGTTATTTATTTATTTGATTTATGCCTTTCAGCCATCATTGGTGTCCTCCTTCACTCCAACACCTTTACCAATTTCTCTATCGCCATCATCCTCCAAGGGCGGGGGCAAAGTGAAGAGTGCAAGAAGTACAAGTCATTACACGCAAAGAGATAGAGGTGACGAGGAGAGGAGTGAAAACCAAGTAATGTATTCTTTAACACCATAAACATTTTATTTGTGGTTGTAGGATTTAAATCCAGAAGCTTTTTTGTATTGTTCAGATGCACAAGGACTGGGTGTGGTGTTTATTTTATGGAAGTGACGATTTTTTTAAATTTTGCTTCCATCTGCAGCTTGAAAATTGTTTGAATATAGTATCTTCTGGTGTCTTCTGACCTGTCTGCATCATTGTGTTAGAATATTGAAGGATACTGAGTGTATTCAATGAGCAACTGTTTTTCTTTCTTATAAATAGCTGATCACTGTATCCTCCTTTGTTTTGCAGGTTGTGAATCCAATACCCGAGGTTGAGAATCCTGTCCCACTGAAGTTACCTAATGGAAAATCCTTGCCATCCTTTTCTTTCAAGTCGATTCCTCCAACTGCAACAGAACCTGCAGCTACGGTACTAGTTCTTTAAGTGCTAGTTTGTGTAACTTAATTCTTAAATTTATCTGACATTTAAAGATGGTAATCGTTGCCTTCTTTTTCAGAGCACCCCAATAGCTTCTAATGCATCAACTCTGGACTTTGCTAAAAATAACTTCAAGTTTTCATCCCCTGAAGCAAAATTGCCCATGTTTTCCAAAACATCAACAGCAGAAAATCAGAGCAGTTCTAACAAAGTGAGTAAGAATGAGACTTGTTGCTTCAGTGGCAATTAGAAAACATTTTGATGGGTAGAAATGTTAATAGCAGAGCTCACAGAGCATAGCCCCATAATTATACAAAATAGTAGTAACCCATCAAGCTGAAAAAATTTGGATGTACGACCGTACGATCGTACAAGGTGTTACTTTTGATATGTGTGGTCAACTGTACCACAGGCATGCCAACACCGGTGGTCAGTGCACTGGGCTCCGAGTCAGACAACCCGAATTCTAGTCCTGGCTGAGACAAGTTGTGTGGGGAAAAAAAAATTAAAGCTCCGCTTTTAGGCTTGGCTAAATGTATGTATTATTTTGATTTCATCAGCAAAGAAGAATGAGAAGGTATTGAACAAATCGAAATTTCCCAATTTTTTTTTGTTTCTTTTAGATTACATTTTCCTTTAGTGAGCCTGTTCCTGTTAGTAAAAGGTAAGCTTTAAGAGTTAAAACATACAGTCATTGTTCTATCCTCAATAGATTTCACAATTCTCATCACTTGCCTGCTTGATGTTGTTTCAAAATTGTAAGGAGAAATTCATTCTTGGTTGCTCATGGGAGTTAAAGGGTTAAGCCATCACCCCTGGGGAATGGTGGAGTGATCACTTAATATTGGTTCTGTGGTGAAAAAGACAATTTTATGCTATAATTGATCATGCAGTGTACAAAAACTTGCTGAAAAGTACCACTAGCATTGATTTCTGGGGGATAAACTTAGATCAAATATACTGGAAAGCTTGTTCTTAGTTTTGTTTGAGTGGTTCTTCTTTAAGTGACTGTTCGATACTGGTGGGAGACAATAGAAACAGGCTGTTGGGACTCAGTAAAGGGCAACCTTGACCTCTTAACCCTTTACACTCTAACATCAGTATGCATATTCTCCATACTGTTTTCTATACATTTCCAAAGAGGCTGAGAAGGAGAATTTGTTTAACAATTAAGAGCTGCTTTAGTTGGGGATCATCTTTTTTATTCTCGTGACTTTCATGTTTGATACAGGGGTGATATGCTAAGGAGAAATTAGATGCTGGTCAATCCCAGGGGCTAATGGGTTAATAGGGGTGGAAATTTTAGTATTTAAGGGGATGGAATTTCAGGACTTTGGCAACTGACCGTTTAATACTGGGTGATGGTTTTCTCGGGTGCTACTTAATACAGGTTTGACTGTATCTGTGATTGGCAGGATAATGTGTTTAAAATATAATTGTCACCTTGACATGAAAGCATCAGTAGCAGCACAAGAATGACAATGCTAATCGATGTGTGGTTTACAGACTTATATATTTTATTCAAAGAGTAAATAACATTCCTAATGCTGATTGTCCTGTTGCTTTGCAGTAATACAAACAATGAAAGTAAACTTGTCAAAGACAAACTGGAAATAAATAGACTTTCAGAGGTACTATATAAGTAGATGCTGTTAATTTTGTGACTAGAATTTTATATGTAATATGGTATAATTTAATTGAACCTAAGAAAGGTTGATGTAAACAGTTCCAACCACTTTTTCCCTCCAATTAGGTCATTTTAGCAAATTTATGACCATTTTCTGCACATCTCCACTTACCTAAGCACAATATTTCTTTTCCTCTCTTTAGCCAGTAAGTTTTTATCCTCTTAAAATTAGGAGGTACCTTTTGGGAGTGCTTAACAAGTATTTAAGCCTTTTGACAGCAATGCCTCAGAAGTGATTTGCTTGAATGCAACAGAGAAAGGTTACATGGCCTCCACTTTCCCAAAAGTAACTGTAACATAAGCTTGTTTATTGGGGAAACAAATTTGTTCAGACTTGTTTCTAAAATTTGAGCCATGAGAGGACGATAGGTTCTTTGGGAAATGGCTCCTGTTTACCCATTAAGGATTTAAGTGCATTGATAGTAATGTGCACCCAAGAATTTTAGGAAGTGAAAAATGTTTCCTGAGATTGATGGAATTTTTTACTCTTGTTTTCCACCAGGTTAAACAAACAGTGAAGCCTGTTGAACCCAATAATAATCTTCTTTGTAAATTCACACCCTTGTCTGGTTCCTGGACATGCGATACTTGTTTAGTGTCAAATAAAGCAACAGATATGAAGTGCATAGCTTGTCAAAGTTCTAAGCCATCAAATGGAGAGTCAGCTCCCAGGAAACCAGCCCCTTCCAGCAATGACTTGATGGCAAAGTTTGCCCCAAAACAAGGGTCTTGGTCCTGTGAAACACGTATGGTTGACAATGACGCAAGTAAAACAAAATATGTTGCTTGTGAGACACCGAAAACTGGTGCTAAACCACCTGTGTTATCATCAAAACCTACTATCATTATTGACAATGACTTGATGGAGAAGTTTGCTTCGCCACCTGATTCTTGGGAATGTGACACTTGCATGGTTCAAAACAAATCAACAGACAACACTTGTAGTGCCTGCCAAACACCAAATCCTGGTGCTACCAAGAGTGCAACAGCAACAGCTACAACAGCACCTTTAAGTGGTATTTCATCAAGTATTAAACCAGACAGTAGTTTAGCAGCAAAATTTGCTCCTCAAGCTGGCTCTTGGACGTGTGACACTTGCATGGTTGATAATAAAAGTGAAGATTCAAATTGTGTGGCTTGTCAAACACCGAGGCCTGGGGCTAAACCAGGAGCAAGTACAGGAAGTGGATTCAATGTAGGCGGTGGGCAGACCTTTTCTTCCTCACCCTTTAAATTTGGAATGGGAAATTCAGCAGCTGCAAGTTCTAGCTCAGTATCAGCATTTAAATTAGGGTCCAGTAGCTCTGTAGATTCTAAAACAAATGGACAATCTAGCCCTTCAGTTTCAGTTACTTTTGGAGATAATGCAGATCAAAATCGCAAAAATGACACCAAGTCAGAAGGCACCACTCAACTACCTACATTTGTGTTCGGTTCTTCGACAATTCTGTCCAATTTCTCAAGTGAAACAAAGACAGGTGCTCCAACTTTCACTTTTGGTGCTCCAGTTAATAATCAATCGGGCAAAGATGACAACAGTAAGCCATCGTTTAGTTTTGGAGGGAACAGTTCTGTTGACAAGTACAAAGCCACCTCTAGAGGAGAGTATACATTTGGTACTAAAAAAGTTACCCTTGATGCCTCTAACAAAGGTAATCATGATTCATGTTGTTGTTGATTTTGATATGAAACCCAACTTGGTTGTATTTCTTGAAATCCTTAGTTTAAGTAAAAGTTTGCAATTAAGGGAAGATCTAAGATTTGCCTTTTTCCGATGTTACAGGCAGAAGCAAATACTGGAAATTAAGTACTTAAAGGCCTATTTCCAACCATGATGCAACGCGGTCGTTTGTTTGTTTGTTTGTTTGTTTGTTTGTTTGAACCACCGCTTTTGTTTAAGTGGCGCCTCTGATTGGTTAGTTATTTTTACTTCGTCACGTTGTCTTAATTTCTTCACACTTAACGCTTTTATATTTCATTTTCTTACATATTACAAGATATTCCTTTCACCCGCCTCGATTAGCATTTGCTATCTGTGGGTCAAAGGAATATCTTGTAATATGTAAGAAAATGAAAAATAAAAGTGTCTCAGTTTCTCTGATGAGTTTGGTGAGCTTATCAAAATAATTCTGTTTAAAACAGTTATATACGTTTTAATCCGGTATGGAATCAGATGAATCCATTGATTTTTTGTAGATTCCGAGGCAGTAAACGCTTTTGGATCGGTTTTTGCTAAAGAGGAACACGAAAATCTTTGCGAGCATTCCGAGGAAAGCGAAAATGTTGATCCACCCCATTTTCATTCATATATCAATTTTTTTTAGTGAAGTTTGCCATCCTTGTTAAATAGGACCAAGGGTCAGTTGAAGTTTCCTGCCCGTGGAGAGGCGCTTGTGCTCGGAAGAGTGGTCGAGGTTGTTGTCCATGCAAAGTGGCAAATAAGAATTGTAACGCAAACTGCCAGTGTCGCTGACTTTCCTGCAATGAAGTGACTAGACGTCCGGCAGTCGGACACAGTCTTAAAATAATTAAACGTCCGGCAGTCCGATATTTTTCCATATTTCTCTTCGAAATCCAAAAAATATTTATACGAAAACGTTCTACCTTTATTTACAATCCTCAAACGCTTCCAGGCAAGCCTAAAATTTCGAACTTGATGTTTCTCGCTAACCTTGTATACAGAGTACGAAGCCATCCAAGCGCTTGACACTTGGGAACTTTTCAATGACACGGCTGGACACGGTCCTCAAATAACTCCATATTTCTCTTTGAAATATACCAAATTTTCCTTGGAAAATATTCTACCTTCATTTATAATCCTCAAGTGCTTCTAGAAAGTGAAAAAATTCGAACGTTGTCCGTTTCGCCGACCCTGTACACAGAGTACGAAGAGATCCAAGGGTGACACTTAAAAAAATTCTACCGGACAAAACTCAAAATACTGTAAGGAAACTGTAAAATGACGAACGGCGAACTAAACGTCCGCCAGTCTGATATTTTTTCATATTTCTCTTTGAAAAATACCAATTTCAATTGGGAAATATTTTATCTTTATTTAGAATCGTCAAGCGCTTCTAGAAAGTGAAAAAATCGGAATGCTGTCCTTTTCGCCGACTTTGTTCGCAGAGTACGAAGAGATCCAAGCGTGACACTTAAAAAAATTCTACTGGACAAAATTCAAAATACTGTAAGGAAACTGTAAAACTGTAAAATGACGAACGGCGAATGTATTTACTGTAAAACAGTTGACTATATGTCCAGGATGGCTCTTGAGAAAGACGATTTTAGAAGGTTTTTAGTAATCTGGGAATTTCGTGTTACAGGAAATTAGGTCGAGGCGCGCGTTGCATCAAGGGTGAAAATGGGCCTTTAAGATATATTCCTACATGTATAGGCAGTGGGCTTTGGTTGTAGTGATCCAGAGTTTGTTAAATGCATATGCTGTTTCACTGGCAGCTCTAGAGGTGTATTAGAAGTTACTGTGTAAGGGATGGTTGTGAACCTCTCGTGTGTTGGATTTTGTTTAAGGTAAATCAAGTTCTATAACAGAAGCAGCAGCCAGTGGAATTCTTAAGGTGCCAGAGGTGAAAGACCCTGATGTTTCAGTACAGTCTACTAAACAGGCAGGAGCTGGATTGTCTATTGCTGATGCTGCCAAGTCAGGCTTTCTCAAAGTACCTGCAGTTGGTGAGAATAAAGGTTAGTTTTAAGTTAATTGTTTTAATGCAGTGGATGCACTCTGTCAGTTTTAAATCGTCAGACAAAAGAGGAATTTTATTTTAAGTTGAGGATGTATGTAGTACCTAAGTGCCAACCGAGAACTCTGCCCTATCATGAGCCCCAGTTCCTGACACCAATCCACACTGAATAGATTATTGAATGCCGCTTCATGTTCTTTTGTTGCTACAGTTGATATTGGTGCTCCTCCAAACGTTAATCTGTTTGCATCAGGGCCTGCTACCAACACACCAAATGCTTCATCAAGGTCGTCTTCTGCAGGTTTGTGAAGAGAAAAATGTTTTGAACTGGGGAATGATACTCAAGTAAAACACAACTGTATAGTGAGAGAATTTAAAAAACTGCTGCAAGATTTACGTTTGGAACTCGTTAGACGTTAAATTCTGATAATGTTTATTTGCGAAAGATAACGGTACTCAAAATTGCAAAGCTCATGAATCATTAAATTGAGTGTAGCCAAGAAAACTTTAGCGGCTGTTTGGCTATCTGATCTTAGTGAGCTTAAATTTTATCAGTAATTTTGCTTATTTACAATTTTTTTGATGCGGAATACATATGAAACACTCAAGAATCACATCACATCTCTAAATGTCTTGAATGTTGTCAAAAGGACAAGCACTGCTGTGCACATTAAGTCTTAATCAATTAGTTAATGTTCAGGATTTTTAAGACACAAAGTGTGATTTTTATTAGATTATTTTAGACATTGTCTAGATAGCGGTAGTAATTTGAAAATGATGTAAAAATTCAAAGGGTAAAAAACTTTTTTGCTCCATTTTTGTACAGTCTGGGTGACACTATTAGCAGTCCCGAGTATTTTACCCGAGATCTCAAGCTGTTTATGATGTTTAGTTTTAATGTTGATGGATTTTGCTTTGCTCTGTCAACAGCAAATTCCGGCAGCTCGGGATTTTCCTTTACTGCACAACCTGGAGCACCATCGCCATTTAGTTTTGGGGCTGTACCACCGTCATCGTCAGCTGCCACCCCTGCTGCAGACTCCAGCTCTACAGCTTCCACCAGTAGCAAGCCCTTGGCAAATCCCTTAGCCCCAGGGGGATCCAGCTTACCAACATTTCAGTTTGGAGCAGCTTCTAGTTCTGCACCTGCCACGAAATCTGAAGCAGCTAAGACCACAGCTCTAACCCAGTCACCCTTTAGTTTTCCTGTAAATACTGCAGAACCAGTGAAAACAACGGCCTCTGCGCCGTTTGCATTCGTGCCAAATGCTGCACCTCCAGCAAATACTCCGGCAGGGTCTTTCAGTTTTGGCCCCAATCTTACGAACACGACAGGGACCCCTGTAGCAGGAGGTTTCCAGTTTGCAACGCCAAGTACTCAACCTTCAAGTGCTCTGAAGCCTGCTGCTCCATCAGTAACAACAGGATTATTCCAGTTTGGTGCTTCAAATAAAACAGCAATGACAAGTTCAGCGACACAACCTGCAGCACCCTCATTTGGATTAACGTCCACATCAGTCAGTTCCAGTTCAGCCCCAGTGAAGCCATTTTCTTTTAGCAGTGGATCGACAGCGTCAAATTTTGCGTTCACTCCAACAAAACCCTCTGTACCTATCGGAGGTATTCAGCCCCCTTTAATTTTTGGGGGATCAACCCCAAAGCCGGAGGTAGCCTTCCCTGGATTTGGGACCTCACAACCAACATCAAACCAACAAACAGCAGTAAGCTTTCCATGTGATGAATGAACAGCCTCCATTTTGGCATGAAAATAGGACCGGATATTTGTTCGCGGGTATTTCCTGCTGCTTTGCTCTCGGAAAACTGTGATCTTGGAAGAACAGATAATGTCTAAGGACAAATATCCGTGCATATTTTCGCTCCAAGTGGAAGCTGTTGTGTTTATTACCCGTAAAGTATCTTTGCAACGCGCGGATAAAATGTTTTCGAACAATAAACTGTTTGCTGCGCGTGGAATTTACTTTTCGTTGTTTTCTGGTATTACTTTATAAACAAACAAACAAACGTGTCCCATGTTCTGTATCAATAGCCAAACAAACTCTCATCTTCAAATAAATTGAAACGAACGTTTTTTTTCGTAGTGGACATAAGGTTTGAAAATTGGGGATATGTCCTCGGATATTCCTCAGTTTTAGCTGAGACATCTTCGATCACGTGATGCATTTAGACCAATCGCGTGCGAGCAAAAATACTTGATGGATCAGACGCACTCTTAGTATGTACTAAAAACTGTGGTGAAGGCGCGCCAATATTGGCTGCTTAAACTCATAATATCCTTTGCATGTCACCTTCGCAGCTCGATAAATATCCACTACTAGCCTCTTTCACTTCGGCGAATAGTTGTAAAATATCATACTTTTCGAAAGTTGTGTATATTTTTTTGCTGTGTTTTCTTCCAGCCATTCATGTTTGGTGCTGCGTCATCCAATGCTACACCTGCGTCAGAAGAAACCATGGAGGCCGATGGAAGCAGCAGCTCTAGCAATCTGTTTGGTTCAGCAGGTGCAGTATAGTTGAGACGATGGCGCTTAGGATACTGGGGTGCCTTGCAAAAGCTAATGATCTTATTGTCATCAATGTTATACCATTCATACCTTTTTTTCTCTGATAAACGCGTTGTTACATTATTATTGCAATGGCCTGTTAATTGTGACTCCGATTGGCCAATGTGATGAGGTCTAATTTATTAATATTAGTTTTATTTTCCGACCTGCCAGCCAGTACAGGAGGAACAACATTCGGTACAACGGGCTCCAATCAAGGATTTGCCTTTGGAGCGCCAAGTGGTCCTTCCACAGGAGGGTTTAATTTTGGGGCCGCTCAGGTTGCCCCGGGACCAAACACCTTCGCGTTTGGAGCCAGTGGAGGAGGTGGTGGTCCCACATTTGGAGCCAGTGCTGGCCCATCTCTTGCTGGTAATTATTTTTAGCTAGTTTGACAATGAATATTCTTTTGGAAAAGTGAAAAAAAAAATTAGTTTATGTTGTTTTTGTTTTGGTTTGCAGCTCCCATTCAAGGTGGATTCAACTTCGGCGCAGCAACGGCCAACAATAATGTAGGAGGCACTGGAGCATTCAATTTTGGAGCTCCATCAGGAGGCCCGTTGTTTACCGCCGGAATTGCAGGAGATCCCAATAATATAGCTCAAAGAAAATTCAAGAAAGCTGTCAGACGCACCAAGCGCTGACCCCGTCCCAGCACTGGGTTTACGAGACAAGACTGTTGTACACTTACCGAGTACAAACGTTACGGGGCTATCGTCTCTCTCTACCCGATGGTACAAGTTACGGGTACACAAACGTGACGCGAACTCACCCGAATTGTCGCGACGACGATAAAAACTGCGGACTGTTCAAACGAACACTCTGAAACGGCGACGTATTGTCGCAAGACGTTTGACGAAAACGCTAAACGGCGGCGTTTATTGGACGCCATCTTAGACGGACCAAACCAAGCGTGCCGGCTAGGATAAAAGTAGATTGGAAAGAAGAAAGAACGAGCTCAGCTCAGGGAATGAATTTTAGAATTACTATGCTACCGCGACCACTTTATGAACAAAGTTTACGATATGACTCCACAGCACAGACCAAGGACATTTGTTAAAAATCTTCGTTTGTTTCATTTTTCGTTTTTTCTTGATATATTTATATATATAAATATATATATATATTTTGTGTCGTTGATAAATGTTTTGTGAATAACATTTTAGTAATTGCCTCTTATGTTAGCGTGGCTAGGTCTGCGAGAAAAAACCGAAGGAAACTTTCTGTAGAAAGCGACTGTCACTAGCGAAGTAATGTCTCATGAAAGTGGAACGTAATTTTTATTTTGGGGGGGGGGTTTTTTTTTTTTTTTTCTTGATAAAGTGACATGGGATAGTTTTTCTCAGTTTGAACGCAGGGAGAAAGTTTTTCCTTTAAACAATCTCTCTTCGTAATCCACGCCTAGTTCAGCCTGGCGCTTGATCCAAATTTTCGTTTAAGTGAATAGTTCAGAGTGTAATTTATAAGTGGCTTTTTAAAAATATTTTAAACGACTTTGCGTCAACTTTTTTTCACCAAGAGAGGATTTTTCTTCATAGGCCAAGGAAATTGGGATGGGATATCAAAAGGGGGTTACAAAGATAGAATTGAATGAGTACAAAGCGGTTTGGTCAATGAAGAGTGCTTGTAAATATTCTATACTCTATTTAAATAATTTCTTTGTCGCGTGATCATCTAAGCTCTTGGTCGGCTTTTTTTGTTTGGGTGGTGGTAGGGGAGGGGAGGGTAGATATGACTTTGCTCCTCGCATTGATTTTAATCGCTATTGTTTTTGAAAACGTAAACATTTGAATATTAAACATTAAACAAATTATGTCTCCCTGATGTGCATTTATAACTCTTTGTTTATCAACAACGAGAATCTGGGTTGTCCACGCGAGAGAAATTAGTTTTACTTCATCCTTTATTGAATCAGAATTTAACCGTCCACTCAGGCTACAATAATGTTCCAACAATTCAACCAATCATAGTTTTAGTATACGATTAGTACATGTCTCTTTGCTAGCAACTCTACACGTTTCTTGACAGTCAACAGGTTCTTTTGGCAAGTTCACAGATCTCATCCCGTCGAACACGCATCATGTCACCCTTAAAACAAAGATGAAGAAGTTAGTGACTGAGAATGCACGGACTTGTTTATTGGCTCTGTGAACTTGAGTAACCGGTTTTCCTTGGCAAGGTGGCTCATCTCTATTGAAATTAAACTCTAAGCTAAGAAAATTAACAAAACAAGAAAAATTTAGTTGGCTAAAATGTGTAGACGCGTTAGCTAAAAAGAGCGGTATCATACTGATTAAACATATCAGACTTGCGAATCTGCTTCCAAATACGATAGGCCTATTTCCGGTCTCTCCGTTCGACGTATTTTATATAAAAGAATTAAAATTGCTTTCCTTAACCAGACTAGGAATTTTGATTATAATTTTAAATGCAATTGCTGTTTCTGTTTTTCTACTAGTTCACTTGACAGGGAATTAAAGTCATTTACTAATTAAAACTTACCATGGTGATAACAATAAAGTATTCTCATAAGTGAACGGTACACTTATGGTTAAGTAATTACCATTATAATCATCGCATTTTCATAATTGTAATTATTGAATTTTTAAAAGATAATGCAGAGTTTAAATGAAGTTACATAACCTTGAGTGTGACAATCACTAACAACGTTCAACGTTAACTCTCCGTATATTCATTTAATTACCTCATCAGCTCTTTGGATGCTTCTTGCTCTTAGGGGAAACTCACTAGACTCTTGCAAAACCTTGAGGATAAAATCATTCAGGACGTTTTTGTTTATCACAACGTTATTCTGAATTGTTAACCATCGTGTCCACTTTAAAAAAAAAATTTGAAAACCCCATCCGACATACAACTTCTCTGCAATAAACTATGACTGTTTTTGGGGGGGAATTAGGCGTGAATCTAAATACTCACACGAACTGACCGACTAGTCGTGATAGTCCCACGTAGAAACGTTAAAAAACACCTTCCTGAATCCTCGAGTGTCAGACAGTCAACATTGCAAACTCAGTAAAACCCCAGAGTGCGTCTTCTTGGCATACGAATATTATTTCTTATGCTCTGAAATCATTTTCATTTTTAAAGCTGTCATGATATCGACACTTAAATGGCTATCTCTTACAACTGAACTTCAGAACTTATTTTTAACAGCACAACCGTATATACAATGGCCCTCTCGCCCTCCAGTTTACCTTACGGGACTTGGATCTTTTACCCTCATTTGCTCCTCCGAATTGGAATCGACCACCGCCAAACGAGCTCTCGCTAACACTGACCATACTTGCAAGTAGAAGAAGAGTAAAAAGAAGCGCTTGAAGTTCGGTTTTCATTCTAACAGTTACTAGAAGCAAATGAGGAAATTGTTTTTCGAGTGGTGATATGCCTTGATGGTACAAAGAATGAGGGTGAATTTTGTCTTTCTAAAGTCTGTTTATATATAATTTACAAATGAAAGCGGTACTATCATGGCATTCTCAAGTAATGCATTATACTATTAATGGTGTTTATTGAAGTACAGATAAATACCTTTCCTGAGGGCGGTCTCACCTTTAGTATTTACACAGTTAAAGATTATATCACAAGAGGCCCTGCGCATTATGTAAAACACATCAAATGTAGAGGAAAAGAAGAAAAGCGATATAATTAAAGAGGAAAATTTTAGACTAAAATAACATAAAACAATGTATAAAAGAAAACAGAACCCTTAAAAAACGTCAGGATAATCATAACGGCAGATGTTATTTTTTAAAAGTTTATTGATCATCTCCAACGGTTCTTAAACTAATGTAAAGAGGAATTGACATTGTATACTAATACTCTATTCTCGAGACCATTTTGTTTTAATAATTCCTGGGTTGTGCGATTAAGGGCAATTTCTTTCACTGAAAAAAAGAACCCCAAACCCAGACATTTAACTCGTAAATAAAACCAAGAAATCGTGCACAAAAAAAAAGCACAAAATAACGATAAAAATTAAAAAAAAAGGCATGTATGAGCAAAACCACAACCCTGAAAAGTTATGTTTGAAATCAACTCTGTTTGCTTCAACTGGTCTTCCATATGATGGAGGTTTAGAGCTCAAGGAAAACACGGATTTCCGGTCTTATCCGTCAACTGACAATTACAGCCCAGGAAATAACTGATTGCTAAATACATTGGGCCTGGAAAAATGAGATCAGTTTAGGAAACTGTAATGCTGCGTCAGTGATGGGTATAGCAAGATAATCTGATTTCGTCAATTGAGTTGATAATGCAAAGTTTCCAAAGTTGATGTTTCGAGTGTTAGCCCCTCGTTAGCCCCTCGTCAGCCCTTCGTTGGCCCTTCGTCGGCCCTTCGTCATTCACTCTCGCTGATAAAGGGCTAACGAAGAGCTAACGAAGAGCTAACGAAAAGCTAAAGCGCAGAACTAACGCTCGAAAGGTCAGTTTTGGTAACTCTTTACGCTTTGCTTATTTCCATTATCAACTCATGTGATAAAACCAATTTATCTAGAGATCATTGAGATGAGCTATGAGTCATTTGGCTTCCTTTGTATCTTCTAAACAAATTCACAATCACCGTTCACTTAAGGAATAGATTTTAAGAATTATACTTCATCTGCCCGCCTATGTACTTGAAGCAACCATTTCAGTATACCAAACCATTTGGGCTAAGTCACGCTTTATCAGATAATGTAAGTAATGATGTTTATTTTTTGTTAATAATAGCCCTCAGTTGAAATATATCACAATTAAACAAAGGCGATTCCGAGGAAAGCGAAGAACACTATCCTGGAGACTGAGGCTACGATAGGCTCGGGGAATTGATGTAAATCACTGGCTTTTTTTCGTTTTATCAGTTGTGCTTTTTCGGTTTTTTTGCCTGAAGTTTCTTAAAGTTTCAAGCCATTGTTATTTCAGTCAACCATGATACAGTAAAAACGCCGCTCAGGTTTTTCCTTGTTTTCTTTGCACAATTTCAAACCATTACAAAAAAAACTGCTAAAAACGTTACTGATCTTGAATCCTCTCTCTTAAATCGCTGCTTGAAACTATAAAGAATAAAACGAGATTAAATAGTTTGATTTTTACTCGGCGTTAAACTAAAAGAATATTTTGAAACTTCGTGGCAACTTTCAGTGAGACTACAGTGGCTGGAAAGTCCTTATCTTTGTCGTGAGTTTTCACGTTATTTCATTCAACGACACGGCTTGAAAAGAATTAATCCTGGAAAGAAATGTAAATTTTCAATTGATTGTTGAAACTTATTGGGGGATTACATCTGTTTTTCTCTCCACGCTCTGTGATTGGTCCAGATAACTAGGGCAAGACTTTCAACCAATCAGATGTAACCTAAAACCCACTGTGATTGGTTGCTCGCGTTTCCCACGCCTCGCATTAGGGCAGCTTGCTCTTTTTTTACTTTATGTTCTCATTGGCTATAGTGTTATTTGCCTTTGCACTGATTGGCCGTTCGGGGAAATTTCGCTTTTTTTAAAGGTTTAGGGGCCAAAATAAGGCAAGAAATATGAAATACCCACCTCTTCCCCCCCCCCCCCCCAAATTGGTAACATTTTTGTTGTTCCCATAAGGACAGAGTTAGCTTTATTGGCTAAAATAAGACTCACTTATCCCCCGACTAAACTTTTGTTGTTCCCAAGAGGACAGAGTTAGCTTTATTGGCTAAAATAAGACTCACTTGTACGCGGCTTGAACTTTTGTTGTTCCCATGTGGACAGAGTTAGCTTTGTTGGCTAAAATAAGTCTCCCTTATACCCGGCTTGAATGTTATTGTCATAAGAAAACCGTGGAAAGAGAGAAAAAAAGGAAATATTGTGTAATATGCACAAACCACATTGAAGCTTTTGCGGAGTTACTTTTAATTTGACATAGCTGACATGTTTGCAAAACATGAACTAATACATTGAATGATTCTATTTTATG